GGTGCCGGCCTACTGGGGGGGGGCGGGGGGGGGGGGTCCTAAGCAGTTATTACATTGGGGTCGGAGGGGGGGGGCAGGGGCCGCCCTCCCTTTTCAGTTGATTTACTGGCTGACTCCTGAGATGACTGAAGCGAGAAAGACAAGAGATGGGGACGTCGCGAGGTGGGGCAAATGTGAGCAGAAAGATAAGAGGTGCAAGGAAATGGGCGAAGGGCGATACAGACGAGATAGAAGTGGAGCGAAATGAGAGAGGTGTGTGCAAGACACAGATTGTAGCAAGATGAGGGAAGAGCTGCAGACAAGATGATGTGGAATTGCAATCACTCGGGCAAGGTTGTTTACAGAAGATGGGCACTCGTAACAAGAAACCGGGACATGTCGGCCTTTCTTTATTTAACGCGTGAGATGTTTCTATAACAGCAACGAGATCACATTCATCACTAGTATCGCATAATGTTTTGCCACTGTTGTAAAAGGCTTAGGTCGGTGGCTCGGTTGTTCAGAAGTCGAAGACACTCTCACGATGAGATTCCTGGGGTCCGAATCCAGGATAACAGTCGTGATTAAGCTGCGTTCTCAGGTGTCGCGCGCCGATGGGTCCTCAACCTGGTCGCAAATGACCGCAAAAAAAAACAGATCGCATTGCATTCGGGTTCACACTTCTTCATTGGGCTCAACTCGCATTGAATTTCTTGTGAGAGTAAAAAAAAACCCATCGCTTTTAATGTCGCGTGAAAAAAAAAACATTGCCTTCTGCGGCGGAGTGGGTGGAAATGTGCCGCCGCCCGCCCCCCTAGTGTGTACCAAACATCGCCTGAAGTTATTTTCAGACAGCAGTTCTACGATATCTCCTTCCACAGACCTTTCTCTGCCGTGGGTTAAGGCCCCGCTGCCCCCGTCCGCCCGCCCGCCCGCCCGCCCGTCCTTCCAGTTCCGTGAAAGTCAGAATGGGCTCGTTGTCTCCTGAAATGACGACGCCTTTGGGCGCAATTGGGGTTTAAAATTGGTGGGACGAGACAAACGGGGCCGCTGTGCAGCCCCCCCCCCCCCCTCCTGGCCCACCCCGGGCTCGTGACCAGGGCTTTCCATGTTCGCGGCCGCCCTATGGGTTGTTGTGTTGCGTTCGGGGTATGCGAACAGCCCCTCGCACACATCCTCAACGGGAATTCGGTTGGACTTTGTTGACCCCTATCTTATGTGTCGCCATTGTGAATCTGCGCCGTTTTAGAAAGAGCATGCTTTTAATAAAAAAAAATATCTATTCGTTGATACGGTGAAGGCTCTGTTGTCCAAGACCCCATGATCAAAGTCTCCGCGCAAATTCTCCAAACCCCCTTAATCGTTGCTGCAGAAAATCACGTCGTCTGCGGATGGATCCTTTCGACTTTGCTTTATCTGCAGACTTGGAGGAACCATCCCGAAGTGACAACATTACTTGCATTCGCATCTATGAACGTATAATTCGCCCAGCAGCCTTGATGTGGAAGTGCTAAATTCATCCTCGGTTTAACACGTAGGCTTTCGCGACCAATATTATTCATAATCAACGTTTTTGGGTTTAGATCGCGTTATTTATAAATGTGTCGTAACCCTCCAATTGCCCGATGATGCTGGATGCAATTACCAGCGAAACGTCACACTACTCAAAAATTGTAAATGTTGTGGTTTCACGCTTCAACACACCGGTGGGCTATAGCAGTGAACTATTTGTCTTTTGTCAACGTGACACTTGTTTACTGATTGGCCGTGTCGGGTGGTGGAGGGTTACGACACATTTATAAATAACGCGATCTAAACCCAAAAACGTTGATTATGAATACATTCATCCTGTTATCCGTGTCTTTGTGTGGATAACATTTGTAATCAAATTTATCCTATTATCTGCTTGCTTACGCTGAAACCTGTGTGGATACCAGGAGTAATTTTCACGGAAACAAAGATCCGCCAATACACGAGTATCCACCACATTGCGGATGAGAAGAATTTCATTGTGCCGGTGCCACAGAGCCGCGCGACGTCGTGTTTGTAACCTTAGATGTCTGTCGATTAGCCTCAACTCTCAGTGCGTGAAGGCACAGAAGTATTTACATGAGCGTGTGTGTGGTGAGTGTATTGGGTTGATGTGTGTGTGTGTGTGGTGAGTGTAGTGGGTTGATGTGTGTGTGTGTGGATGGTGAGTGTAGCGGGTTGACGTGTGTGTGTGTGGTGAGTGTAGTGGGTTGACGTGTGTGTGTGTGTGGTGAGTGTAGTGGGTTGACGTGTGTGTGTGTGTGGTGAGTGTAGTGGGTTGACGTGTGTGTGTGTGTGGTGAGTGTAGTGGGTTGACGTGTGTGTGTGCGTGTGGATGGTGAGTGTAGTGGGTTGACGTGTGTGTGTGTGGTGAGTGTAGTGGGTTGACGTGTGTGTGTGTGTGGTGAGTGTAGTGGGTTGACGTGTGTGTGTGTGTGGTGAGTGTAGTGGGTTGACGTGTGTGTGTGCGTGTGGATGGTGAGTGTAGTGGGTTGACGTGTGTGTGTGTGTGGTGAGTGTAGTGGGTTGACGTGTGTGTGTGTGTGGTGAGTGTAGTGGGTTGACGTGTGTGTGTGCGTGTGGATGGTGAGTGTAGTGGGTTGACGTGTGTGTGTGTGTGGTGAGTGTAGTGGGTTGACGTGTGTGTGTGCGTGTGGATGGTGAGTGTAGTGGGTTGATGTGTGTGTGTGTGTGGTGAGTGTAGTGGGTTGATGTGTGTGTGGTGAGTGTAGTGGGTTGACGTGTGTGTGTGTGTGTGGATGGTGAGTGTAGTGGGTTGACGTGTGTGTGTGTGTGTGTGGATGGTGAGTGTAGTGGGTTGATGTGTGTGTGTGTGGTGAGTGTAGTGGGTTGACGTGTGTGTGCGTGTGGATGGTGAGTGTATTGGGTTGATGTGTGTGTGTGTGGTGAGTGTATTGGGTTGACGTGTGTGTGTGTGGATGGTGAGTGTAGCGGGTTGACGTGTGTGTGTGTGTGGTGAGTGTAGTGGGTTGACGTGTGTGTGGTGAGTGTAGTGGGTTGACGTGTGTGTGCGTGTGGATGGTGAGTGTATTGGGTTGACGTGTGTGTGTGTGGTGAGTGTAGTGGGTTGATGTGTGTGTGGATGGTGAGTGTAGCGGGTTGACGTGTGTGTGTGTGTGTGTGGTGAGTGTAGTGGGTTGATGTGTGTGTGGATGGTGAGTGTAGCGGGTTGACGTGTGTGTGTGTGTGGTGAGTGTAGTGGGTTGACGTGTGTGTGCGTGTGGATGGTGAGTGTAGCGGGTTGACGTGTGCGTGTGTGTGGTGAGTGTAGTGGGTTGACGTGTGTGTGTGTGGATGGTGAGTGTAGCGGGTTGACGTGTGTGTGTGTGGATGGTGAGTGTAGTGGGTTGACGTGTGTGTGTGTGTCGATGGTGAGTGTAGCGGGTTGACGTGTGTGTGTGGATGGTGAGTGTAGCGGGTTGACGTGTGCGTGTGTGTCGATGGTGAGTGTAGCGGGTTGACGTGTGTGTGTGGATGGTGAGTGTAGCGGATTGACGTGTGCGTGTGTGTCGATGGTGAGTGTAGCGGGTTGACGTGTGTGTGTGGATGGTGAGTGTAGCGGGTTGACGTGTGCGTGTGTGTCGATGGTGAGTGTAGCGGGTTGACGTGTGTGTGTGGATGGTGAGTGTAGTGGGTTGACGTGTGCGTGTGTGTCGATGGTGAGTGTAGCGGGTTGACGTGTGTGTGTGGATGGTGAGTGTAGCGGGTTGACGTGTGTGTGTGGATGGTGAGTGTAGCGGGTTGACGTGTGTGTGTGTGTGGATGGTGAGTGTAGCGGGTTGACGTGTGTGTGTGGATGGTGAGTGTAGCGGGTTGACGTGTGTGTGTGTGGATGGTGAGTGTAGCGGGTTGACGTGTGTGTGTGGATGGTGAGTGTAGCGGGTTGACGTGTGTGTGTGTGGATGGTGAGTGTAGCGGGTTGACGTGTGTGTGTGGATGGTGAGTGTAGCGGGTTGACGTGTGTGTGTGTGGTGAGTGTAGTGGGTTGACGTGTGTGTGTGTGGTGAGTGTAGTGGGTTGACGTGTGTGTGTGTGTGTGGTGAGTGTAGTGGGTTGACGTGTGTGTGTGTGGATGGTGAGTGTAGTGGGTTGACGTGTGTGTGTGGATGGTGAGTGTAGTGGGTTGACGTGTGTGTGTGGTGAGTGTAGTGGGTTGACGTGTGTGTGTGTGTGGATGGTGAGTGTAGTGGGTTGACGTGTGTGTGTGTGTGGATGGTGAGTGTAGTGGGTTGACGTGTGCGTGTGTGTGGATGGTGAGGGTAGTGGGTTGACGTGTGTATGTGGTGAGTGTAGTGGGTTGACGTGTGTGTGTGTGTGTGTGGATGGTGAGTGTAGTGGGTTGACGTGTGCGTGTGTGTGTGGATGGTGAGTGTAGTGGGTTGACGTGTGTGTGTGGTGAGTGTAGTGGGTTGACGTGTGTGTGTGTGTGGATGGTGAGTGTAGTGGGTTGACGTGTCCATGGATGGTGAGTGTAGTGGGTTGACGTGTGCGTGTGTGGTGAGTGTATTGGGTTGACGTGTGTGTGTGTGGGTGGTGAGTGTAGTGGGTTGACGTGTGTGTGTGTGGATGGTGAGTGTAGTGGGTTGACGTGTGTGTGTGTGTGTGTGGTGAGTGTAGTGGGTTGACGTGTGTGTGTGGATGGTGAGTGTAGTGGGTTGACGTGTGTGTGTGGATGGTGAGTGTAGTGGGTTGACGTGTGTGTGTGGTGAGTGTAGTGGGTTGACGTGTGTGTGTGTGTGGATGGTGAGTGTAGTGGGTTGACGTGTCCATGGATGGTGAGTGTAGTGGGTTGACGTGTGCGTGTGTGGTGAGTGTATTGGGTTGACGTGTGTGTGTGTGGGTGGTGAGTGTAGTGGGTTGACGTGTGTGTGTGTGGATGGTGAGTGTAGTGGGTTGACGTGTGTGTGTGTGTGTGTGGATGGTGAGTGTAGTGGGTTGACGTGTGTGTGTATGTCGGTGTCGCCCCGCAGTTACGACGCTGCTGTCGGACGGCGTGAGCCCGGACTCGTGCAACGAGGAGGGCCTCACCGCGCTGCACCAGGTGCCCAAGGGGGCCGCGACCCGCGACCCGCGCCACTCGCGCGGATAAATAATATAGCGCACCCTGGGGAAAAACACACACACACACACATCCTGTCGTAGTACGTCCTGTAAAACAATTGAAAAGGTCACAGTGGGGTGTCACTCGTCTCTTCTTTACACAGCCCTGAGCCAGTGGTGGAAATTCCACGTTCCCATGGGTGGGTGAGGTTTTTTTTTTTACTTGACAACTGCTATTGACTCCTTGTGGAAGAGAGGTCCCCACCTTGAAGACGGGGCATTTGAAACAAAACCGGCCACTAAACGCCTCCTTGTGTCTGCCGCGACAGCCTTAAGAGATGCTTGCTAACAACAGCACTGGGCTCCAACATTCTACTCAACTGAAGTGGGTTGCCTCGTCTGTGTGTACGCTGCTAATCTATGTATTAGCGGTCGTTGGGATAAGTGTGGGAACAGTCCGTTCATTGATCCATGCTCGCTGGCACGCGCCTAATTCCCGCTTGCCTGTCGTCCAAAATCAACCTCCCAATGTGAGTAACGTTGGCAGGATTTGATGCGCGTACCGAGCGAGCGCTTCTCTCGTCATCGCAGACGCACTCGCGACCTCAATTCGTAAGCATGGCCGTGAACTCCACTGGTTCCCATAATATTGCAGTTGCATTTTTCAATAAATGTCACCTGTATTCACACCCACGTGGGGAACAACAACATATGAACAGCTCATCGCTCTTCTAACGTGCAAGGGTGTTGATCTGGACAACGACATTCAAAATTGATACTTGGGGTCGTGGCTATGACCACATCAACCTGAATCTGCCCGATTTCTTCAGGTCTCGGAAGCTAAGCAGCCTGGAGCCTGGACAGTTTGTCTTGTGGTTGTTGTCTTGTGCCTTGTCTTGTGGTTGTTGTTGTTTGACTTGCATCCGACTGGGATTTTTGCACACAGTGTTGGTGTACGGTGCTTTTTCTGCAATATTTTGCTGTCTTTTCTTGGATTTTCTGTTTGCACATAGTCACTTTAAGATGTTTTCTTGTTCATGTTTTTGTTTTTTTGTTTGTTGCGGTTTCACCCGATTCAAGAGCTGAATGGCTCACAGGGCTATACCTAATAAATGAACTTGAAAATAAATAATAAATTAACTTGAACAGTGGTTGGATTGGGCGACCGCTGAGCTTGAAGCTCGTGTAATACGCTGCCGTGGGGCTACGTTGTAGGCGACAAGAGGGCAGTATGGCAAAAGCATTTGCTGTACTGTACCGTGCTTCCACGTCTATGTGCCCTGCATTTAACCGCCCCTGTGCGCTGTGGTGTGCCCGTGCGTGTGCTGTGTGTGCGGTGGCGCCACGCAGGCGTGCCTGTGGGGCTGGGAGGACCTGGCCGGCCTGCTGCTGAGCCGTGGTGCTTCGGTAAACGCTCGCGACTCGGGGCTGTGGACGCCACTGCACGCCGCGTGCGCGCAGGGGTTCACCGAGGTCGTGCGGCTACTCGTGCCACGGTGAGCCGTGCCGGGAGGTGTGCGCGGTTTGAACAGTTTATTTAGAATTGTCCCGTGAGCTGAGAAGCTTTTGAATCGGGTTTCATCAACAAAAAAAACTGTCAAATTAAAAACACAACGTTTGCAAGGTTGTGGGAGGGCCACGAGAGAGAGGGGAGATGTGCGGGAGAGAGACGGGTGGGGAGGGGAGATGCAGAGAGCAGATACAGAGGGGAGTGTGCGGGAGAGAATAGGGAGAGTTGTGCCGAGGGGTTCGGGTCAGGAGCGCGTTGCCACGGTTTGGAAATTGGGCATTTCCTGCAAGCGAATGGTCCCCGCTGGTTATTAGTGAGATTACAGAGAGCGTTCGTGAGGCTCTCCCGCCGTACTTTGTCACGGACAAGAGGAGTTCTACAACTGCTGGCCATTGGCTCAGTAGCGAGCCTGCTGTTTGTGCGCTATTACGTGTTTAAAAGGTTTTCGCCGTCGGTATTATCAGCATCTGTTGCCTTGCCGAAGAAATAAAAACGCCGACTTAAAAATACCGTGATTTTCCCAAACGTTTTTTGGTTGTCTCCGAGCCATATCTGAAAATATTGAGTAAGGGTGTCTAGATCTCCATAGCAGCTGTAGTCCCTGATCCGGGTACAGGGGCTCATCACATGATCATCAAGCCCTGTTCACGCCCGACTTCCGTCATGTAATTTGATAACGATGTGTACATTTGTACCTGTAAACAGTCCTTGGCATGGCTTGGATAATTGTACAGTAAAAATGGTTGCCAGGAGTGATCCGAAGCTTGTTTCCAGGCACAGAAGTGATTTAGAAAATCATCAACACAGTAATATTTCTGCTTGGTACATGTACCATCCTTTTTGTTAATCCACTGCTGGATTAGGGCCTTCCCATGGCGGCGCAGGTAATGGGGATTATTTAATGATACTTTACGACGCTGGTCAGTGTGGGTTTGGTAGAAGCGGGGAGCATAGAAGCACAGTACAGCAATGGTGTTGCTGACTTGCCCTCCGCTGACCGCCATGAGGCACATGCCTCCTGCGGCAGCTCTCTGTGTTTTGATGATGTAGATCGCGACAACTCCAATCAGCCGATTTGGAAAGAAAAAAGTATGGTTTTTTTTTTACGTAGAATGGCTTCACAACGACATTAGAGGTTGGTGCCAGAAGCATGTGGCACTACTTGGAGCATATTGGCACAAGACAGAGGAAAGTGGGAAAAAAAATACAAAATGTGCAGCAGACACCTACGGCTATGTGTCCACGGATCGTGATGATGATGATAGAGACGAACGGAGGGTGTGTTTACTTATTACTATAATTTATTTGCTTACGGCTTCGCGTGCCGCGTCTCTCTCGCCGTGCCATCAGGGGCGCGGACCTCCTGGCGCTGAGCGAGGACGGGGAGACTCCGTTCGACGTGTGCGACGACCACGAGACGATCGCCTACCTGGAGGGCGAGATGCGGCATCGAGGTGAGAGACGGCCGCCCCTCACCTCATCTCCTCCGGACGCCCCCACTCCCCACTCGCAAAGAAGATGGGCACCCCCCAACCCCTCCCGTCGTCTTTGCGAGCACCGTTGTTCTGTTCGCCCCGTTTTTATCAGCGTGCCGCTAATTTGACCGAGGTGTTACCGAGCGAGGCCTTGCCACCTCCATAGCGTGCGTGTTGTAGCTCGCGCGGTTGTTCCATTCACTAAGTTGTCCATTGCCGCGTGGTGAGAAAATGCACCGGCCTTTTTTTGGACGAAGACGCAACACTCGGCAAACCTAAGCGCTTTGCAAGCTGCCTGATTTTTTTGCAAGTGGAGTTTTTGTTGTTCTTTTTTGTTCATTCGCTGACCAAAAGGCCAAACATTCTTAGTGGCCTGCAACAAAGAGCCCTATTGAAGGTGCACCAGATAAGATAGAGCACGTTTCTTGGATCGAGCAAAGCTTTCACGAGAACTTTCTGATAAGAGGATGGTTGGGAGGGCATTCCAAAGTCGAGCAGTACCAGGGAAAGCAGCAGCAAGAGGTGTGTGTGTGTGTGTGATGGTGGGTGAGCGGGGTGAGTAGGTGAGTTGTTGGGTGAGTGGGTAGTCGGGTGAGTTTATTTGCTGCGGCCTGCGTGGTTGGTGATTGAATGCAGCGTGGATGAGACGAAACAGTCTCTTGTTAGCATGGGTGGAAGAATCAATGAGTAAAGTTCATGGGCACAGTAACCATGGTAGCAGAGATATTATTGATGGAAGAGTAGATGTTCTGTTTGCCGCATTATCGGTAGCTGTGTGGAAACTATGCACCGCTTATGAACCACTTGTCTGTTTATATATTCGTACAATAGTTACCCTATATCCATTTAACGTTTCTGTAATCGTGCTACGATTCTTCTCAACATAAATCTGCCCGAGCGAACTTTTTGCACTGCGGGAAAAACTTATTTGACGTCGATTTAAATCTTTGCAATGTTTTCGAATTTTTACTGTGACAGCTGTTTTTTTTCTTTTTCTTTCGGAACCGATTCCTATTCGCTTCATGCCCGTCCTTTATTTGTATTTGATTTTGTTTTGCTTTCGTCGTTTGGGTGACCCCGAGTTCACTCTTTGCGAATGAGACCCGTCCCTGTGCTTGTGTCTCCTCGCACCTGGGCAAAACAAAACAAACTCGAGAACTTGAAGGCTGAAACACGAGGCTCCCATCGCTTCGAAACTGGCCACATCTTGCAAGCGGAGTTGTTCTCTTTGCCCTATTATAGGCAACACCGTTGAACTGATTCACCCGCTGATAAATAAATAATAAACACAATCCCTTCTGGAACTTGAACGAAACTCAACAATGCGGCGGGGCTGGAAATATTTTACAACCGTGGCCGGTAATGGAACAGGCGCCTTATTAGGGATTACGTCTCGTGCTTTTGAATGCAACGCATTGTTTTTCCGCTTGTGGTTCACGTAATTGGCATCGAGTGCCTCGCGACACACGCATGAGTGTGCTTTGTGTTTTTTGGACGGTCACATTGAGACCTGTGATGGGGATTTGTTCATTCGTAAATGAACTTTGGCGTTTCACGATTGGTGAGGATTCCAATTGGTGAGGATTTCGTATGCATGTAACAATTCACAATTCAACCCCCCCCCCACCACTGTGATTCAATGCATTTGCTGTGGTTCAGGGTCACGATTCAATTCAAGAATAAATTGTTGCAATTGTAGGAATCTCTAGTGGCTACAGGGTTTATGGCCACAGGGTGTCGCACCTCCGATTAGCACGGTTGGCTATGTGCAGTGCGAAAGAAGTTCAACATACATACGTACGTGAATCGGTCACGTACAGCATGTCCCCATCAACGTCAGTCGTGGTCTTTCCACAGCTGGATGAAGGCCCCTAAGAGCCGTCCCCATTCCTCACGGTCACGTGATACAAATATCCGCCTAGCTCCCGCAAACGAGCCGATGTCATCGCTCCATCTCCTCGGTTGATGGCCCCTCCTTTGGGAACATAGGATCGAAGTGAATTGAAAATAATCAATTTGCAAGGACACAATTCAATGCTTGTATCATTAGCATAATATTACTCGTCATAATAATTGTAAGCCTGGCAATTATGTGGTCGTATTCTCTACGAACAGTAGAGTGAACCCAATGAAAAGCCCCATCATGATCATGAATGTTATAATTACTGTGATAAGCCAACGTTTCTCAAGAAAGGAAAATATTTCTGAAAGATAAGCCGATAATCATTTATAAAGCAGCGCCTGTTACTTATTTCCCGTTGTTAAGTATTTTTGGTCCATACTTAAAAACGTCTGCCAATAAAGCCCTTGGATTTATATTTGTAGTTGGACAGTACGAGCTGGTTGAATTTAATTGGTTTATATATATATACATAAAGGTTTCATTCATTACCAGGTAAAAGCTCACGTTATTTCTTTTTTATGTTTTTAAAATGTTTTCCCCAAGTTACTCCCATCAAGCTGTTATTGGCATCACGTCACAATACGATGAATCCATTCGGAAATCTCACAGAGCACCACTCACAGAATAATCTCAGAAAATCCTTGGAGTGGAATTTTTCTCCGTACTTTATGTGGCGGGGGGGGGGGGGGGTTGAGAAATGTGACGTCACATCAAAATGCGCAACTTTAAATAAATATAGACAACACGTTCTACTTAATTAAATAGACGTTTTAATAAATGTTTTCTCCTACAACATCAGAGCGCTACAATGACAATAGTTTAAAGCGATTTGAAGCATGTTTTATTTTATTTTGGGGGGAGGGGGGGGGCAGAGCTTTGTGACGTCATATTTGAGGGGGGTCTGACTTTTTGTGACGCCGTGTGACGAGGGGGGGGGGGTCAAAAATCGTCCAAAATCGCGTGACGTCATTTATGGACGGCCCCTAAGGCGAAAATGGATTCGCTCGTTTGCAGGAGCTTGATGGACTGTTACAGGGCAAGACCTGAGCGATTGCCAATGCCATCAATTGTTGTTTTCAAAATGGAAATATGGTTGGGGGGGGGGGGGCAGAGCTTTGTGACGTCATATTGGAGGGGGGGTCTGACTTTTTGTGACGCCGTGTGACAAAGGGGGAGGGGAGTCAAAAATCGTCCAAAATCGTCCAAAATCGTGTGACGTCATTTATGGAGGGCCCCTTTATGGCAAGGTGTGTTGTCAGGTACAAGCACCTCCAGTGTGGGTAAGAGGTCACTTGAAGAGATCTCGGCAATAGCTCCGTGATGTAACATCCCAAGTGGCATTCTCTAGCAATGGGGCCGTGTGGATTATTCATCTTGCGACACAACACACATGTCACTGGAACTGTTCAATTTAACTGCGGGTAACGAAACACATTTTATTTTTAAAAACCAGACCCTGGTCATTTGCGATATTTCGACGTGTTCAGCGTCTACACTATGAGACATCTCCTTTACCAGTGGCAAAATATAGTAGTGGGTTTTTACCCTTTCAACTGGTACAAAAACTGACACCTTTATACAAGGGATCATGTTTGCAATAACAACAACACAAGCAGTCAAAATGCAAACAAAAAGAAACAACTCTGATGATGATAATGGGTGTGGACCAATCAACTTCAAGGACAGTGCATATCATTATCATCATCATCAGAGTTGTTTCTTTTTGTCTGCATTTTGACTGCTTGTGTTGTGGTTATTGCAAACATGATCCCTTGTATAAAGGTGTCAGTTTTTGTACCAGTTGAAAGGGTAAAAACCCACTACTATGTGTTCAGCGTCGTTTAACAGTTTCACGTGGCCGTCGTACAACATACGACGATGGGCAAGGTGGTTTTGTTGCGGCTTAGGCGAGAACCCCCGCCGACTCCCGTGTGTGCTTGCGTGACCTGCGCCCTGTGCGTAGGCCTCACCGAAGAGGTGGTGGAAGACGCCCGGAAAGCCACGGAGGACTCCTTCATCGGCGAGATGACGCAGAGCGTCGCCGACCTCAACGCGCCCGACGACCACGGCGTGGTGGTGGTAAAGCAGCCCGCACCGCAGCAGCCCTCGGCAGCAAAACACCACCGGCGGCGCGACGCGTCGCGCAGATTTATTGACCCCGCACCCCGTGATCAGCTCGCAACGTGTACGGTAGAAGCCAGATCGCGGTGGCTTGCGAAGACTGGCGATGAGAAACGCTTCCTCTATGCCAGCGGTGGCCAGCCTGTAACAGACCATGGGCCGAAAAGTAGCGATGAGTTCTGCAAAGAGGCACGTGTGTATATATATAAACAGTTTTCGGCACAAGTCTTGTGGTTAATGCACACATAATTCCTTGTAAAAGGTTTCAGTTTGGTGTTTTAACAACTTAACACCGGGTTTGTTACCAGATAAAAGGGAAAAAACCTATTCTCAGGTACAAATTAATAAAAAAAATATATAAAAGAAACCAAAAACTACGACGTTTCGATCACAGCACAAGCGACCGTCATCAGGAGGAAAAAAAATGATGCTGATCTGCACTGCCGATCGCTTGTGCTGTGATCGAAACGTCGTTTTTTGTTTATTTTATACTTATTATTTTTATTCATTTGTACCTATCAACGTGACTTTACCGAAAGACCGAAAGAATCGGGTAAAACCTATTATTATTTTTCATTACATTCCAACTAAATGGATATAAATACTATAATTACCACTATTATCAATTCGCCTGTTTTTCAAAGTGGCTGAAACCAATTCTATTGTTCTGGCTACAATAGCAAATTCTCTTTTTATATCAATCCAGAAAAGCCATGCTGGGTTTGGAATTGTTTTTCCACTCGTGTTCTGCTGCGGCATTTTTGGGCAATTTCTCATCGAATATTGGTGCACGTGTAAAGGGGAGGAATGGAACACTGTACGCGGAGAAAACCCCACGATTTTTTAAGATAACGACCCATCACGGCTCCCGATCTACATTTGACGTGAACCTCGCACCAACCTCTGCGGCACACCTGGACGCATTCGTGCGAAACCCGCCCGGACGATCATCGCCTCCGCTAATAGCGGTGAATAATGATGCTGATCTGCACTTCCGTCGGCTGCAAGTGCAGACTTCTGACTTTGCTCAGCCGCACTCTCCTAACCCTTGCCGTCTGTCCCCACCCCTCACGCCCCCGGTGCGCGCTCCCCCATCAGCTGCACATGGCGGTGGCGCACGGCTATGAACGTGCCGTGCGGGTGCTGCTGGAGGTCGGGGCCCGCTCGGACATACCGGACGCAGACGGATGGACGCCCCTGCACGCAGCTGCCTATTGGGGCCAGGTCAGGGCGCAACACAGAAAACAATGACACCAGCGCCAAAAATAACGACAGCAACAACGCTAATTTATTTACGAATCCAGGAAAGGCCTCGCTGAACAACGCAGACAACAACAACAACAAGGGTGAAATTATATACCCAGGAAAGCCTTGCTAATTGCTAGAAGTTTGGCCAATTCATTTTTAAATAAGTGTGTGCTGCATTTGCGGGGAAACAGAGGTGCCCAGAGAATACATCCACGAGGAAGGGCTCAACAGCTCAAAGGTGCGCAGACAGAATCTTGAGCCCACTTTTGCCGCACTGCCATGTCCCGAACGTCGCTCAGCCCAGCAGGTGTTAGGAATTTTAACAAATCTGAGTGGCGCACCAAACCCTTGCCTCCGCAAGCGCCGGACTTCTGGCGTGCGACACAAATTCGTTTGGCGCAGCCTTGGCCATGACGCTTCGGTCGGGGTTAAAGAGTCCTCCTGCCTGGGAGGTTTGTCCGATTCCCTTGTTTGGTATTTTTTTACGCGAGAGAGAGGAAAACCCGCGTGGCCACAAGAAATCCGCGCGTGCGAGGAAAGAAGCCTCAAATCGCGAATAATAATAATGATGCCGTCCGTGGGAGCTGCTCAAATGGGGGGGGGGGGGGGGGGGGGGGGGAATTAGCTCGGAGCCCCGATGTGATTATTGCAATTTGGATGTAATTGCAGAGAAATGTTCTCAGAATCAAATTAGAACGAGAAGAAAATGTTCCAAAGAGCAAAATTACAATTAGCAGAGAATAACATTATGTGTAATGATGTCACGTGTATGTACATATGCAGCCCCGTGTCGGCCCACTGCTACACGAATCAAGAGTCTCCCCCACACCTGGCGGGTTCTGGGGGGCTGTTTGACCGCGGTGACCATGCGGGGGGGTCAGCGCGGTTGGGTGATAGGATACGGTGGGGTGGTGGCGATGGTTGTGGGGTGTGGGTGGGAGGGGTCGGTGGGGGGGGGGTGCGAGCCATGGTCAGGAATCGAATTTGGGGTTGTCGGATTCACAGCGCAGCACGCCCACCGCTGTGCCCCCCACCGATCCACCCCAGTGACATCCACGTTCACCTCCGCCAAGGGGGTCGACAACGAGCGTCTACATTCGCTTAAGAAAGTTGTTGACTATCGGGGTCCCTAGTCGCACAGCTCTTGCCTCCCGTGTGCGTCTGGGTGCCTGTGCGTCACGAGCACGGTGCTTGCCCCCCGTTTTCACCGTCGCCGGTTACGTCTCTGTCAGCGCAGCGCAGACCCGTTCCAGTCGGCTGTGTTCTTGACCCATTGTGGCTATTTTGGAAGTGTTTAACGCGCCTTGTTACGAGCCCAAACGCACGCTGCCTTGCCCGCATGCCTTCACGTCAACCCCCTCTCGTGCGGCCGTTAATCTCTCATTATTGTGCCCAGTTGACAAAAAATTACACTCCTCTCAAAGCGTGCCACGTGGTGGTTTAATTGTTTTCAACACCATTGCACATTTAATATTTCTATATATATATAAAACACTCTTTTCGTGGGACATACGCAAGGCCCGATACATTTAGACAGTGTCCTTTTAGCGTTGAGGGGGCGTGTTTTATCTTGAGTATATGGTTTTGTATGTAACATTAAAATACCTGGCAGGGTGCTCCATTTATAGATACCCCACGGATTTCCAATGGGGGGGCCCTCTTTGGAAATCACACCGGCTATGTGGTTCAAAGTGTGACAGCAGTTTTAAATTTCGATGTAAAGCTTTCGTGACTGCAGGGATTCATCTTCTTGGTTCTTTCGGTAAAGTCACGTAGAAGGGAGATAATAAAATAATAAAAATAAAACAATAAAATAATACAATTCTCACGACGTTTCGGCCACAACGCAAGCAGCCGTCCTCAGGTGAAGAACAGGTCTGTCGAGAAGACAGCGTCTGAATCAACACCACCAAGCTTGGTAGCATCTATTTAAGCTGGGTTAGGGGAGGAAGAGCGCCTTGACAAAGGATTGGTATTACCTTAGAGTCGCGGCATCTCTTCAGAAAGGTGAGAGACTCGATTAGCTGAGTCTTCTTATCCCGGAGTTTGTTGAAGGATGTTAAAGTTATGTGGAAACCCACCCCGTAGTGGCGGTTAAATTTCGATTTAAAGCTTTCGTGACTGCAGGGTTGAGTTCCCTATCATGTCTGTCTGTTCATTTTGTGGGGTAACCATAAAATCGATTACCCTGTATTTATTGACTTATTTATACTGGGTACAGGACTTGTAATGTGTCTCCCAGTCGCTCCTTCAGGGCACTTGAATTCATTATCTCGTAGTCAGAGCTCATTCTGACCTCAGAAAACAGGCGTCTGTGGTATCGATCGTAACCTGCACAACAAGCTGGGGGGATCTTTCATCTCGCTGATTAAAGATTATCATCAAAGTTGATAACGGCATCATCATCACCGCTAGGGGGCAGTGCACGTGGCAGAAGGCATAGACTTCTGAGGTCGAATATCACTCGTATGCAATGTAGCTCTCCTTCATTGTGTAAACTTAATGAGATTAACAGTGACCGGGTGATGGAGGGTTAACCCGATTGAGGCTTCAGTTCACTCACAAAATGTTTTTTTGTAAAATATATAAATATCAAACGATGGTATTCTTGGTTCTTTCGGTAAAATCACGTAGAAGGGAAATAATAAAATAATAATAAAATATTTTATTATTTCCCTTCTACGTGACATTACCGAAAGAACCAAGAATATGAATCCCTGCAGTCACGAAAGCTTTAAATCAAAATACAAACGATGGTAGTTTAGTTGATTGTTAAAAAATCACCCTATCGTCAGGCCAGGCTCCTACTACCTTGTGACTTGCTACACTGCTCACTATTGATTGCCTGCTCTGGGGAAGACCTATTCAGCACAGCGCTCGATGTGTTGGCGGGGGGAGGCGTGCGTCAGAATTTTCCGCTCGGTGTAATCGAGCGAAACTGTCATCGGCTAATCTGTCAAGTCGTGACGCAACCGACAGCAGCACGGTCCACGGGTCTGCCGCCCGGGTTCACGTGTGGCCGTGTAACCGCCAGCAGGAACGTCCTCGCCGAGCCAAAGTTCAACGGAGTGTTGGTGGTGGTGGAGGTGATGGATCTTTATACATACATCAAACATTTTATCTTTCAGGAAAACATCGCAGAAATCCTGGTGGCGTACGGGGCGCGGCTCGACACGGCGAATAAGCACGGGCAGACGCCTGTCGGTGAGTTGCTCGAAGAACTTCAGTGACGCGAGCGGCCGACCGCGTGGACCGGGCAAACAGTCGCATCGTGGCCACTGGAGGCCCCAGATGTTGTGGCCGTGATGATGCCACTTCTACGAGGGAGGGGAGGGAGAGAAAAAAACTCCCCACGTTCGTCAATGACGCTGTGGCCGTAAAAAGTATAGAGTCGGCAAAGTTTTTGGCAACGGACCTTCTTCATAGCACGTAGAGAGGCATTTTAGGTATAGATAGAGCGGAGTGTATGGATGCATGTTGAGATTATTTTCCACCGTACGTAGCCAACCGTGCTAATCGGAGGTGCGGAGGAAGGACAACAAACTAAACACAAAAATCAGTTCTAATGAAATGAGTTTCCAATCTAGATTTCAAAGTGCATAGCTCCATTGGCTAATATTGGAGGAGTTTCCAGACGGCCGCAGAAGCGCATCTGAATGCGCGCGATGCGTCGCGTTGCACCGATTGATAATCAATGCCTAAATTCACTCTGCTTGCACTGAATCGTGCATGTGGGGATCGTCTATGTGTTTTTAGTTTATACTACGTGTATTGCAAGTTATAAGCTCCTGTTATATTTAGGTTCACGGAGTGAATGCAACTGGCACAAATGAGATATTAAAGCATTAAAAGCAACGGTAAATCTGAGTTTTGCGGAGGACGAACACGCGCAAAGACAATGGGGGCAACACTGAAATTCGTCACACGTGTAATTTTTCCCAAAAACCTGCTTGCTGTAATGCCACCCAATCATCTTAAGGGATGGCAGCCAAAGCATCGGTACATTCTATACATTCCTTCCCCTGACGTTTGACGTGGAATCGGGCGGCCGGCTTCGTGCGCTGCGTTGGGCAAACACTCGTGTGTGTCGTTAAACATTGCAGCATGTGACAAGCGCTGAGCACACACGACGCTGCTCAGAGGCGGCGGGCGGTGGCTGTGCCGGGCTGAGTCACCTTTAGCCACGGAGGGCCGACGGCGAGGATTGAACTTTTTTTTACGGCCGCGCGCAGGTTTAACGCGTTCAAATAGACGGGGCCAGGAACCTGCTTTCAACCTCGCCGTGATCGACGGCGCAAACGCACGGACGCTTCGTTGCAAAATCCCTTTTTCACAAGGCCGGCAAAATTTGAAACACGCCCTGGTAACGCCTTTCACCTGTTGGGGTGTGTAATTGACAGCAGCCTTCTTGGCAGCGACCAGCAGCCATCCACGACATTTGGTCTATCCACTGGTGGGTTGAGGGGCCCTCCCCCGCTTCGTGAGGGTCGGCCGGGTTATTCGACCGTACTACGCCAGGCTGGCCGACGCGGGTTGATGAAGGCAGAGTACAACAGTGGATTTTGCCGCAACTGCCGTCTCCTCTGCCAATGTCGAAGCCCCAAAAGAGGTTGCAATGCCAGTTGTGTGCGTAGTGGTCACCCCCGTCCAAGCACTACCCAGGCTCAAACCTGCTTAGCTTCCGAGATTTGAGGGGTCTGTTGTTCGAGGGAGACCTCTGTCAGAATAATTGCTGTCCAATCATCGTAATAGTATAATTACAGGAGTGAAACAACGCAGTAAAATTAAATACATCATGAAAAACATGAACATTAAAGAGGTACAAGGTCAAACTTAATTGCAATACAAGAACGAGTATTAGATTAAAATGGTGCAAGGAATTAATACAAAATATTAGACTGACAGAAAAGCAGTGATTTTAAAGGGGCAGTAAAGCAACGAGAGTTACCTGGCGGGCAATGTTTGTGGAATTGGAGTGTTATCCCCTCACTTGATGGGGTATTTTTCTCTGACGCTTCCAGTTTGATGGACACGAAACATTACGCAAGAAAAAAAACCAGCGGCCATATATCTTGGAACAGGACTCTCCTGCTCAGGCAAGGCCTCTCAGAGGTCTCCAGAGGCTTGAGGCTGGGGGGTCCCAGGGCAGTTGCCAAATGGGACCCCCTAATTCATTCGCGACAAAAATAAAATGGCCTCCTTGGGGAAACCTCTTTTGTGTGAGGCCCGGGCGACAATTACCGCTTTTTCCTACACCATAATTGAGTAAACTTGGATAAGTCTTGTAGACTAAGTGATCGTTTTTCCCCATAGGAAATTGGCTACAGGATATGATGGGAGATCAAAAGTGCCTACATGAGACCACAGAGTATCGTGGGAAGCCACGTAATGCCATGATAGGCCACCGGACGTCATCGCTAACTGGCAGGCCGCTGCAGGTGACAGGAGATTGTGGGAGGTCACAATGTTTGGAGACTTTGGGAAGTAACAGGAAGGCACGGGGAGAGGCTCTTGAGAGGCCGTACGAAAGAGTGGCAAGTCGCAGCAGGTCACGACGGGAGATTGGGAGGTCCACGGGAGAGTCCACTAGAGCCTGTGGAAGGCCACAGGAAACCGGTGGTTACAGGAAAACGGCAGTGGCCACGGGAGGCCACGCGGAGACCGCAGGAGGTTACGGCAGGCCACGCAAGGCCTTCAAGGTGGGAGCCCGTGCCTCTGTTCGTTCACAAGCTGATGTTTGCACGCCCCCCCCCCCCCCCCTGCAGAGCTGTGCGAGGACGTGGAGATGCGCGCGCGGCTCGCGCGGCTCAAGGAGCGCGCCGAGCGGGGGCTGCTGGACGTGCGCAACCGCCGGGGGTTCCTGCCGCTCCACCGCAGCAGCCTGCGCGGCAGCAAGAGGTTGTGTGCTTCCCTACTCCAGTCCTTCACTCGCTCATTCCCTTCGCCTTGCGGGCCACCGAGAGGTTGATGCTACCCTAGCCCATTACTTCACTCATTCATTCACTCACTCATTCCTTTTGTCTTGCATGCTACCCAGAGGTTGAAGTTTCCCCAGACCATTCCTTCACGCATTCATTCACTCACTTCCCCAGTCCATTCATTGACTCGCTCATTCATTCAATCGTTCCCTTATCTTGCGCGGCAGCAAGAGGTGAATTTTGTAAAACAAAAAAACATTTGTATTAAATAGCATTACGTTTGGCCGAATTCCGCTAAGCTGCTAGCCGGGACGACCACTCGCACGCCGACACGAGCGGAGCGCTCTTACGCGGTGTCTTGCGCCGCACGCTCACACGCCGCCGCGCGCTTCCGACCGGCTCCAACAGCAGCAAGCTGGTGCACAAGGGACGCACGGAGGAGATGCAGAGCGAAGCCATCGTGTGGCAGACGATGGAGAAGCGGGACGACGTGGACGACGACGCTGAGGACTCCCGACCCGAGGACGGCAGGACGGCATCTCGCGTGAGCCTCGGGCGTGCGCCCCACCGTGGGAGCTGATTGCAAAAAGAAAAACGCCCTTTGGTTCTCTCGGCGTCGCTGACGGGGACGACCGTTGGCGCGTTGGGCACTCGCTCGCGAGGCCACTCCGACTGTCAGTCGGTCAAAAGCACTGGCTGGCTGGAGACGAGGGGGGGGGGGCTAATTTTTAACTGGGAGGAATTTGGGGATGCCTGGGTTCATGATGAGATGTGTGTGACTTAATGGGGCCTAGGTGGGAAAAAAAACTTTACGTGAATGTTTGGTCTACCTCGTGGACAAAGTGCGGTATTGCAGGAGATGTAAACAGTTACTTGGTAATGCAGTTTTATTAATGATTGTAGTTTACAAAAAATCTATCACCCAAGTCACGGGACAGGCTTGTAATGGTATTGTCACGATTTACCCAACATGGCATCAATGGCTTCTAATCAACGTCAAACATCAATGTCCGTATATTTGCGTGCAACTGCGGTGGATTCTTTTTCCTTCATTTCAGAATGCCCTGAACGGCAATGGAATAACGCACGGCGCGGGCGCGGAGCGATTATCAAAACGGGAAACTTCAGGTGCAGAAGCAGCTCCGACGGATTCTACCGCCACCTCCAATCGGCCTGCCCCTGCGGGCGACGCTGCTCCCGCTGCCGCCGCTTCGGGTGAACAAGATTCGGACGCGGTGGGTGAGAGCGCTTCGGCGAGCGACGCCCGGCAGTCGCCCGAGCCCGAGGCTGCGGACAAAAACTCTGCTGCAGACGACGACTGCAGCTCCGACGACGACGGCTCCGATGCCGACGTCCACTCGGTTAGCAGGCAGCCGCAGGAAGTCGTCGTCCAGCAGCCTGTCGCGCAAGTCACCGTGGCGCCAGCCGCAGGTGGCAATGTTGAGGATGCGCGCGGGACTGACCTGAGCAACGGAAAACCCATCGAATGCTCGGCGGTTTCGGCCGCTGTGAAGGGCGTCGCGGAAAGTGGCGAGCCGCCTCATGAAAATGAGAAGGCCGGAGCTGCTCCATCAGGTCAGGGGGGGGGACCCGGTGCGAGCGAAGAAAGTGACGAGCCGCCGCCCGCAAGCACGAGCGCGGCTGCCGCGTCAAACCGTCGCGACGATGATGGAGAAGCGAACGCTGCCGAGCAGGGCGAGAAGGCGCCGTGTTCGGAGAGCGCAGCGGCGGCGTCAACTCCTGCCGAGCGTTTGGCACCAACGGGAAGCGGCACAGCCAGCGCGGCGTTGGAGCAGAACGGTGAATCCAGCGATCCCATAAATAGCGTAGACGTCAATGGCGCTCGGCAAGCCGTGGACGCCGATGCTGAAGATAACGGCGTTGACGAGAAACCTGCATCTCCGCCGAAGGTTGGCTCCCTGCCGGGCGACGGAATATCGACGCATGGGGTGGATAGTTCTGCCGACGCTAATCCGCCGCCGCCGTCGTCGCCGTCAGACGATGCCGCGAAGCCGCAGGCCGCCACTCCGTCCAGCGTCGCCACTCCGTCCAGCGTCGCCACCACCTCCTCTTCCTCCTCCTCCACGGAGGGGGGGGCAGCGATAGATGAAAGCCGCGTCCTAGTGCAGCTCCTCAACGACGCGTTCGAGGACGACGATCTGTCGAGCAAAGAGGACGACGATGACAATGGCGGCGGCGGTGGCCCCGCCGGGTCCAGTGTCGTCGTGGGGGGTGTCGGCATGAGCGGCGGCCAGGTGGCCGGAGTTTCGTACGCGGCGGGAGGACACAAAGCGAACGGCGTAAGAGAGCCACGCCGCCCGCGGTGGGACGATCACGATGTGCCAACGTTCAAGGGGGAGGTGCGGGAAGACAACACCGAAGCGAAGGGGCGCAGGTGTTGCAAAATGATGTGATCACTACGCAGACTTTGTACGCCGTTTGTGTGCGCGTGTTTGACAACCCAAGGTGTGGCTCAGGCCGTAGAGCATCAGGGGTCATTCTAGATTTATAAGCAGCAAGGGGTGTCATTCGTGCGATTGCGAGTTCACGTCCTGGACTGGTTGACAGAGCCCTCATTGTCGCCGTCGTTCCCCACGGTTGGTAGAATGAGCACCGCCACGTGACAAAGCTGTGTACAATGTCGTGTAAAGTTCAACATCGGTTGTAGCATGGGACCCGCTGGTCCCTGCTAGTGGAGTGTGAAACTTCCCGCTGCTGGCTCAGGATAGCTAATGAAGATGAGCAGAACCAAAACGCTCGTTTGATTGTGCTGTGGTTCAAACTGCCCCGCGAATGGAACTGAATATACATTTGTTCACTATAATATTCGTTTATGAAATTATAAAAAAAGCACACACAAAAACCTAACTGTACATTATTCGAACATTTAGCCTTACGTTTTATTTGCTCTCGCGAGTTTCACAATGTGCATGCAGTCGCAATGCTGGCGGCGCGTCGAATCGCACCACAGACCAATCAAAGCTGTGGACAGTGTTAATGTGAACTCCGAAGTGTCGTTCTCACATCGGCAGATGCATTCAAAGTCAAGGGTGCTACCTAGCTTCGAACAAAACAGCCTTTGGCCCAGCAGGGGGGGGGGGGCGATAAATCTTGTGGTTAGTGACTCGATGAGACTGTTGCCAACTTGCGTGTTTCAGGGGCGCGCTTGGAGCATCGCTTCAAATTGTGCCGAGTCGTGAAGACCTCCGCCCCGTTACGTTGCGACGTGGAGCCCCGTTATGCGGGTCCCGGGGTGGTGGGACACATTGGGGGGGCCCCCGTGTGAAATCACCTTCATTGTGCTCGTTGGCACTGTGGGGGCCAAACTCGGCTTGCTCGTATTTACCTGCAGTAAAGTTCAAATACTGTAATCGGTGAGAAGGAAACAAAAAAAAACTGCTGACAATGATTGAATGCCTAAGTTATGCGTCGTTTTTGTGGGATCATGTAGTGATTTGTAATATCGTATCAGTCGGCTGTACACAGTCGTCGTGTTTATTAAACTCGTGATTCGAGTGTAGCGCACACTGAACCCCGAAACGATTGTTGTGTTCCTAGTTTGTTGCGATTGAAGCTTTGTGTTTTCACGACGGCAGGTGACGCGTATCTACGCATGGCCACGTGTGTGCTTGTGTGTATATGTGAGTGTGTGTCGACCCGTGGCACCTGGGTCTGCCCCGTGACCTCCTGCCAGCGGGCGTTCGACACTTCACGTGGCCTCAAGGTGCACATGGCCTGGCACAAGCGTCGTGGTGACGTCACCGCCACTTAGTGGTGAATGGCGATGATTGTTGTTGTTTGTGCAACTGCGGGGAGCGGTGGTGTAGGAGTTAGCGTGCTGCGCTACGAACCTGGCGACCCGGGTTTGATTCCCACTCGCGGTCGACACCAGCGAAAGCGATTATCTGAACCGGTCCTGGGTCTTCCCTAGGTCAACTCGGCCTCAAATGAGTCCCTAGTGCGGTGTGTAAAAACATCGTCACTAGGGAGACAAAGGCGGCAGGGCATGGTGCTGGCCACCCACCCCCTGGTCTGCCGTTCTGGCCTTCACAGCTGCACACTAACAAGTGCTTGCCCACTAACAGTGCTTGCCCCAACAGTCTGGTAAGGCTATATGGGGAGATCGTTGTCTTTTTGTGTGTGGATGAGTGAGAGGGCCGAGTGAGTTGAGTGGGTGTTGTTGTGACCTGCAGTGTGGCGGTTGGATACAGTGGGGATGAGATGAGACAATCACAGTCTGGAAAGACCTTAAGACATTGGAGGAGGAGGAATCAAGGGGTGAAGTTCATGGGAATAGTAACCATTGTGTGTGGATGTATTCAATCTAATCCACCCATTGCGTGTTAAAGGTTCACGTAGTTTTTTTCCAGCACCTCTTTACAGTCGGAAACGTAGCCTCACTGCACAGTATTTTATTCGGCTTGAATCTACGCACATTTGTGGCGTCGTGGAAGATATATTTTACATAGAGAGGGCATCACCCATTATTAGCAGGTGCCTCATTGGCCTCAGCAGGGGTCTTGCTATATAGAGGGTGATCGTAAGGAGCCTCTCTGGTTTTAAAGTTACGCATATGCATGATAAATAATCTCACACATTTAATAAATTAACGTCATTATTTAGCAGTGTCCTTCCATGTAAACAATAAAAGTATTTTTGTTACACATCCCATTGGCCACGTGACCTTCTGGGGGTGTTTTTTTTCTTTCAGCAGCGCCGGTTTAATATGTGAATTTACACTACTGGTCATCTGTATAAAAAAGTGCACGAGTATTGGCTTAAACCAATACTCGTGCACTGCCCGATGTCGCGTTCATCGTTTTTGTTCACACATTAGCATATTTAGTATTTATGTATTTCTCCAAATGTCTTGCAGCATTTCATGCGACCTTTCCAGTTGCAGTTCTCATCATGGCTTTGAGTTCCGCGACATTTCTTCGTCGAGTTTTGTAACTTTGATCCCACGATTTGATCACCTTGTTCAACACCGCTCTCCTCTTGCGACACATGCAGGCTTGACCCTCGGCATGACGAACACCACACCGATTCCTGTCACGTCATCACCCACAATGTCTTCTCGGTATCGCATATAGAACACACACATATATACATCTTGTTCACAAAATTACACCAAAACTACGAAGGGACATTCCAATCACTCTGTATGTAATAAGTGCTCATTAACAGGATCTGCCCCAGCAGTTTGTAAGACTAATTATGGGGTATTTGTGTGTGTGTACATATATACAAGAATAATTTGTTGCAGCCTTTTTTTATACATCCACCGCTGCATGATGAAGCCCTGCCATGGGCCAAGACCCGTTCAGATGTAACTCGCCACCGGTGTTAGCCGTGACCAGGAATCTGACGCCGATAACCAGGTCTATTGTCAGTGTGAGCGCCGTCACGCCGCCTGAAAGACAAAATCATTCACAGTTGTGTTGTGTCGGGAGCCGCACTGAAGGGCACCAGGGACCGCCAGTGTCCCGTGAGCCTTGCAATGAAGAACACTGCCTTAGTGCTTCCCATGTACATGTGTATGTATATGTGTGTGTGTATTCATGCGTATGCAAAAATAGTGGGGAGCGGTGGTGTAGCGGTTAGCGCGCTGCACTACGAACCCGGCGACACGGGTTCGATTCCCGCTCACAGCCAACACCAGTGACGATTATCTGAACCGGGCCTCCCCTAGGTCGACTCAGCCTGGTGCGGTGTGTAAACATTGTGCCACTAGGGAGACAAATGCGGTCGGGCGTGGTGCTGGCCACCCACCCCCTCGTGTACCGTTCCGGCCTTCATAGGTGCTCGCTAACAGCACTTGCCCCTACAGTCTGTTAAGGCTATATGGGGGATCTTTGTATTCATGCGTATGCAAAAATGTCTTGAGTTCTGTGTGCCCACTACTACTCTGTGTCTGCGATCCAGGCAGCACATGTGCTGTGGCTGGATTTGTTTTGTGGTCTCCTTGGTATTTCACGAGCTCAAACGGTTCCATACTTTGCCATGAAAATAAATAAAGGAACTCGTGAGCAAAAAGAAAAAGGAGCACCAAGCACGGTCTAGTAGGATTATTGGAATACACAATTAAATTGTGTTTCGATTTAAAGCTTTCGTGACTGCAGGGATTCATCTTCTTGGTTCTTTCGGTAAAGTCACGTAGAAGGGAAATAATAAAAATAAAACAATAAAATAATTCTCATTATTATTTTATTATGTCCATTCTATTCCCCTTCTACGTGACTTTACCGAAAGAACCAAGAAGAAAAATTAAATTGTGGTCTAAAAGATCCATTTGTTTATTTTAGTCGGCAGCACTTGCGTTGGTTCTTGACTGAACGAAGTTAAAACATTTAAGTTGTATTTGTTTAAATAGAAAATGTGCGACAACATGCAGGCACTTTGAAGATACAACTTTGCATTTTATTACATAAACCTCATTTATAGAATGTGTGTTTCGTTTTGCTCGAGGTCATTCGTAATACTAAGATATGTTCATCGCTTATAAAAGAAACCCTGACGTCTGGCTTTTAATTCGTTTTGCATTTATATTTTTTCCCGCTGAATGCTTGTGCGGACCAAATCCACTGATAAATTATTTATTTTTATGACACGCTTTTTATTAACTCTGGTGTATCCTCAAATCTTGTAACTCAATTTTAACCAACTTCCCAGTGTGGTATCGACTGCAAACTTGGTATACTTATGTCATACCGATGACAATACCATATTATATCATTGAAAATAAAAAATATACATTTTTAAATATTATTTTTTATATGTTATGTTTCGGCTTGAGTCTAATTGTCCACGCTCAACTGACGTTGGCTGTAAATCACCACGGTCACTTACGTTACGGCAAGCTTCGGGGCCACTTCCTGGAGTCGTGGAGTTCTTCCATTACTAGTATGGTACATTTCATTAAAGCGTGTTTAAAAAAAATGTTTTTTATATATATATTTTTACACCAATTTTTGAAAGAATAACTGCTGCTGATGATGGGTGACACAGATGCCGTTTCTGTCCATTACTTACGCACCGCTTCATAAACGCAGAGCAGAAGGACAACGCGTCGCCTGTTGGCTCTGTAAAACACAAACAAAATCACGATTCAATGCGCATTAAGATGACGGTCACACATGTTGACACTGCATCCGACAGCACGTTGAAAGCTCCCATGTTAGTGAAATGGAATTGTTGGCACTGTGGGATCGCGGTGCGTGTGTGTGCGGGCGTGGTGCTTGCCACCCACCCACCCCTCGTGTGCCGTGCCGGCCTTCAAACTTCAAAGGTGCTCGCTAAAAGCACTTTCCCCAAATGTCTCAGGCGATGCGGGCGATCTTTGTACACCAGTACGTGCGTGTGCATGACAACGATGTGTGTTTGCATGCACATTATAAAAATATGCATGCGTGTATGCATTCTGAAACCGCCGAATTTACCAAAAAAGCGACACGTTTGCCAACAAAATCTACGGAAATAAGCATTTTGGGAGGTCACGTACTGAATAAATAAAGAAAATAACTGGGGTCACCGATGGACTTTCGTTGTCAAAGTGGGACTGGGCCAGGCCACGTGAGGACCGATGGACAAAATTGACTGCGCGGTGGACACCAAGAGAGGGCGACTCGAGACGTCAGAAGCGACGGCGAAATGGATTTAAAGAATTCGGGAGGCCGCGAGTTGGACAAGAACCGTGGAAGTGATGAAAGAGAACGAGGGAGAGGCCACTTCCCCTGCAGTGGGAAAGATACAGTCGGAGAAACCACAACACCGCCGAGTGCGCGCGCGCGTGTCTCTGTGTATTTGAAAACATGTGCGTACAACGCACGCGTGCCCTAGGTCGTTGTTGGGGGGGGGCGGCATTGACTGTGCTCGTGTGTGCGTGCATCCCGTGGCGTGCGTGAGAGTGTGCCTCTCTTTCTTTGTGTTTCCCATCAAACCCCCCACCCCCCCATAAAACGTGCGATCCCGTGCGCGTGCACACGTGCCGGTGTGTAAGGGGAGCGGTGGCGCAGCGGTTAGCACGCTGCGTGAACCCCTCCCCCCTTCCCTCCCAGGGTGACACGAGCTTGATTCCCGCTCACGGCCAACACCAGTGGCGATTATCCACTAGGTCAACTCATCCTCACATGAGTACCTGGTGCGGTGTAAGAACATCGCCACGCGTGTAGTGACTGAATCGGAGACACTTAAGAGTTGGAGGCACTCTGTTTATGAACACGCACCAACAGGTGGAACACTTCCACATAATCCGTCTGTAGTCCGACTACGGCTCCCAGTCAGGGCAGCGGGTAGACTGCCTCTGACTGGCGACGCCGAGACCGTGAAGACGGAGACGGTGATGAAGACGCGACGGGGACCCCCCCCCCCCGCTCCACACGACAGCCCCGAGGTCCCCTCCCGGGACTCCTCTTATACTGCCAGCGTGGCCTGGCTCCGCCCACGGCCACGCCCCCTTTCTAGAACCTACCCGCGGGTTCCTGATGTGCCCCTTGCGTGACCTTTCCCCTAGATCCCCCCTCTGGTCTATCACGTGGCCTGCTGCTGCAGTAACAGCATAGCGCTGGCCTGCCAGCAGCCAGCGCTATGCTGCTACGTGGCTAATGCTATGTCACTACATTGGGGAGACAAAGGCGGCCGGGCGTGGTGCTGGCCACCCACCCCCCATCGTGTGCCGTGCTGGCCTTCGTAGGCTAACATCACTTGCCCCAAATATATGTTAAGGCTTAATGGGTGTTTTTATGGAACTAATATATCCCCTAATATCGTATAGCACACAATGTATAGACAGTCCATGACGTTGGTCAATGCTAATGCTGCTCTGCAAGGGATAGAAAGCTTAAAGTTGGAACATAGAGTCAATTCTACGCTTATATAACTAGAAACATCCATTTCCTAGATTTGTGAATTCAGATTCCAGATAATTACAGCCCACTGCTCCATTCGTGTTACTCATAAGGCAGGGTAATTCTAAAGTTCCAAACTACTCGTGCTGGTACACACATACTGTAAAAATATCCTCGTCATCCATGAACAAAGTAAGTCGCCTTGCATCTGGTGTTTGGCTCGCCATCGAACAAAGACTGTCACCGCGCCGCACGCTTTCAGATGCGAATCTGCGGCCGTCTGGAACGTTCTTCCCGATATTAGGAAGCCGCTGGGAGCGATGCACTTTTAAGTCGTATAGATTGACAAATACATTTCTTTGGAACTGCTTTTTGTGTGTTTATTTGTCTTTTCTCTACACCTCCGATTCGCACGGGCAAAGTATGGTGAGAATCCGATTAGCACGGCTGGCTACGTACGGTGCGAAAGAAGTTCAACATACACACAAAGTGCATGTAAAACCGATAGCCTGTGACCCCCCCCGCTCCCCCACCGCCAGTTCCTGGAAGACGTGCAAGGTTCGCTTTGGGGGCTAGCGTGGTGAGCGAGCATGGAGAACGAGCAGTGAGTGAGCGTGGTGAGTGTGATGGGTGAGCGTGGTGAGCGTGGTGAGCGAGCGTGGTGAGTGAGCGGTGAGCGGTGAGTGAGTCAGCGTGGTGAGTCAGCGTGGTGAGCGAGCGTGGTGAGTCAGCGTGGTGAGCGAGCGTGGTGAGTGAGCGAGCAGTGAGTGAGCGTGGTGATTTGCTGTGGTGAGCGAGCGTGGTGAGTGAGCGGTGAGTGAGCGTGGTGAGTTGGCGTGGTGAGTGAGCGAGCGTGGTGAGCGAGCGTGGTGAGTGAGCGGTGAGTGAGTGAGCGTGGTGAGTTGACGTGGTGAGCGAGCGTGGTGAGCGAGCGGTGAGTGAGCGTGGTGAGTTGGTGTGGTGAGTTGACGTGGTGAGTGAGCGTGGTGAGCGAGCGGTGAGTGAGCGTGGTGAGCGCGCGTGGTGAGTTGGCGTGGTGAGTGAGCGTGGTGAGCGAGCGTGGTGAGCGAGCGTGGTGAGTTGACGTGGTGAGCGAGCGTGGTGAGCGAGCGGTGAGTGAGCGTGGTGAGCGAGCGTGGTGAGTTGGTGTGGTGAGCGAGCGTGGTGAGTGAGCGGTGAGCGAGCGTGGTGAGTGAGCGGGGTGAGTGAGCGTGAGTTGGCGTGGTGAGCGAGCGTGGTGAGTTGGCGTGGTGAGCGAGCGTGGTGAGGGAGCGGTGAGTGAGCGTGGTGAGTTGGCGTGGTGAGCGAGCGTGGTGAGTTGGCGTGGTGAGCGAGCGTGGTGAGGGAGCGGTGAGTGAGCGTGGTGAGTTGGCGTGGTGAGTTAGCGTGGTGAGTGAGCGTGGTGAGTTAGCGGTGAGTGAGCGAGCAGCTATTGATGCCCCAAACGGAGGGGGCCGTTGCGTGGCCTGGCCCCCAAAGTCTACCAACGTGACAACAGCGGGAATGACGACGTCGACGCCGCTTAAAACATCCCAAACCACAGAAATGTTGCCTTTTTTATTTCTTTATTAAGCCTCCAGAGAGACGCGTTTGGTCTTCGCTGCACATACCGCTCGCGTCCAGCCCAGGCGGGCAAGTTCGCAATGCAACGCGATGCACTGCCCGTCACTTGATGGACTGGACTCTTAAAGAGTGCAGCGCGATATCGAATGCTCCGACTCTCTTTCTTGCTTGTGCTCACGATTTCATCGGAGTGAACGGGCGGTGTTGTTGGTTCACGTTGCGTCTGTGTCTGTCCGTCCAATTGCTGAGCAAATATTCTGGACGCCGGCTCCGTTGTTTGCTGGTTTATGGTCTCAAGAATAGCTAAGCGACTGAATGGCAAGGTCGAGGACGTTATACATCACAAGGTAAGAACTCTTAAGCTCGTTTGACGCGTACGTGCCATTGAGTGGAGCAGCGTGGTTGGCACTGAACCTGTGAACTTGATTAATTGAGTTCCATTCCTGGCCACCTGAGTGATACCTGGACCGGTGCTGCCCAGCCTTCAACTTTCACTCACCAGCATGGTGAAGTATAGTCAAAGAACCCTGTTGATTAGTATGGCATGGGAAGGTCTTCACATCTAGCAGGGAATTTACAAAGGGCTGTGAATTATAGGGTTAATTTTGACATTTTACACGACATTTTTCTTCTGCTGAGAGAAGATATTCTTTATGATGCGTTGCTTGTGGTGTGAGTGTGCGTTTGTGCCAGATTTGATTTAACCTCCGATTTTGAATAATTTCTCTGTCACACCGTGGATTACAAGTATTCTTTTTATGATCATGGAAAGCGTCCTTACAATTAATCTGGAGGTATTAGACTAACGAGTATATGTCTGGAGGTATTAGACTCACGAGTTTCTATTTGACCCTATGGACCCTTAATGTCCGAGGCGACTTGGGGCTTAAATTCGAACCTATGAAGCCTAACCATCACCGGTGGCCTTATACAAACGTCGTATATGCGCGTCGCAAATGTGACCGTCGTAAACCGAGTGTAACATTTCCCCAAACTTTAAATCAACATCTTTTTATACTGACATTTAAAAATACCGTACGTAAAATCAGTGCTTAATTGAATATACATTTTTCACAAATGTTATGCGCTCCAAGAATGGGCGTTTTAATAACAACAACAACAAAATCCGGACAGACGAGAAACAAACTCGCACGTGCTCCATTATAGCATCGAAAATGTTGTAATGAATAATAATTCGTGAGACGTGAGATGACATGATGATTCTGCAGACAAGATGAATAAAAACAAATACGGTGTACATATTCCACCGATCGATTGTACTTTCGCGGGGCTAATTGTTGTTTTAAGAAAGGAAGTTACGTTATTTCTCACACAAAAAAAACTTGCGTATAACCAGCGCGTGGCATCGTATCTGGTTCATGTTATGAGCACAGGACACAGAGAGAAGGGGGCGCTTTTCTGGCATGAAGGAAGATCAAACGAACTTGCTTTGCACATTTTTGTGCACTGCCTCTGTACAGCCCATGTGTGGCCAATTGAGATAACATGGAACCCATGGTCCTATCAGATTGGCTTTAATGGATTAGCTCTCGTACATCACACACGGAAACAACAGCGGCAGTACAACAACATCCACACTACGGTAGATAAGACGACGGTGTACAACAAAGCCCAAAGTTAGTGAAGATGTTTTTTTGCATTTCTATTATGGAGCTGAAGCTTTACGTTAAGGCTTTTCTAGTTGTATGGCATTCCAGTGTTTTACTGGTAGGTCAAATTTGATTGCTTAAAGTTAACGGTGTGGCCTAACTTTAAACAAAACTGTGCAAAACCGCTCCCCCCCCCCCCCCCCTCCATAAATACCATGTGGTCTTTCTTTCTAACCATGAACTCAGTTAGTGACAAACAGAAGGGGCACACCGAGCTAATAACGTCGCAGAGCTGAAACTAATACAGTACAGGCAGTCCCCGAGATACGAACACCCAACTCACGAACATCCGCACTTACGAACACATCCGCACTTACGAACGAACCGCCATATCGATGCTATAATTCGTAACCATCCGACTTACGCACCGAACCACGGAACTATTTCGTGGAGTCACCAACTTTCACAAGCGGAGTTCACATTGTGCTCAACCAGGGATGCTCCGCTTGCCTCATTACATCCTCCGCGAGATGTAATGACTGCCAGCCTCCCACGTGATGCACGGTCCTTCTGACAGGTAAGCCAGCATCAGGACTCAAGGGGAAGTGAGAATAAAACAGATACATTTTCTTGGTCCATTTTCAACCATAAACACATTTGTTCAACACTCACCGTACGCACAGTCTATGCAATTACATATTGAATTCCGAGATACGAGCAAAAAAATCGACTTACGAACGGGGTCTCGGAAAACGCGAGCCGTTCGTAAGTAGGAACCTGCCCGTGACTGGTTCAGCAGCTCCACTGCTCGATTATTTTTTCCGCCTGCGCACGACCGCTTCTGTTGCGATCAAAACATCGTGATATATTATTTTTTGCTGCATTTCCTTTTTCTACCCACGTGACTTTACCGAAAAAACCCAAGAGTATGGATTCCTGCAGTCACGAAAGCTTCAACTCAAGATTGCCCGTGACTCTAAAGCGGTCCCACCGCGGACGGTGCTTGACGGTGCAAACATGACCCTTGACACCAGGATGCGCAGCCCAGCAGCGGCGGTGGCTCTCAGATCTCTCGTGGCGCTGGGGGCCGTCGTGCTTCTGCTGCTGCTTCTGCTCGGGGCCACGTGGCTTTGGCGTCCTGCGAGTGACCCGCTGCCGGGCCTCAGCCGGCCCAAGCGGGCCCCCCTCACCGCGCCCGTGCCCATCGCCGATGATGAGCGACGAGCGCTCACCGAGTACCACAACCGCCTGCGAGCCAGCGTGCACCCACAGGCGGCTGACATGGAGCACATGGTAAGCGCGCGCTGCGGAGTGGCAGATGCGGTTAGGCCCTCGAAGCTTCGAGCTCTGTCATTGGCATTACAACAACAGCAAACAAAACAAAAAAAGTAAACCCGTAAAAACAAAGTTTTTCACTATAAATCCTTTATATGCGTGGCGGCTAGAGTCTTCTCGTCCTCTGGCTTAAATTCCCTAAACAGTGTAACATTTTGGAAAAAAAAATTCACGAAACTTTATTGTCACGCACAACGAGTCTGTATGGGTCAGATGATTGTCTGCCAGTATTAAGCAATTGGTAATTAAATATTTAATTTGTTTTCCCTAAACAGTGTAAAATTTTGGAAAAAAAATTTCACGAACATTAATTGTCTTGCACAACGAGTCTGTGTGCAAAATGTCAGCTCGATTGGATCACGGGAAGTGGGTTAAAAAACGACCGAAAGATTTGCACGGTCGTAAGCAAGCAAGCAAGCACGCAAGCAAGCAAGCACGCAAGCAAGCAAGCGAACTTAATATAAAGGATGTAAAAAGCCAACCACTTTTGACGGTATTATCTTATTTGACTTATGATTGGCGCAATTACGACTTGTTTGCAAGAAGAAAAAAAACCGTACTCAATTGGGATTGCTGTGTGCCAGTGTTCTTCATTGCAAGGCCCACGGGGCCACTGGTGGCCTGTAGTGCGGCCACTGACAATACACAAATAGTGAAAACACCCCCACCATCATCGTGCACCCTCGCACTGACGATGTCTTATAGCTCCCCCTTCGAAGAATTCGTGAAGAACGCTGCTCTATACAAAGCAAACATCGCCCCCTATTGGAAAAGCAAACTTGACAGGACCATCCTGAAAGAAAGTCGTCAGCCTCTTGCCTCTCTCGCCTCCTTCTTCCATGGCCCCTTCTTGTCCACTTCCTTACCAATCTTCTGTCTCTCTCTGTCCCTCCTTCTCCCTGTGTCCAATCGCGTTTCTGGCCATCCCCAGTCCTTGCACCCCTCCACTTCCCCTGTACATTGAACAGCACTGCCCACAGACTCAACACTGCCCATAGACTCAATTCTGCCCATAGACTCAATTCTGCCCATAGACTCAACACTGCCCATAGACTCAACACTACCCATAGACTCAACACTGCCCATTGATTCAACACTGCCCATAGACTCAACACAGCCCCTGTCCGTTAAGCGGTCCCCCTCGTTAGCCACCTTCCACTCCTCTCTGAACGCCTCACCTCTTACCCATTGCCAATCTCTCTTCCCTCCCCATCGCCCCTCAATGTCTTCCCTCCCATTGCACCCGTTGCTCACCCCTTGCACGTCCCTCACCCCATCTCCATCATCCTTGCTTATACCGGGTTTTTTGTTTTTAAATCCTTTATATCAAGTTCACTTGCTTGCTTGCTTGCGCGCTTACGACCGTGCAAATCTTTCGGTCGTTTTTAACCCACTTCCCGTGATCCAATCGAGCTGACATTTTGCACACAGACTCGTTGTGCGTGACAATTTATTTTCGTGAAATTTTTTTCAAAAATGTTCCACTTTTTAGGGAAAAAAATATTTCATTTTTTATTTAAAATACCAATGTGATAAAAATGAAACTCTTACTCAAGAAAAACAGAAATGAATAATAAAATAAAACCGATGCCACGCATATAAAGGATTTATAGTGAAAAACGTTGTTTTTACCGTTTTTTTTTTATTGAACGATGTCGGGACCGTGTGTGTGTGTCCTGCAGTCGTGGGACTGGAAGCTCGCCGAGATGGCCGAGGCGTGGGCCAAGCAGTGCAAGTGGGGACACGGGCCCACTGATGAGATCGACGCCATCGGCCAGAATCTCGCCGTCTACGTCGGCAGGTGACCTCGACCTTATCACGGCGGCGCAGAGAGAGAGAGAGAGGGCCCTTTCACAGGGGCCATTTTGGAGTGATCCTCCCCAAAAAACCGTCAACTCACGCACTCAGCATGCTCGTCAGAGCACTGAAACGTAACTCTTTTTTTTGAGAAGCTACTTGGCCACGTCGCATGGAAATGTATAGCGGGCAAACACTCGATACGTGTGTTTCTAAATGTGGAGGGAGGGCCCGGGGAGAACGTGGAAACTCCAAATATCACGGTCGGTTCGAACCCACGACATCCTGCATACCAGGCAAGGGAGCCAGCATCGTCGGGATCCTGGGTCTGATTATCATTTTATTTGAACGGGGTTTTAAAGTGCGGCGAGTTGATGGCCTAAACCCAAACTCAGACGAGGGAACGAGGGAACGAGTTGTAAGTACCCCTTATATAAGCACAGGTTCTGATATAAGTGGCACATCCTCACATTGCACTGGCTACCTGAGTTCGATTCCCGCTCACGGTCAACATTAAGTGACGAATATCTCAACCGGTCCTGCGCCTTACCTGGGTCGATTCAGCCTTAAATGAGTACTTGGTGCTGTGTGTAAACATCACGAATGGGGAGACAAAGGCAGTCGGGCGTGGCATGAGCCACATACCACCTTCATCTACCGTGTTGGTCGTCATAGGTGCTCGCTCACAGCACTTTCCCCAACAGCCCGTGTCGGCTACATGGGTAATCTCTGTCGCAGGTCTACACGTGTTATGCAATTTCACTTGTGTGGGCGTATGTGAAGCAGCATCTTTGACTTAAAAACAGACTCACCACGTGCCGTGGGGGGCCATAGCCTGCTGCTTGAAATGAATTCCGGATTTTTCTCGCTAAGGTCTGGATTTGATAACGATCCCCACTGATGTACAGATACCCACAGCAACTCACATCCCTTTATCTCACCCCCCCCCCCACCCCTCTTCACCACATACACAGCGACCGTCCACTCGCCTACCACGTGCAAGCGTGGTTCGACGAGGAGGAGTGGTACCAGTACCCCGAGGAGAAGGAATGCAGCCCCGAGTGCCCTCACACCTGCAGGGGCCCCATCTGCACTCACTACACGCAGGTGCACGTGGGGGGTTCACGCACATCGCCACTCCGTCTGTTTCATGGGCAGCAACGCCGCAAGTGGTTATCCAGTGGCCGCTGACTCGTGTCTCGCCGGCGTAGCCGCTGAGACGTTGGTGCAAAGTTGTTTCATTCCTCCGCCTCTGTCCATCCGGCAGCATCAACTGGGTTGACCACAGTCAGTCGAGCTGCAGGTCACCAGTGGCGCAGTGGAGTCTGGGTACTCCCAAATCTTCCGGGACGTCTGGCAAACGTGGACGAGTAGGGACACTTTTACCCTCTGACTGTGGCCTTTCTAGAGCTCCCGTCGAGGTGAGGTCCTTCCGCCAAGTGCTTGCATAAAGCAAGCACTTGCAGGGCTTGCACCTTTAACCTTACCTTTTGTGTAATCGCGTGAGAGCCCATTGCTAGATGTACTGTGCCAGACGTGTGTGGTTGTGCACACCTGTAAGGATCCGCAATGCATTGTTGTGGAGGATCACACCGATTGCCGTCATCGTGAGCACGAGATGAACTTCCAACACGCCGGGATATGAGGATGATTCTGGTGGTCACTAATGTCTGCACAAACAAACCCGAGTCTTTTCGTTGTAAGTCAATGATTGTGCTCGTTTTGTCACTGAGAATAGAAACATTCTGTTTGATTGACATGGGAAACGCGCTCTTTGCACGACATATACACAGCGTCTGCTTGCGTTGGGTAAACAGCCTTTCTTTATTGCAGTGCCTTCAGAAGTAGTTCTGTGACGTTACCTTCCCGGGCTGTTTTCTGACACGGGGTGGTCCACTGCTGTCTGCCAGAGTTCTGAATGGAAATGCATTTGTATGAAGACACAGCACCACATGCCCTTGCTGCACTCGTTATTTTCTGTTGTAGTGGGTTTTCTTGTCGTTGACAAATTATAATTTATCGTTGCTTTTAAGATAGCTGTTGGGTCTCCACATTGTAAAGGAAACCCATCTGTATATATTGGGGCTGCTAGCGGCATATGACAGCAGAGAACACGAAAAACGGTAGTGTGCTGATGAGCTCTAGTGAAGACGAAACCGGTCTGCAGTTGTCTCTTTGCCTCGCGAACGCCTGCTGGGAGGGCCACGCTCTTGAGTCGGTGTTCCAGATGACAACAGAAATTGCCACACTCGTTCATTCGCTTCCTTACAGCTGGTGGTCTGAATAAGGCTTTGAGATCTTTTGTACGTGGAATATAATTTGGGAGTGTGCAAAAATATGAAGGAAAAACACACGTTGGCAAGGGATATCCACGTACTATGAATGCATACACGATATCTTAAAGGCAACGATCATTCTAATTTGTAACCGAAAAGAAACCCCATTATAACAGTAAAAAATTAGTGCAAAAAGAAAAAACAAACGGGCGTTGTGTCTTCAGATAAGTGCATCGAGCTATAGACACACGTTCGCTAAGCTTGAAGTTTGCATTATCTGTCAACCCCTTATCAGTGCCCCACCTGATTACAGACCAATTCAGACCTCATCGGTCACCCCGTGTCCCTTATAAACTTTGATTTAAATTTTTATTGAAAGCTTTCGTGACTGCAGGGATTCATCTTCTTGGTTCTTTCGGTATAGTTACGTAGAAGGGAAATAATAAAATAATAAAAGTAAAACATAATAAAATTATTTTCGATTTAAAGCTTTCGTGACTGCAGGGATTCGATCTTCTTGGTTCTTTCGGTATAGTCACGTAGAAGGGAAATAATAAAATAATAAAAATAAAACATTTTAAAATAAAATTCTCACGACGTTTCGGTCACAACGCAAGCAGCCGTCCTCCCTTATAAACTTCAACGTTCATCCTACAAAGTCCCATCACGAGGGAGAAACACAAACAAATAGACAAAAATACATTTTTTGTGCCCCTATTGAAACGGCTGTACGCCGTATGGCCCTGAAAACTCAAATGTCCCCTGTCACAAGAATACGGGGCGGACCGTGCGGGGGTTGACAGCGATGAGTTTCTTCGGCGTCGCTCAGGAGGCCACGAGTGGTTGATGACCGAGTGCTCGTGGCGTGCCGTGGCCAGCTAGTGTGGGCAGAGAGCAGCCGCGTGGGCTGCGCGGCGCACACCTGCCTGGACATCTCCGTGTGGGACGCCGTGTGGCCTTACGCCCTCTACCTCGTCTGCAACTACTCCCCCAAGTGAGTGTCTACTGCCCCCCCCCCCCATCCTCACCTACGATTACGCCGCCAGGCTGTGTCGCACCGATCGTGCGTGTGCTAGGGACCCGGCGAGCACGAGTTTCAGTCAGTTTAACACGTAGGCTTTCGCGACCAATATTATTCATAATCAACGTTTTAGGGTTAGATCGCGTTATTTATAAATGTGTCGTAAGCCTCCACCACCCGACACGGCCAATCAGTAAAAAAGCGTGAAACCACAACATTTACAATTTGAGTACGACGTTTCGCTGGTAATTGCATCATCGGGCAATTCGCCAGAATGGTGAATTGCCCGATGATGCTGGATGCAATTACCAGCGAAACGTCGTACTCAAATTGTAAATGTTGTGGTTTCACGCTTCAACACACCGGTGGGCTAAAGCAGTGAACTATTTGTCTTTAGTCAACGTGACACTTTTTTACTGATTGGCCGTGTCGGGTGGTGGAGGGTTACGACACATTTATAAATAACGCGATCTTAACCCAAAAACGTTGCTTACGAGTTTCAGTGTCAGCGAATAATTGAAGCGGTCCTTGGGGCCCCCTCGAGGTCTACTCGGCCTCGAGATTAATAACCGCGGTGCGATGTCTGAGCGTCGCCAATGGGGAGACAAAGGCGGCCGGGCGTGGTGCTGGCCACTCGTACCCTTACGCCGCGCGTCGTGCCGACCTCCACAGGGTGCGACTCACTCGTGGCACTTTGCCCACGATGGTCTGTCAAGGCTGCGCGGCGCGGCGGCGGGGATGGGATCTTTGTCCTTGTACGAGCGTGGTGGCGTGAACTCGGCTTGTGAGAGTCGTGTCTCTCGATTTAAAGCTTTCGTGACTGCAGGGATTCATCTTCTTGGTTCTTTCGGTAATGCTCCAAGCATGGTGCTGCTTCATTCAGACGCTGTCGCCTCGACAGACCTGGTTTTCACCTGAGGACGGCTGCTTGCGTTGTGGCCGAAACGTCGTGAGAATTATTGTATTGTTTTATTTGTATTATTTTATTACTTCCCTTCTACGTGACTTTACCGAAAGAACCAAGAAGATGAGTCGTGTCTCTGTGTGCCAGGGACGTGCGGTCAGGGGAGGCAGGGGAGGCAGAGCCTCACCTGTTATACTCCAATGAAAACAGCTGTTACGAAAAGTAGAAAAAAGAATAATCAAATAAAAAAATATATTAAGATTTTTTACTGATCGGTGTTATAAATGTCATTTCTGTACGATTCCAATCATTTTTATAGTCAAAATCGCCAAATTTGCGGAGCTCTGCTGCGAATACAGGAAGAGACGAGAGGTGAGGCAGCGACGAGCTCAGCCTCCCTTCTGATTGCGCAACCCCTCAGTAACTGGATGGAGCGCGGGCAACAAGCGCGTGCCTGTTACTATCACAGTATGTCACCAATGTAATGTTTGTAGACCCCTTCATTTCATGTTCTCGCCTTCCATACTCCTGGTAACTTATTTCACGTATGTGTATAAAGATATTTAGGCTCGCTGATCTCGTCATGAAACTGCAATGAAAAAGCACCAGGGGAGGCAGCTATCACATCTGCCTCACTGAGGGGGTGTGTCTAACACGCCCCCCTCAGTGAGGACACGCCCCCCCTCAGTGTGTGAATCTGGCTCTGACGCTAGCCAGTGCCTCCCCAGCCATTGACCTCACCGCACGTCACTGCTGTGTGTGTCTGTGTGTCTCTCCCTACCTCCTACACGCACGCACGCGTGTGTGCGTGATTGTCGCCCACAGGGGCAACTGGATAGGCGAGGCCCCATACCGCCAGGGCACGCCATGCTCCCGGTGTCCGCCGCGGTTTGGCGGCTCCTGCCGTGGCGGCCTCTGCTACCAGGGTACGGGCGATTCTCTCCCGGTGCTGTCTCCACTAACGCGGCACGTCCAATGGGGAATTGGGGGGGGGGGGGCAGTGCCGGATTATCGTCGTAGCAAAAGTAGCTACACGAACTTTGAAGTGCCCCACGCTAAATGCTTTCAAGCTTTCAATACTGAATTTCGATTTAAAGCTTTCGTGACTGCAGGGATTCATCTTCTTGGTTCTTTCGGTAAAGTCACGTACGTGTATAAAGATATGTGACTTTACTTTCAATACTGGTTCAATGATTCTGCACTTGCTCTATTACTATAGTACTATACCGTCTTCAACTTTTATGCACGACAGGGTGTTTTAAGTTATCGATTTGTCGTATTATCTGGCTGTGTAACAAATGAAAAAATACAATCACTTTACTGTGCAAGTTAAACATTAGTGTTTTAATATTTATGCGTTATTTTTTATCTAGGGCCTCTTTATAGCATATGCTACAGGCCCCGCACTAGCTTAATCCGGCACTCTGGGGGTGGTGGGATGAGGTTTGCGGACTCTGAAACGACGGAGAAAGTAGCGGATGTCTCTGACTGTGCCATGTGGCCGAGGAGGTCTCTGCCTGGCGCGTAAGGTGTCAGACAGGGACGACATGCCCAAGCGAACAGTCGTGGGAGGGTGGTCACTACTGTCAACAATGACAATCGCCTTGCGACTCGATGAATTGTCACAATTTGGGGTCGCGATTTTATTCGAGAACCAAAACATTTCCGTGATTGTGGTAAACATAAAGCCTCTCGTGGCCGCAGTGTTTACATGACCCAATTATATACGAGTTGTACAATAACAAACTAAATTGATTCTTCCCTGTGCGATGCAATGCATATATTGCGAGTGTGAGAATCGATTTTAACCTGTTTATCGATGCATCATTACACGCCCATTTTATATGCGCTAATCCCCTTGGTCGAACTGCATGGCCCCCATCAATGGGAGAATGTGTTCAAATCCCAGCCAGAGTCATCTTATCCCTTCGTTGATGTCCGATCATCGCATTCAGGAGCCGTCCATAAATGACGTCACGCGATTTTGGACGATTTTTGACCCTCCCCCCCCTTCGTCACACGGCGAAGTCAGACCCCCCCCTCAAATATGATGTCAAAAAGCTCTACCCCCCCCCCCAAAAAAAAAAAAACCATGCTTCAAATCGCTTTAAACGATTGTCATTGTGATGCGTATTTAATGTGGCGCTGCACTCTGATGTTGTAGGAGAAAACATTTATTTAAAAGTATATTTAATTAAGTAGAACGTGTTGTCTATATTTATTTAAAGTTGCGCATTTTGATGTGACGTCACATTTCTCACCCCCCCCCCCCCTCGTCACACATCGTCACAAATGTCTGACCCCCCCCCCAGGAGGTGCGTGACGTCATTTATGGACGGCCCCTCATCATATCCTACCCTCTGTGTCTCTCATAGCCCCGAATACCACAGCCCAGAACTGGGACCTTGACGAGACTCAACTTGGTGAGAGACGCCCCAAGATCCCGTTGATCGAGACTCCACGAGCCCCTGTCCTGATCCCCGGTCCCAACAGGTCACTGGAGGTCAGAAATCTCGAGCGAACCAAGCCACGGAATCAGGCGATTGCTAAAGCCATAGGTGAGGCCATGGTGGAGAGTGGTCACCCCTCTCCCATGTGGTGTCGACTACAAGTAGAATTCCTGACTGTGCATTAAAAGTTTATACGCTGCAGAGTTAACTATGTATGCATGCATGTTGAACTTCTTTCGCGCCGTACGTAGCCGACCTTGCTGATCGGAGGTCCGGGGGAAGGACAACAAACGTAACACAACAAGTGTAACCCGTAAAAACAAAGTTTTTCACTATAAATCTTTTATATGCGTGGCGGCTAGAGTCCTCTCGTCCTCTGGCTTGAGATGGCTGCCACCTATGGGTCAGATGATTGCATGGCACCATTAAGCAATTGGTAATTAAATATAATATTTTTGTCCTAAAAAGTGTAAAATTTTGGGAAATTTTTTTCACGAACATTAATTGTCACGCACAACGAGTCTGTGTGCAAAATGTCAGCTCGATTGGATCACGGGAAGTGGGTTAAAACACGACCGAAATATTTGCACGGTCGTAAGCAAGCAAGCAAGCGTGCAAGTGAACTTAATATAAAGGATTTAAAAAGCGGTTCCCATCAAATGAGTTCTCGATCTAGAATGTAAAAGTGCTGCGAGCGAGCGCCTATTAACCCCGTCCGTGACATCCACTGACTGCCGTTGAATGTTCCTGCAGGTCGCCGGGTGACGTGCAGAGCGAAGATGCGAGAAGTCTGCAAGGGGTTTGCCTCCTTCAGGTGGGACACGAACTCGCGTATTCCTCCCAAGCGGTGAAGTGATGAATGCCCGATTTCAGGGACACATTTGTACCCGTACACAGTGGTTGGTGCGTGATTCGTGATGATGGTGATTGAGGTGGCAGTGATGATTGTGATGTGCGTGCCTCCAGGTTCTTGTGCCCAGAAAATTGCTCCCAAAGCACAGCGAATGTCATTGGGACGCACGTTTACGATGTGGTAAGCAACGTGTGCGTTAACATACACACACATTGACGCATTTGCTTTTTCTTATTCAGTATTAATATAGTTTTAGCCTTTTTGTATTTACGTATGCACAACTGGGCATACTGGGCCCCGATGTGGTAATGAGGAATTTCCACCATTACGACCACCAACAGAGATGAAAGAGCATCGACCCACTGTGTGAGCCGTGACGTTGACTGTCATTTGTGTAACACTTATCAAGCAGCGGTAGGTGGCAGGCTTTTCTCACTGTCGGGATTCGCGGTGAATGTCTGTTCGCTCGTGATGGATGATGTGAGACCTTAAACAAACGGTCAACTTTTTATTTGGCTGACTCTGCCCTATAAGTGAAACAAATACTATTGCAAGATGCAACTTTCGGAAGCCCAGTTAAAGAAATGTTTTTACCATCTGTCTAGTTATAAGCACACACCTGATTCACCCGTAATGTGTGTGCATATATATTTATTATACACCTGTCGAAGGCCGGAACGGCGCACAAAGGGGTGGGTGGCCAGCACCACACCCGGCTGCCTTTGTCTCCCAAGTGGTGATGATGACACCACACCAGGTACTCATTTGAGGCTGAGTCTACCTAAGGGAGGCCCAGGACGGGTTCAGATCATTGTCACTGGTGCTGGTGGCCATGAGCGGGAATCAAACTCGGGTCGCCGGGTTCATAGAGCAGCGCGCAAACCGCTACACTACCGCTTCCGTTTATACACACGCACACACATATATGTGAATATACCGTTGCCACTTGTGTCTGCAGGAGTCGGGGCTGTGCCGATCAGCTCAACACACAGGGGCCCTGGGTCCTGGGGGCGGCTGGATCGACGTGAAGAGACGGGGTCGCATATATATATGTGAATATACCGTTGCCACTTGTGTCTGCAGGAGTCGGGGCTGTGCCGATCGGCTCAACACACAGGGGCCCTGGGTCCTGGGGGCGGCTGGATCGACGTGAAGAGACGGGGTCGCACACATACCTTCAACGGTTCCGCACGGAATGGGGTTCGATCCCTCGGGTACGGATTGCGTGCGCAGGAGAACTCCTCTTATCGGCGGTGATGTGTCGGATACGTAAATATATTCACGGGTCATTGACCTGGGGCTGATCCAGCTGAAATCCATCGGTCCTGAGAAGGTCTAACGATGAGATGGTTGGAACAGCCCTGGTCAAAAAAAATCTATTCACATTTCCTGGTCCTCTATATCATTCTCCATAGACATTTGATAATTTCTCCATGGTCGATGAGATGAGGGCCACTTTGTGGGAAGGCATTGACCGTTCTCCTACGAGGCCCTCATGAGATAATTCACCTTCAATATTAGACCCGATAAGTATTATTATGATGATTTTGACATGTTGACTGCTGGTGTTGCCTAATTTGTGAAACTCACCCACACACGGGAAAAAGAGCGGTTGATACAGTATTAATGTTCCTTGTTCCACAGGAAGAGGCGCCCAGCCAACTCATTCTCCGTCTCTGCATCACCAGGTCGGCACAGCCGTGCACTGCGCGTATCACACGCTACGTCACCGGCGTGTGCTTGACTCATCAATGTGGCCGATTAGCCCAATGTTTAAACACACGCATTTGGTAACATTTACGAGTGGGCCCATCATAATCTCCATACACATGTGATTCGTGCCATAGCATCATTGGGCCTGGTTGTAGAGTATGTCCGATGCATAGATGGAGCGATGAGTCCAGCTTGTTTGCATTTTCAATGTGATAGATCGTGGCTAATGATGACGATCGATGATGGCTTGGTTATCTTTGTGAGCTGTGTGTGAACAGTGAGGGAGGTGAGCTGTAAAGACACATTGAGGGATATCTGCCCGCTCAAATTCCCACCACCTCCTCGCTGTCCCCGGTGAGATTACCCGGCTCTCCGGCGGACCCCGCGGGGTACCACTCACAGTCTCAAATGTACTTCTATTGAATGTGCCTTGATTGTTCCGTGATTTGTTTCTACGCCAGGTTTGTTTGTCCGCCGAGATGCACGCAAGCCCACGGGATTGTGGTGGGAACGGGCATTTACTCGGACGTAAGTTCATCAACGTCGCCACCGTTTGTGAATGCGTGCATGTTGAATTTATTTCGCACCGTACGTAGCCAACCGTGCTAATCAGAGGTTCGGGGGAAGGACAACAAACTAATCGCAAAAATCAGTTAAAACTAATTTCTGATTATTTATGGCATTGATTCAATGTATTTGTTTTGTATGTTATAGAGTGTACGGTTGCAACAGAAACCTCAACTCCCAAGCTACCCACACCCGCGTGCGCACCACCCCCACCACCCCCCCACAGACTTCCAGCGTGTGCCTGGCGGCCGTGCACGCGGGCGCTGTGACCGCGCACGGCGGTGGCCCCGTGGACGTGGTCCCTGCCCAGCAACGGAAAGTTTTCAACGCCTCCCTGCGGCACGGCTTGCGGTCCTTCGGGTGGGTCTCGGCGTTCGTCAAAGCAGAGGTGGCCGGGAAGGCCCCCACGGTTGACTGTGTGGTGCTGCTAAGGCGGTGCTCGAGGAGAGACGCTGTTTCCGCCACTCCTGATGGGATCCTGGGTTGGCGCTCACGGCCAACACCCAGTGACGATTTATCTGAGCCGGTCCTGGGCGTCCCATTAGGTCGGCTCAGCCTCAAATGGGTAGCTGGTGCAGTGTGTAAACATCGCCACTGGGGAGACGAAGGGTGGTCGGGCGTGGTGCTGGCCACCCAACTCCTCCACCCACCGTGTGCTGTGCCGGCCTTCATCGGTGCTCGCTAACAGCACTTGCCGTAAAAGTCTAGCAGGGCTGTACGTGGGATCTTTGTCTTTGTATGAAGGCTCATTGCCACGGTGTGTCATCCACAGGGGGACCCGGACGGAGGCTGCCCGGGCGTTCTACGTGTTCCGCGTGCTCTGAGGCTGGACAGGTCAAAAACTGCATCGCATTTTATGTTCTTGTTCGAAATCAACCGATTGAAAAAGAAAAACATTTATCGTGACCAAATATTCCTTACGACCAGAACTAAACTATGGAGTATTCTCAGATCCATATGGCAGAGAAGCCTACAACGTAGCTCGTGAATGTATCCTTCATGATTCAGTTTTTTGCCAAACAAATGTGGTGCAGTGGTTATCGCACTGTGCCCTAAATAACAAATATAGCAAAAACCATAACGCAAACTCCGGTCATCCTCGCAGGAGCGGCTTTTGGCTAACCATTGAACAAAGACGGTGACTGCATCGCGCGCTTTCAGATGCGCTTCTGCGGCCGTCTGGAACGCTCTTCCTTCCGATATCAGGAAGCCACTGGAGCTACGCACTTTTAAATCTAGATTGAAGACTCATTTCTTTAGGAACTGCTTCTTGTGTTGAGTTTGTTGTCCTTCCCCCAGACCTCTGATTAGCACGGTTGGCTATACGTAGCTGCTGGTCACTCACCGCATGACCCCATTGCACTGAATCGGGCACGAATCGATGCATCGATGACCATCGATCATTAAGGTCGCAATACTGCACACGCTTCAAATCATGTCCGCAGGAATCGGTTCCTTACATTACATGCAACTTACATGCAATTTACATGTAAGTTGTATGGCATACATTCAATTGATGGGCTGGGGTCAACAAAGTTATTTGGGACCTGGGCATTAATAAAAAAAATGTGGATGTAGCCTGATCCTAGCCATAAGTATTACACTAACGTTTGATGAATTTAGTCAAGTCCACATCCACGGTAACGAACAATTTCGACTTGTAATGCTCTGCACAGTGTCCGCTCACTCTCGAAGACAGCGCACTGCTCGGAGGAGCGAGGGGGAACCGGTGACACGCGGGGGAAGGCAACCACGCCGTGAGCCGGTGCCAACAATTGCCTGAGCTCTGGGGTTCTCTGTCTATTAAGGTGTTGTTGGCCAAATGAATAAGTGTTGATGAATGTGGGAGGAAATCGGAGCACCCAGAGAAGAAAAATAGATTGCAGTTAGACTTTTAACCCTAACCTCGTAGTGGCTGCAGTCCTTACGATTAAATTATGTCACTTGTTTTGTTATGCTACATCGCTCTATCGTATTGAGGAGAGTGCAGCCGTACCGATCCAGCTTTCCATGTTGACCAATATTGTACAATGCTCTTTGAATGCGATACACTTGTCAGATGAACGTAATGTTGTCCCAACACATGCAATATTAAACCTTGTTAAATATATTCATCTCTGAATGAATGGGTGAATATATTCTGCACTTGTACGAACGGCTAAAATCCCTCACTCTGTAAGATTCTGTAAACATCATCAGAAATACATGTCGACAACATAAAATGTATTCCATGTCATTTGCATGCGTTTAGTCCACTGTGTACAGGGACTCCTCTACTTACGAACGAGTTGGGTTCCAGAGGTCTGTTCGTAAGTCGATTTGTTCGTAAGTCCAACTTTACTCCTGTCGATTCCAAACATGTTGTACGGCGTGTACACTTAATACGGGGAATAGCCTTAAACGTTGTATAATCTCCTGTAGATGTAGATGCCACTGGTTCTTCATGTTCTGCAGATGTAGATGCCACTGGTTCTTCACGTTCTGCAGATGTAGATGCCACTGATTCTTCATGTTCTACAGATGTAGATGCCACTGGTTCTTCATGTTCTGCAGACGTAGATGCCACTGGTTCTTCATGTTCTGCAGATGTAGATGCCACGCGTTCTTCATGTTCTGCAGATGTAGATGCCACTGGTTCTTCACGTTCTGCAGATGTAGATGCCACCACCGCCATCTGTTGCGTGGCGGTTGAACTTACGACTCTCGGTCCGAACAGGCAACTCGACATACGGACAGGTTTTTTGTATCTCTGAAAGTTCGTAAATCGAATGTTCGTAAGTAGAGGAGTCCCTTTAACACTTAGGCTTTCGTGACCAATATGATCCATAATACAGTTTTTTGGGGGTTAGATTCCGTAAATATAAATGTGTCGTTAAACCCGCCACCACCCGACACAGCCAATTAGTAAGGTTTGTCACGTAAACAGAACATGCCAATTCGTTACTCGTACAGCAGTATATATTTACGCGATTTAACCCAAAAAACCTGTATTATAGAGGAGTCCCTGTATACTGTACAGTATTACATTGGGCTGCAAGTTTGCCAGATGACAGTATAGCAATGTATTGCATCCAACTCCATGGAGCTCTGTTATTTCTTTGTATGTATGGGCCTTCTCTGGGGACTGAAGTTCACGTGCCTCACTCACGCACTGATTTTAGGCCAAGTTAACCTAGAATAGGCTCAGGCCAGGTTTGTAAGGACATTATATTTACAGTCCTGCACAACGATGCACATACACGATTGATGTGTGGAAATGTGAACAGTTTTATTGAACAAATACCAACTTTTAAACACACTTTCATCTTTCGCGATTTTTCTTTTAAATACCACGTGTACAACCCTTTACCAGTCCACTGCTGGATGAGTGGCTCCCCACGCCCTTCAGGTCGTGAGGGTTATTCGACCATACTTCACCACACTGGTCAGTGCGAGTTGATGGCAAGGAAGCAGATGTGGAAGCATATATGTGCAGTACAACGATGCATTTTCCTGCACTGCCCATGCTGCCGTAGCCTCGAAGCAGCCTATAGCACCTGCAATACGTGTTGGTCACCCCTGCAAGCACTATCCAGGCCATGCACCTGCTTAGCTTCCAAAGTGTGAGAATATTTGGGCACACTGCGAGTACTGTGCCTTTGAATTGTGAATTACTCAAGAAAAATTGAAACCAAACATTTTCACACGTTCCCTCATACGCAGTTGCTTAGCTTGCTAAAGGCGTGTTGCTACTTTTACTTTCTCAGTTTCTGAATATTGTTAAGTACAGTATTGGTGTGTCACCCTATCACCAAAGTGAGTTTAAAATAAAATAAAAAATGTTGTCTTTATCTACAATTTCAAGCCGAGTGTTGTAACCAGTGATGTTTTGAATCGATAGGGCAGGGGTCGGGAACCTTTTTGACTGGGAGAGCCATAAAAGCCAAATATTTATAAATATATTTCATTGAGAGCCATATAGTATTTTTAACGTATAATAAATTAAATATGTCTTACTTTTAATGCGACTTCTGGTGCTGCATGGTTTTGCTGATGGCCTTGTAGTCTGGTTCATACGTGGTGAGGTTGAGCTTCATGCAGGCGTGACCCGTGAAATTTATCTTCAAAACGAATTTCTGTTTACTTTAAAATGACACAGTATTATTAAGCAATATCACAAGTATTTTAAAATCAGTTCCAAACTGATTTTTTTATTATTATTTTTTTCAACTCCAAATTGCCTGGGAGCCATATGCCGTCACCAGAAGAGCCATATATGGCTCGTGAGCCATAGGTTCCCGACTGCTGCGATAGAGAAACCTATCGGTAACCGTCCAACGCAAGAGAGTTCCACGGAAGTGGATATCACTGAAATACTTCTCAAGTGACAAGTTGATTCGCACAGTCGGGCGCAGCGCTCTCCCACATGCCAACGCTTATTACCTGACGGTCAAACCAATATTTCAGCACTTAATTTGAGCGAATGAAATGCGTAACCAACTGTTAATATCCGACCGCAGGTATTGTGGTCAATGCAAACATGACTCCTTGTAAAAAAATAGGTGTCAGTTTTGTTGCCAGATAAAAGGGTAAAAAACGATTATCATATTTTGCTACTGGCAAAGGAGGTTCCAATTGTGTAAATGCTTTACCCCGAGCTCTTATACTCTGATGGTGCATTGTCTTTGAGTTGTGCGCCTTTTGGTGTCATCTGGTCCAACACCATGTGAGACTAGGCTCTAAGGAAAGCTGTCTCGGGTGTGGACCAATCGATCTCAAGGACAGTGCATACATTATCAGAGTTGTGTTTTTTGTTTGCATTCCGACCGCAGGTATTGTGGTCAATGCAAACATGACTCCTTGTAAAAAAAGCTGTCAGTTTTGTTGCCAGATAAAACTGTTAATATGATGAGTGGGGGGGAGAAGAGGGGGAGGTTTGCTGTAGTCATTGGTGACCGGGCTGAGATCGGTAACTCACTCAACTTGAGAACCCCGTTTAACCAGAGGGGCCGGTCATCCGCAATCCCATCCAGGATCTGAGCGTGGCGGGCGGAGTGCTCTGACCTCCGCGCCACCTGTCCACGTCACGAGTGCGCGTCGCGAGCGCTCATCAGCGCCAGCAGGAGGGAGGGCAGCACCAGCAGCAGCTGATGGGCGCCGTGGCCTCGGGATGCACGTGACCTGGAGGGCACCATCTGTGGGTGCCCGTATGCCGTGCGGCACTTTAGCTCGGGCCCCAGCTCATCCACTGGAATCAGATCTTCTTGCACGTTCTCCGAGTGATTGCGGCTCACCTGCATGTGCCACGGTTAAGAGCAGAAGAACGCACACGCTCGTCGATGTTGTTAGTCGTCATGTTCCGTCCACTGCTGGATGAAGGCCACCACACGCTGTCGCCATCGCACACGGTCCCGCGATGATGCCACAGTCCTTAAATTTCGATGTAAAGCTTTCGTGACTGCAGGGATTCATCTTCTTGGTTCTTTCGGTAAAGTCACGTAGAAGGGAAGTAATAAAATAATAAAAATAAAACATAATAAAATAATTCTCACGACGTTTCGGCCACAACGCAAGCAGCCGTCCTCAGGTGAAGAGGACGGCTGCTTGCATTGTGGCCGTCCTCAGGTGAAGAGGACGGCTGCTTGCGTTGTGGCCGAAACGTCGTGAGAATTATTTTATTATGTTTTATTTTTATTATTGTATTACTTCCCTTCTACGTGACTTTACCGAAAGAACCAAGAAGATGAAGCCACAGTCCTTCTCACGCTCGTGCTTATGGACCGATCTCACGGTGCTGCTGCTGCTGTATGTCGGGAGTGTTAATTGAATCAGCTCGGGTGCCAGGTGCCAGGTGCATTACTGCACTGCTGCAGCATTGTGAGAGAAGGCGGAAGCTTGGGGAGGCCCTCATCTAGCAGTGGATTAATCATTGCTGACGATGATGTTTAATTGCAGGACAGTGTTGAAGAACGCTGAGTTACCAAGACTCAAGACGGCCGTTATTATGAATGCAAATCAAATGAATGACAGTTCTAACATTTTAAAATTAATCTTCGTTAGCCTTTTTAATTATTGCATGGCTGGATTTTTTCTGGACCCTCTTGTTTCATCCAAAACACAAAGACATCTCAAAATTACATTTTGAGGACCCACTCTCGCAAAGCCACATTTACATGAAACAATAAAGAGCATTATAGCTCAAATCTTTAACTGAGAAAAAAAGCTATTATCACGAGTTGACGTATTATCTGCTGAGTTTGTTTATAATATGGCTACTGTTTGTGAGACATGAACACTATATTCAATATCATTCTTCAATCTACAGTTTAATAAAATAAAAAGATGGGAAGAAATCAGAGGCCAACCGAAAGTTAACTCTTGAAAGACGTCCACCCCGATTAAACTGTTCACACTTCCTTTATCAATCTAAACAAATCACTTGGTGATGCTGATGCGTTGGCAGTGGGGCACAAGCACAAATAACAAAAACACCCTCAATGCATTTGCCAATTTAGACTTCCAGGCAACATTTGATTTTGGCATCAGTGCATTTTAACCCACTTCCCGTGATCCAATCGAGCTGACATTTTCCACACAGACTCGTAGTGCGTGACAATTAATGTTCGTGAAATTTTTTTTCCAAAATTTTACACTTTTTATGACAAAAATATTATATTTAATTACCAATTGCTTAATGGTGCAATGCAATCATCTGACCCATAGGTGGCAGCCATCTCAAGCCAGAGGACGAGAGGACTCTAGCCGCCACGCATATAAAGGATTTATAGTGAAAAACTTTGTTTTTACGGGTTATACTTAGTCTCATCATTACCTCCTCCACTTGCTCCATCACGCGCAGGAGGTTGCCCCCGAGCGCAGCCTTCAGCTCGGTGTCGTTCCAACGTCTCCGCACGAGTTCGGCCACCAGTAATGGGAAGCCAGAGGGGTCCTTGAGACCATCGGGAAAGCTGGGGGGGGCGGGGTGTGGGGGGGGGGGGCGCACAGGGAGCAAGAAACGAGGGCTGAGTGAGTCGGAGCGAGGTTCTACTTCAACGTCTATCGTGCGACAATCCGCACCGTGAACGTTCTCCCTGATAACAGAAAAGAGACTCCCTGGTCTGCCAAATGGGCCGTTCATAAACACGTTCCTTCGGAGTGCGCAGGTAGGAACTTGGTTGGACAGCGCATTCGTGCACGACAGACAAATAATCCCTGGTGGGCAGTGTGGAAGCTGTTGTTCCTACCTGTGTACAAGATCACGTGACTTGAGGTAGCCAGGCAGCCAGCCAGGTAGCCAGCCACCTTAACTATCGGCCCCTCCCCCTTGCTTAGGCCCCTCCCCTTACCCTCCTCCCTCCCTTAGGCCCCTCCTCTGACCCTCCTCCCTTAGGCCCCTCCCCTCTCCGTACCCGGCAGTAGGTCTCCACCAATCAAAGAGCTGTTTATATAATATATTTATTTATGCACGACAGACAGACAGACAAATAATCCCTGGTGGGCAGTGTGGAACATTGTTCCTACCTGTATCAATGAATGTAACCGCCCATTGTCGGGCCACTTTTAGAAGTCCTCCCCATTCCCCTTTTCGTCACGAGAGTTGTTAGGACCATAATTCACCACGCTGGTCAGAGGCGGGCTGGTGAAGGTGGTGGGATGTTGTTACATAGTGCAGAAACAACAAATTACTTTTCTGCACTGCTCCGTATTAAAAACGTAGCCCCACGCTGCAGCTTACAATGCCTGTATCATGCTTGGTGGTTGCCCATTCCAGGTGATTTGGTCATAAGCCTACCTCCGCACACTGCGTCTCTACATATCTGATTACAATTCTCTGCGACGTATCATCCGTGAGTCGTTGTACCTCATTACTCCATCAAAGTCTGACCCGAATCCCACTGCCGTGTATCCCGCGACGCTCTTGACGTGGTCGAAATGATCTGCGGTGGGTGAAACGCGATGATGACCGTTAGTTCGCACGTAAATCGTTATCATCGCAGACGACTTGAAATCTTTGTTCGTAACGTCGTGTTAAGCCCCGGAAGCGTGGGAAGCGTGGGGGGAAAAATTGTTTCGCCGAATTAAAATGTACCCAATTGTATTCTTAGGTTTTTTCGGTAAAGTCACGTAGGTAAAACATTAAAATTAATAAAAGTAAAATAAAATAAAAATCACGACGTTTCGGAGGCAACACAAGCTTCCGTCTTCAGGTGGAACCGTCACAGCCCGACAGCTGTATCAAGTAAATGAGAGATTACAGGAGATACCACTCCGTATATATAATGGTTGAGGGGGGGGGGAAGGGGCAGGAATGGCCCACTTTTTATTATTATGGTAAGGTGCGGTTTGAGACCATGAATAGACTGCACAACAAAAGACTGTACCCAATTGCTCCTGGTCTTCCACCGGTTTGCAACAGGTCGGGATAGAGATCTACTGGGTGTCCCAAAAAGTCTGGACACACGCAGGGTTAATTCATTTATTTAAAATGTTTTATTTGTTCTTCTTTAAGTTGATACGTAATCTAGTATCATTCTTGACATCTATATTTTTTCTTCCGTTTCAGCTGACATTTTAACTAAAGAAGAACGAGTTCAATTAGTTGTAATCTTTTTAACAAAGTCCTCAATTAATTTTTTTATTCATACGTGCATTAACGTTAATGGCAATCAGTTTGAACATTTGCTAAAAAAAAAACCTTTATAAAAAATATTATAATAATCATCCTACGCGTTCTGACTTTTCCGAAACCCGGCGTAACTACGAGGAATGTACCGATGCAGCGATACACAACTTGAAGCCGATTCTGAAGCTCGCGATGCACGCATCGACTCGTGCTTTGTCGGCTAATTTTAATCAATTTAAGTTGCCCACGATTCATCTTCTTGGTTCTTTCGGTAAAGTCACGTAGAATGGAAATAATAAAGTAATTAAAATAAAACACAACAAAATAATTCTCACAACGTTTCGGCCACAACGCAAGACCAGGTCTGTCGGGGAGACAGCGTCTGAATGATGCCGTCTCCCCGACAGACCTGGTCTTCACCTGAGGACGGCTACTTGCGTTGTGGCCGAAACGTCATGAGAATAATTTCATTATGTTTTATTATTTCCATTCTACGTGACTTTACCGAAAGAACCAAGAAGATGAATCCCTGCAGTCACGAAAGCTTTAAATCGAAATTGCCCACGATTGTTTTCACGTTAACGCTGCAGCGGCTATAGACGCGGCATTCGCCACGTTACCAATCGATGCCCGAATCGAAGCGTGACCTTTAAATCATCCGCTACGTGCTGTTTAACTGCCAACAGGGCGATGATGCTCTTGTCCAAAAGTACTGATGTGCAGACAGTCGTTTAGCGATCCACTGCTGATTGAAAGCCATCCATCCGCACAGCGGAGTAGACGCGAGGGTTGTCTTTTTTTGACCGCACACTTCACGAGGTCAGGTTGGTAAATCTCATGAAGCGCGTGTATTGACTTTGGAGCCAAGCCGAATGTGCGCCGTCGTTTCTGAACGGTCGCTGCACCGCTGATGCCTTACCAGCCACGGTGGCGATGCTGGGCGCGCCTCCGCATGAAGTGAACTTGTTGTAGAAGTTGATCATCACGATGCCTCCGTTGGAGGCCTAGAAGGAGAGGTGTGATCGTTTAGCCAGACCGCTGCGAGTTGTGTGCGAGTGACTGCACAGGTGCTCACGGACAGCGCTTGCTCAAATTGTTTCGAAAGCTAAAAGGGGAGATTTTATTCATGTGTAGTGTTGTGGGCTGGTACTGCAGCCCCTCCCCTGGCGTCTACCACTGCCGGTAAACGCGGCCCATCTACGGCACTACACATGTGTCGGACTTGCAAATCGACGAAATTTTACACGTATAGCAATAGATATACCAGGAATGAGAATGGGTATGATTATGTTCTGACAATGACGATTATGGTGATGGTTATGATGATGACAATGATGGCATTGTTGATGATCATCATGACTCAGGCGATCATTTAATGATGATGAGAGTTGTCATGATGGCACTATTTGTGATGATGATTATGTTGTTTGTAATGATGATGGCAATAGTCATCTTGCCTGTAATGGCGGTGATAATGAAGGTGACACCAATTGTGATGACGATGACATACATTTTATGTTGATAATGAAGATGACAACTTTTGGTGATAACGTGCGTGGCCATGATGATGACAACTTTTGGTGATAACGTGCGTGGCCATGATGATGACAATCGCGGATGAAAATGTCGAATGCGTGACGCCTGCCTGCCTGCCTGCCGGCTGCATTGGCCGTGAACTCGTGCGCACACAGACCAGCGCCTTGAGCAATTCGTCCGGCACGTTGCGCCCGTGGTCACACAGCTGCTTGGCCGCCGAGTGGCTGAAAATGACGGGGGCTTTCGAAACGCCGAGGGCAGCATGCGCGGTGGCCAAGGACGTGTGCGACAGGTCCACCATCATGCCCAGACGATTCATCTCCCGCACCACCGCCTGCAGCAGCGTGCACAGGGGCGGCAATGTGGCACACGCTGACCCAAGACGAAAACTCCCCTGTACAGCATTTGAAAAACTCTTTTCTTTAGAACTGTTTGCTGTGCTCGGTTGTGTTGTCCTTCCCCCGGAACCTCCGATTAGCACGGTTAGGCTATTAAAATTAATAAAAGTAAAATAAAATAAAAATCACGACGTTTCGGAGGCAACACAAGCTTCCGTCTTCAGGTGGAACCGTCACAGCACGATAGCTCTCACTTGATACAGCTATCGTGCTGTGACGGTTCCTCCTGAAGACGCAAGCTTGTGTTGCCTCCGAAACGTTGTGATTTTTATTTTATTTTACTTTTATTTATTTTATTTTTTTACCTACGTGACTTTACCGAGTCACGAAAGCTTCAAATCTAGAACGGTTAGGCTACGTACGGTGCGAAAGAAGTTCAACATACGCAACAGACTGGTTGGGCAAGTGCGGTTAGCGAGCACCTATGAAGACCGCCACGGCATACGATGGGGTGGGTGGCCATCACCACGCTGTATGGGGCCGATATTTACACACAGTACTAGGTACTCACATAAGGCTGAGACAACCTAGGGGAGGCTCACGACCAATTCATATATTCGCCTCTGTTATTGACCGTGAGGGAGAATCGAATTCAGGGTTTGTCACGCTGTGCGCTAACCACGAGAAACTCTCTTCTGCTCCTCACGACATCCACTGAGGACGCAACACACACCGGAATCAACACCTGACATTTGACTTGCGGTTTACTTTGGGGCCGTCCATAAATGACGTCACGCGATTTTTGACCCCCCCCCCTTCGTCACGCGGCGTCACAAAAAGTCAAACCCCCCCTCAAATATGACGTCACAAAGCTCTGTTCCCCCCCCCCAAAACCATATTTCCATTTTGAAAATAAAACACGCTTCAAATCGCTTTAAACTATTGTCATTGTCGTGCGTATTCAATGTGGCGCTGCACTCTGATGTTGTAGGAGTGTTGTTATAACAATTAGTGTTGTTATAACAATTATATATTTATTTAAAGTTGCGAATTTTGATGTGACGTCACACATCGTCACAAATGTCTGACCACCCACCCCCCTAGGTGCGTGACGTCATTTATGGACGGCTCCTTAGGGCTGCAAGAAGGTGGCCAGCAGATGGCATTTGCAGCCATGGATTGCCTCAATCGTCTGAACAACGTAACGTGTTCCTCCAACGCGTGCGTAGCTTTTATCCAGGCACCCTGGTTTACAGGATTTCCTCCCACATGCCAAACGCTCATTGACTAACAATAAAAACAGTGGCCAAACATCCTAAAGCAGGACGCTTTTTAAAAAAAAAAGAGAGTTGATCTTTTATTCGGTGTTGTTGTGATTACAGGGGTCATGGCTGTCAGACCTACCTTTCCAAAAGTTGACAATCCATGGCTCCTTGGCTGCACCTTTCCAACATCCACAAGCCACGTGTCAGCCCTGTAATCAACATCTGCAGGGTTAGTAAGTGGCTCACAGATAAAGACCGCCCGTGTATGCCCTGAACAGACTGTCGGGGCAAGTGCTGTTAACCAGCACCTATGAAGGCCGGCGCGGCACACGAGGGGGTGGGTGGCCAACACCACGCCCGGCCGCCTTTGTCTCCCCAGTGGCGATGTTTACTACACACCGCTACACCAGGTACTCATTTGAAGCTGAGTCCACCTAGGGGAGGCCCGTGACCGGTTCAGATCATCGTCACCGGCCGTGGGCGGGAATCGAACTCGCGTCGCCGGGTTCGTAGCGCAGCGTAGCGCTAACCGCTGCACCACCGCTCCCCCGGTGTGGCAAGTGTGTACACGCACACACACAGAGTGGAAACACGCGCAGTTCCTCCATTGCTGATCTGTTATCACGCACACTGCGTTGCTTCACCATTTTGCGACAATATAATTGTTGATGAATTTTTCAAGAACAACGAGCAGGCAGACAGGGAGGTAGCCGAGCAAAATATTAACACGTAGGAAGCTTTCGCGACCAATATCATCCATAATAGAGGGTTTTTGGGGGGTTAGATCACGTAAATATATAAATGTGTCGTTAAACCCGCCACTACTCAACTGTCTGTCGCCTGATGAAGCTAGTTGTAATTACTGGCGAAACGTCGTGCTCAGATTGTAAATGTTGTGGCTTGGCTCTCCAACACACAACCGGTGTTACTGTACTCGTGACGAATTGGCCACGTTCTCTTTACGTGACAACCCTAACTAGTTGGCTGTGTCGGGCGGTGGCTCGTTTAACGACACATTTACATATTTACGCGACCCCCCACCCCTCTATTAAGCGAACTATTCATCTTCTTGGTTCTTTCGGTAAAGTCACGTAGAAGGGAAGTAATAAAATAATAAAAATAAAACATGATAAAATAAAAAAATAAAACATAATAAAATAAAATAATATTTTATTATGTTTTATTTTTATAATAAAAAAAAAATAAAACATAAAAAAAATAAAAAAATATTTTATTATGTTGTATTTTTATTATTTTATTACTTCCCTTCTACGTGACGTCACGTAGAAGGGAAGTAATAAAATAATAAAAAATGAAACATAATAAAATAAAAAAATATTTTATTATGTTTTATTTTTATATTTTTTTAAAAATAAAACATAATAAAATAAAAACATATTTTATTATGTTGCATTTTTATTATTTTATTACTTCCCTTCTACGTGACTTTACCGAAAGAACCAAGAATATGAATCCCTGCAGTCACGAAAGCTTCACATCGAAATTTAAGCGAGGTATTATTTATCCAAAGTCTTACGCGAGCCCCCATTGAGACTGCGCGCGTATTTGCGCAATGAGGAGCCTGCAGACGCACGGCGGAGTGGCGCGACCCTCACCACTCACCAGGGAGTGTTGCAGTCGTGAGTAAGCGACATGTAACGCGCACCGAGGCGGTGCAGCGTGCGCAGGGCGCCCAGGCTGCTGTCGATGGAGTGGCCGCCCTCGACTCCGATGAGGCTCGACACTTTGCCGGCTCGCCACGCCGCGCGAATGTCTGAGCAGGCGCACAAAGGTCGAGCGGGGCATCACCCCAACACCACCACCACCACCGATACAAGTTCAAGTTCATTTATTAGGTATAGCCCTGTGAGCCATTCGACTCTTGAATCGGGTGCAACCGCAACAAACAAAAACAAAAAACATCTTAAAGTGAATATGTGACTAAGTGCAAACAGAAAATCCAAGAAAAGACAGCAAAATATTGCAGAAAAAAATCAACCCCCACCGACACGCTCCCCCCCCCCCCCCCACTGCACACACGTTGAGCTTCGGCGGTCTGACAAGCACGAGTTGGCGTGCGAACACAGGTTTTTTTTTTTTTAAAGATCGTTCAATAAAATCGCCACAAAACGTCACTTGACGTCAGATTCCACCAAAAATTTGACGGAGAAAATATTTCTGAAATTGTCCTCAAAAGTTTACCCCAACGCCTTTCGTGACTCCCAGCACTTTTTTTTTGTTTATCAGAAGGTCTTCTGCGTTGCACCGCTTTAGATCAATTCCACGTTATAAAAGAGCGTTTGGCTCGTGCGAAGAAACTGGCGCGGTGTTTCGGGAGAACGCCTCCGCACGAGGGGACTTAAAACAACCCCGGCTGTCCCTCTGCCGTGGGTCGAGCGGACCACGCGTAGCCGTGACTCACCTTGTGCGGTCAACGCCAAGCGCAGGATCGCCGAGTTCTCCACCACGCGATGGATGAGGTCGATCTGCTCCAGGGTGAGCCTCACGGCATCCAAGCTCTGCGTGCTGCACATGGTGTATGCTGACCAGAACTGCGGCGGGTATGGACGGCCGCTCAGAATAAAAAAACAGAAGTTATATTTAAAAAAAACTTTTTTTTAAACACGCTTTTATGAAATGTACTAGTAATGGAATAACTCCACGACTCCAGGAAGTGGCCCCGAAGCTTGACACAGCGTAAGGGACCGTGGAGATTTACAGGCAATGGTCAGTTGACCGTGGACAATTACACCCAAGCCGAAGCATCACATATAAAAAATAATGTTTTAAAAATATTTTTTTCTTTTTTATGATGGAATATAGTATTGTCATCAGTATGACGTAAGTATACCAAGTTTGCAGTCGATACCACATTGGGAAGTGGGTTAAAATTGAGTTACAAGATTTGAGGATACAACAACGATGACAACAACAACAGACAGAGTGAGTTAAATGAAAGCGTGTTATAATAATAATAAAAGAAGGCAGCTCGCTCATATTGGGGCCACCGGTTGGCAGAGCGCCGATCGCAGTGGCACAGGTCCGTGATTTGGCATTCGAGAGGCAAGTGGTCAACATTTGGCTGCAGGGTTTTTGGTAGTACATGTTGTTTATGCCATTTATTGTGAAAATTCCGTCACTGTTCCTATGATCACTGTTTCATTGCTTTCATGGATTTATTTTGGTGATTTCGAAAAGTGTATTGGTTTAGCCATATTTGTTTGTTGTAGTACAGAGTTAGACTGATGGCCTTAATCTAAGTTGTCTTGTGGTTGTTGTTAGTTGTTTCACTTGCATCCCACTGGGATTTTTGCACACAGCCTTGGTGTAACGGTGTTTTTTCTGCAATATTTTGCTGTCTTTTCTTGGATTTTCTCTTTGCACTCAGTCACATATTCATTTTAAGATGTTTTTTGTTCATGTTTTTTGTTTGTTGCGGTTGCACCCGATTCAAGAGCCGAATGGCTCACAGAGCTATACCTAATAAATGACCTTGAAATGAACTTGAACTTGATTTCTAAGTGCCCTTTTCTCGCTCGGCGGTCGTTGCTGGCGGAAGCGCAGGTCATCGTATGACAACTGCCTGATGATGCCGGTTGTAATCTCCAGCACGGCGTCGTTGGAGATTACAACCAGCATTGCTTTTCAACATCCCAGTTTTGCTGAAAAAACCCCAAACTAATTGGGGGACATATTATCATTGTCTCGCTCGGTTGGTTGAGGGTTATAACTAAACATTGGCAATGCACCGACACAATCTAACAAGCCCACTCTAAAGAAACGAATAATTAATTGGAATAAACCTGTTTAACGAAACCCACTTACTCTCTCGTGGTCGCTTCACACAATTGCACAAATTCTACGGAGGTGACTTGTTTGGGAGTGGGGCTATCCACCTATGAAGGGCCTTCACCGGCAGGAGCTCCAGAGAGCCCTTCAAGGAAGTATTTGGCCTACTCTTCCACACTGGCCGGGTGTCTTTGAAGAGGTGTGGGAGTATTCACACTTCACCACGTGCGATCTGGTGATTGACTTACTCTGGTGTACCCATTCATGCTACTGGGAAGGCAGAGGTGGGTGGGTGGGGGGGGGGTTAGGAGACTTGCACTATTGTTTCAACTGCCACGCCAAGAGATCGACCTAACAAAAATCCTTACAATTTAATTAGCCATGATGATGAAAGATCATTTTACGTACAGGGGACTTAGTTTAAAGTAAGGCGCCTTTAAAGATGTAACATTCGATGCTCCTCGTTTCGTACGGCTGATGGAGATGCAAAGCAACAAATGCCGAAGCAGCGGAGTGTGTCGCTGCGATGTCTCATTCGTGCATCGAACATTGCGCCGTTTAGATGTTGCACGGTCTCGTTCCAGATGACCGCAGTCGCACACTGGAGAGTTTTTTTTTATATCTCGATTGACATTGAGGGATGCCGTGTGAGGTCATCGTCGACGTGAGTGAGATCCTCCCGCGGTGAGAGATCACTGATTGCCAAGTGTCCTGCAGATGTGAGAGGTGGGTTGGCAGTGGCGCGCGCACGCACGCACCTGGGCTGAGACATTTCCGCGCCGAATTCGCTCCAGGTTGGTCTGCGTCGAGTTGATGGAGGTCAGGTTGACACCGCGAATGCCACCTGGGTGCAGTCGACGCAACTGTAGTGGCCAGTCGTTGTGCCTGTGTGTGTGTGTGGGGAGCGGTTGTGGGGAGCGGTGGTGTAGCGGTTAGCGCGCTGCGCTATGAACCTAGCGACCCGGGTTCGATTCCCGCTCACGGCCAACACCAGTGACGATTATCTGAACCGGTTCTGGACCTCCCCTAGGTCGACTCAGCCTGAAATGAGTACCTGGTGTGGTGTGTAAACATCGCCACTGGGGAGACAAAGAAGGTCGGGCGTGGTGCTGGCCACCCATCCCCTCGTGTACCGTTCCGGCCTTCATAGGTGCTCGCTAACAGCACTTGCCCCTACAGTCTGTTAAGGCTATATGGGGGTTCTGTGTGTGTGTGTAGGGAGCGGTGATGCGACCCGGTTTAACCGAGTTCTATTCATTACCAGCCACGTTTAACGTCAGTGGCGAGTGGTACACGAATCGTCGCTGATTGACAATTGCATATTGTGTAACGTGCGTTTGATTGAGGTTTGGTCCTCCGAGGCTCAAGCGTTTCCAACGAAACGTCACGATATCCTGATAAATGATTTACAAATACTGTATTGCAGATTGTAATACGTAGGAAGTTAAGAGAAAAGGGGCCGTCCATAAATGACGTCACGCGATTTTGGACGATTTTTGACCCCCCTCCCTCGTCACACGGCGTCACAAAATATCAGACCCCCCCTCAAATATGACGTTACAAAGCTAAGCCCCCCCCCCCCCAAAAAAATGCTTCAAATCGCTTTAAACTATTGTCATTGTAGTGCGTATTTAATGTGGCGCTGCACTCTGATGTTGTAGGAGAAAACATTTATTAAAAAGTCTATTTTATTAAGTAGAACGTGTTGTCTATTTTTATAAGTTGCGCATTTTGATGTGACGTCACATTTCTCAACCCCCCCCCCCCCCCCTCGTCACACATCGTCACAAATGTCTGACCCCCCCCCCTCCCCTAGGTGCGTGACGTCATTTATGGACGGCCCCAAAGTGTAAGTTTCTTAAATCCGCTCGCCTCAGTCAACGCAACAGTGGTCACAACTCAGCAGTACACACTACAGGAGGTCGCCAGAACGCGTGCGATGGGCTAAAGTGTGGGGTCGTTCCCAGCTCTCCCCCCAGCGACGTCTGGCCAGCGTAGAAGAATAGGCCAAAACATCCCTCGAGAGGTCCTCAACAAGAGCTCCCCTTTAGTGGAAACCCTTCCGCCTGAAACTGCGGTTGAGGAAACAACTGCAGGCCCTTCGACCCCACGCTATCGTTTCATTGTCATCGTTTCATCAACTCTCAAAAATTAACCCGTAAAAACAAAGTTCTTCACTATGAATCCTTTATATGCGTGGCATCGGGGCGGCTAGAGTCCTCTCGTCCTCTGGCTTGAGATGGCTGCCACCTATGAAGAAACAGAGCTGTCGGAAAGACAGCGTCCCAATGAATTGAGACAATGCTTTTCATGAATTGGGACGCTGTCTTTCCGACAGCTCTGTTTCTTCACCTGAGGACGGCTGCTTGTGTTGTGACTGAAACGTGAGAATTTTTATTTTACTATGTTTTATTTTTATTATTGTATTATTTCCCTTCTACGTGACTTTACCGAAAGAACCAAGAAGATGAATTCCAGAGATGTTAGCGTTGCAGGGTGAAAACTAATGGAAGGTGCAATAAAGGGGTAGAGAAGCGCTCACCCATCTATGAGAGGAGCTTCGCTTAGTATTCTCAGCGCTGTCGCCATCGCGTCGGTGTCTCTGGTAGTTGGCGTTGAATCGGCCCGCTTGACCAGCAAGGTCAGCAGCAAGGCGAGGAGCTTGAGAAGTCGTGCCATGCGTTCACCCACAGGGGTCGCGAGCGAGAACAGCCGCGTCTGCACTGGGATAGCATGGATCAAGCATGGCTATGATATTTTGAATACATGTGCCTATGTGTTCGAGCATGGATCAAGCATGACTATGATATTTTGAATACATGTGCCTATGTGTTCGAGCATGGATCAAGCATGACTATGATATTTTGAATACATGTGCCTATGTGTTCGAGCATGGATCAAGCATGACTATGATATTTTGAATACATGTGCCTATGTGTTCGAGCATGGGTCAAGCATGACTATGATATTTTAATACATGTGCCTATGTGTTCGAGCATGGGTCAAGCATGACTATGATATTTTGAATACATGTGCCTATGTGTTCGGCATGGGTCAAGCATGACTATGATATTTTGAATACATGTGCCTATGTGTTCGAGCATGGATCAAGCATGACTATGATATTTTGAATACATGTGCCTATGTGTTCGAGCATGGATCAAGCATGACTATGCTATTTTGAATACATGTGCCTATGTGTTCGAGCATGGGTCAAGCATGACTATGATATTTTAATACATGTGCCTATGTGTTCGAGCATGGGTCAAGCATGACTATGATATTTTGAATACATGTGCCTATGTGTTCGGCATGGGTCAAGCATGACTATGATATTTTGAATACATGTGCCCATGTGTTCGAGCATGGGTCAAGCATGACGATGATATTTTGAATACATGTGCCTATGTGTTCGAGCATGGGTCAAGCATGACGATGATATTTTGAATACATGTGCCTATGTGTTCGAGCATGGGTCAAGCATGACTATGATATTTTGAATACATGTGCCTATGTGTTCGAGCATGGGTCAAGCATGACTATGCTATTTTGAATACATGTGCCTATGTGTTCGAGCATGGATCAAGCATGACTATGATATTTTGAATACATGTGCCTATGTGTTCGGCATGGGTCAAGCATGACTATGATATTTTGAATACATGTGCCCATGTGTTCGAGCATGGGTCAAGCATGACGATGATATTTTGAATACATGTGCCTATGTGTTCGAGCATAGATCAAGCATGGATCAAGCATGACTATTATATTTTTAATACATGTGCCTATGTGTTCGAGCATGGATCAAGCATGACTATGATATTTTGAATACATGTGCCTATGTGTTCGAGCATGGGTCAAGCATGACTATGCTATTTTGAATACATGTGCCTATGTGTTCGAGCATGGATCAAGCATGACTATTATATTTTTAATACATGTGCCTATGTGTTCGAGCATGGATCAAGCATGACTATGATATTTTGAATACATGTGCCTATGTGTTCGAGCATGGGTCAAGCATGACTATGCTATTTTGAATACATGTGCCTATGTGTTCGAGCATGGATCAAGCATGACTATGATATTTTAATACATGTGCCTATGTGTTCGAGCATAGATCAAGCATGACTATGATATTTTGAATACATGTGCCTATGTGTTCGAGCATGGGTCAAGCATGACTATGATATTTTGAATACATGTGCCTATGTGTTCGAGCATGGATCAAGCATGACTATGATATTTTGAATACATGTGCCTATGTGTTCGAGCATGGATCAAGCATGACTATGATATTTTGAATACATGTGCCTATGTGTTCGAGCATGGGTCAAGCATGACTATGCTATTTTGAATACATGTGCCTATGTGTTCGAGCATGGGTCAAGCATGACGATGATATTTTGAATACATGTGCCCATGTGTTCGAGCATGGGTCAAGCATGACGATGATATTTTGAATACATGTGCCTATGTGTTCGAGCATGGGTCAAGCATGACGATGATATTTTGAATACATGTGCCTATGTGTTCGAGCATGGGTCAAGCATGACGATGATATTTTGAATACATGTGCCTATGTGTTCGAGCATGGACCAAGCATAGATCAAGCTGTGATATTTTGAATACAACATTTTTAATCGTTAAAGTGACTCCTTTCACGTGATTTCAAGATTAAAACCGACGATTTGTGGATCGCACATGATTTCTGCATGTAAAAAGACGATTTGTGGATCGAAAAAACCCATATTAGGCCGCTTCTTGACGCTGATTAACTTCCTTCTAGATTCACACAATTTACCATTCATTCCGTCGCGGATTCATTCGATCCTGTTACAGCGCGAATTGGTTTCCTGGGGAAGCTCCCCCAGCGCGTTCAGCGATGCGCTGACGATCGTGCCGAACAACGCGAGGTAACAGCCCTCGAGTGGACAATCGATGTTTATAATGTGACTCAGTGTGTGCAGTTGTGACGCTGCCTACATAATCCACAACCTTCGTCCAAAAGCGGTTGGCATAAAGGCTGTAAATGTGATAAACCACAACCGGTAAACACTGTAGACTATGTGCAATGACCACGGATTCTTCTTCAACGTTGATATTTTCTCGTCTTTCCCCAACTTTAGTGACATGGTGTTATTTCATAAGCCAAGGTATCCATTCAGAAACTTGCAGAGCAAGCAGTGTTAGATAATATACGCATTGTTTTTTAAACTGATTGGCCTACACTAGAGACAACCTTCTTCAAAGAGAATGCGTATATTATCAGAGCATGTTTGTTTGCATTTTCAACACAATTACGTGTGGTTAATGCAAACTTGATCCCTTGCAAAAGATATCTATTTGGTGTTTGAACATCTTAATACCTGATAATTGTTTTTTTACCCTTATATCTGGCAACAAAACTGACACCTTTTTTACATGTGAGACTAGGCTCTTAGGAAAGCTGTCTCGGGTGTGGACCAATCAACTTCAAGGACAGTGCATACATTATCAAAGTTGTGTTTTTTGTTTGCATTATGTCTGCAGGTATTGTGGTCTATGCAAACATGACTCCTTGTAAAAAAGTGTCAGTTTTGTTGCCATATAGAAGGGTAAAAAAACAATTATCATATTTTTTACTGGCAAATGAGGTTCCAATGGTGTAAATTTTAACACCGATTTTTTTATTGCCAGAAAGGGTAAATCCTATTCTTATTTTTCATACTTTGAAACTGCCAAAAAAAGTTGAGGCTAAGTTTTACATTGCGTCAACTGTTGAGGCAAAGATGAGGAGTTGAAAAGCGCTGAGGATTAAATCACGAGACAATACCGGGCAGTTATTCATGACGGAGGAGACGAGGCAGAGCTGGAGAAAGATCTGGAACTGAGGGGGAGAGTCAATGGGGACCGAGTGAGCGAGAGATTTTCCAGACACCGGTGAAACGTCACGCCAAGGGTGTGTGTGCGAGCCAGAAACTCACTCCACACGTTCATTGCACGCCAACCATCGCCTCGGCCGACACATGACAAAGCCAATGATTGTGGCTCATAATTAGTCTGATATGGGTGATACCGTGTAAGAATGATGTCATCATTCTCGTTATTTTTGTAACCCTCCACCATCCGACAGAGCCAATGAAACCAAGTTGTCACGTGGGCAACAGCGCAGGTCTCGCATGAGAACTGCGCTTTGTTAAACCCTGATGATGCTGGAAATTACAACCAGCATTGCTTTTCAACATCCCAGTTTAGCTGAAAAAAAACCAAACTAATTGGGGGACACACTTTGATTGTCTCGCTCGGTTGGTTGAGGGTTATAAATAAACATTGGCAATGCACCGACACAATCGAACAACTCCACCCTCAATAAACGAATAATTAATTGGAATAAACCTTGATTTTCAAGCTTTCGGTAAAGTCACGTAGGTATAAAATAAAATAAATCACGACGTTTCGGGCGCAACATAAGCGTCCTTCATCAGGTGGGAAAGCATGGTCTGCTGCTGCTGAGGCAGACTGTTTTAAAAGGTTTGAAATGGGTGTAGCTCAAGGGTCATAAAGAAGTGACCGGGGCTGGTGATGTTAATGTGAGAAATTAGCATGTAACTGTAACATAGGAGAGCGGCCTCCTAGACGAGGGCACGTCGTGATTTATTTGATTTTATACCTACGTGACTTTACCGAAAGAACCAAAGAGTATGGAATAAACCTGTTTAACGAAACCCACTTACTCTCTCGTGGTCGCTTCACACAATTGCACAAATTCAACGGAGGTGACTTTTTAAATCCTTTATATTAAGTTCACTTGCTTGCTTGCTTGCGCGCTTACGACCGTGCAAATCTTTCGGTCGTTTTTTAACCCAGTTCCCGTGATCCAATCGAGCTGACATTTTGCACACAGACTCGTTGTGCGTGACAATTTCTTTTCGTGAAATTTTTTTCCCAAAATTTTACACTTTTTAGGTAAAAAAAAATTATATTTAATTACCAATTGCTTAATGGTGGCAGGCAATCATCTGACCCATAGGTGGCAGCCATCTCAAGCCAGAGGACGAGAGGACTCTAGCCGCCCGTTTCAAAGACCAATGTGGGCTGGGTTGTGGCCCATTGAACACGCATATAAAGGATTTATAATGAAAAACTTTGTTTTTACGAGTTAATTTTTTTGGGAGTGGGGCTATCCCCCAGTGCGTCTTGCTGTCATCCATTCCGCGCGACTGTTTTTAAGTATAAATTCACTCACCTGAACGTGGAAGTTGATTGAACGTTCTTGTAGATACCGCCGGTTAATATTAACAGCCCACCCACCCCTTTTTTCTTTTAACGCCGAGCACGGATGGACCTTTGCTCTTTTATAGAAATAAAAAAAATTGAGATGCACTTAGTGACTTATGGCTGGCGTTGCTGCGTCGGCGTGACATCGGCGACAGAAAACAAAAATGCGAGCGCACAATGAAGCAACCGCGCTTGGTGAAGTGAAGTCTTCCACCCGTGCCGATCCGCTTCTTATAACGCCACCTCCCTGGGGGCGGGAGGGGGGATAATGTTGCAACATACCGTGTGGTTTATCGCGAACTGTGCACTTCCTCGTCAACGACTCGTTGAAGTTCCTTGTCCAAAGAAATCGCATGCGTGCAGGAACTGGAAAGATGGGGTCGAGAAGTGCCGGCTCTCGTTTGTTTCATGTCACCCAAAAATGTTGTTGTTGTTGTTTAAATCCCATCCCCTGTAAACATTCGTACGGCTTGGTGAAGAAATTGCGAGGGTACTATACTCACGAAGGCTGTGGAAGGCTCGTCACCCGAAACGTTACGTGTCAGTCAGCCACGTTCACAGTTTGTCTTCCCGTACCCGCTCGTGTGGCTTTCTGTACGCGAAGAGTCGTTCCAGAGCAACCCCATGTATGTGTTTTATCTCGAGTGGCAAGTAACTTGACTCACACGTCAAGTCCGCCTTTCTCTGAAGAGATGCTCCGACGTGCCCGTGTGCATGAACGCGGAGAGAATTATCACGAGGCAGCGATGAGGGGACATGGGTTGTAGGTTGAGCGTTAAGGTGTAACGCGACTATGATTCAGAGTTTTTTTCTATATATATACATTACAGTGTAATAAAGTAATTACCTGTGCATCATTGTGTGAGACAGCCCAGCATGACCCCGCAATTAAGTTGTGTAATTACTGTATTTCCATTTTTTTATGGGATGCAACTCCAGTTTTAGAATAACTGACATCAAAATGCAGCAGTCTCGATGGAAATGTTTGAATAGCAACGGTCGAGTCAAAGTTCACGTTTTTTTTCAACAACAATTTGACCAAATTTGACTCTCCAAGTGCCCTACAAAGAAGAAAATATATAAAATATAGAGGACTATGGGCATTTATGTCATTATACAGCAACATGCATGGTACGAATTGGCGAACACGAGTCAAAGGTGTAATTGAATCACAGAAGTGCATTTTCTGCGATGAATCACAGTGCTGACGTTTACATGCCAGGCATTTTATCCCCGTGCAGTTGAGTTAGAAATAAAGTTTGCGTCACCCGCTGTTAAGTGGCGTTTGTGGAGATGTAATGAGCACAAAGGCGAGCCATTCAGTGACTGGTATATTCACGACCGTGTCGTAGCCCAGACAGGAATAATGCTTTTGTCGTCTCGACGGCGAAACTTGATGTAAAAAAGGAACGACTCAACACGCGTTGGATTCTTTCAACAGATTTGCATTGGGAAATGTGTAGGTTTGTAAGACATGCCAGCAAATGCAGATGTGTGGATTATGACAAAGTCGAAAATATTTTATTTGACTTTTCAAGTAATATTGTATAAATACGTACGGAGATCTTCAGTTCATACATCCTTGGGGAAATACTGTTCATAAGGAAGTAGAGTATTAATACTGATACCATTATGAGGGTGGTGTGGCTAGAACCATGCAAGCCTAGCCACCTTTGTCTCCCCAGTGCTGATGTTGTCACACTGCACTAGGTATATAAGTTACACCAAAGTTTACCGAAGGATAGCCCAACATGGTTTAGGATAAAAAATTGCCATGATATAACAATAATATTCTTGGATTTTTCGGTAAAGTCACGTAGAAGGGAAATAATAAAATAATAAACATAAAACATTATAAAATTCTCACGACGTTTCGGCCACAACACAAGCAGCCGTCCTCAGGTGAAGAAACAGAGCTGTCGGAAAGACAGCGTCCTAATGAACACTGCTAAGCTTGGCAGAGTATTTTAAGCTGGGTGGGAGGAGCAGAGCGCCTTGACAAAGGAGTTTACATATCAACAGAGGAATTAAGCATATAGACGCTAAAGAACTGCAATAAACTGATGTGAAAAAACTAAGTATAAACTAACTCTAGATTTGAAGCTTTCGTGACTGCAAGGATTCATACTCTTAGGTTTATTTTTACCTACGTGACCGAAGAAACCTAATAGTAAGTATAAACTACATCAATATGATCAATGTACTCAATATACTCTCCAATAAGCTGAGCTATCAACATTAAGTATTCGATTTATTGTATGGTAGTAGGGTAGAATCAGTTCTTTAGCGTCAACATTCTAAATTCTTCTGTTGATATGTAAACTCCTTTGTCAAGGCGCTCTGCTCCTCCCACCCAGCTTAAAATACGCTACCAAGCTTAGCAGTGTTCATTGGAGCGCTGTCTTTCCGACAGCTCTGTTCTTTCTAGATTTGAAGCTTTCGTGGCTGCAAGGATTCATATTCTTAGATTTTTTCGGTAAAGTCACGTAGGTAAAAAATTTAAATTAATAATAAAAGTAAAATAAAACAAATTAAAAAATTCACGACGTTTCGGAAGCAACACAAGCCTCCGTCTTCAGGTGGAACCGTCACAGCCACGACAGCTGTATCATGAGGACGGCTGCTTGTGTTGTGGCCGAAACGTCGTGAGAATTTTATTATGTTAAATTTTTATTATTTCATTATTTCCCTTCTACGTGACTTTACCGAAAGATCCAAGAATATGAATCCCTGCAGTCACGAAAGCTTTACATCGAAATGATAATAATAAACAACCATTTGTCAATCTACTACTAGCTGAAGGCCAGGCCATATCAGTCATGGAAATTGATTTGCCACACTTAACCGGGCTGGTCAGTGTGGCTTGGTGAAGAGGTAGGATCAGGGCAGGTTCAGATACCACTTGCCACTCATGTTGACCATGATCAGGAATTGAACTCGGATGACTCGTTTCAAAGCACAACGTGCTAACCACTGTACAAACACCCCCCACCCTCTAATATATACACAATACCCATACAAACTTTGCAATATATATAATTGATGTAAATTTATATATAGTACTGTATCTATTCAATGAAGGCATAAGTGTAACCATAATGTTTAACTGACATTCAAATGATTCCTTTAATACACTTCATTGAGCTGAATAAAGTTCACTAACTTCATATGAGACTGTCTTCTAGGTTTACTCTCTGTGAATTCTACCTTCATTCAATATCTGCCGATTATTTTTTGTAGATCCCAACGCAAAATAGACTCATTCTGAATGTTTACTTAAAATATTTACGACCTACTGTGCTCTTGGTATTATGGAATTTAGGCAAACATAAAAAAACACTAAACAGACAAAATACCATCACATTCAATATATTATCTTACAGCAATCATGACGCCAATTCTGCCTTGCGCACCTCTTAATTTGATCGGGCTGTGTTGTTCGGAGCAACCAAGATACAAACACCGTGCAACAATTTTGATTTAAAGCTTCATGATGATTGCTTGTGTTGCAGTCAAAACGTCGTGATAATTTTATTCTTTTATATTTTTATTATTTCCCTTCTACGTGACTTTACTGAAAGAACCACGAATACTGTGCAACAAGTTTCTCTCACCCCTAAAATCAATATTCACACATTTCTCTTTACAGCAGCCTCCGTTGGGTCTGCCGTGGCCCATATCGTGACCCATATCGTGGCCCATATCGTGACCCATATCGTGGCCCATATCGTGACCCATATCGTGACCCACTTGGGGTGCTTTTCGTATTATCTATCGCCTGACGCCCCCGCTCCTTCCACCGCTGCTACGTGTGGATGAGCCGTGCCCTCAATTGGTGTTGTCTTGCAATGTTTACTGTCGCCTCCCACACAACCACAGACGCTAAATGCACACAGGCATGCTGCATGGGTCCTGCACGGAGTACGGAGGAGGAAGCTTCGGCGTGGTTGGTGTTGTCGTAGAGACGTGCGCTGCAGGGAACGGCGACCTGGGCAGTTCCAGCTGACCGCTGATGGTGAAGACGCTCATGTGCTGAAGGCTGCTCCTTTGGGAGATGTCTTCGATGGAGATGTGGCCTCTCTGCTCTCTCCTCCATGTCACCTCTCTCCCCCAACCCATTTCTCTCTGGGCTCTATGCATGTCCGATTCTACTTGGTACCTGTGGCACAATCGAAGACGGTCACAAGCAAGCATTAGAGGCGGATGTTTTTAAAGTTGAAGTTTGCCGAGTGATCCATTGTATGAGTGTTGTATTTCTCCACATTGCTGACTGCTACTGCAATGAATAAGAGTTTGTTGGCGGTTGTTCTTTGTATTTAGTCATTAATTTAATAAGTTAGAACAACTTGGCATCAGGTATCTAAGAAACATTTCGGACTCCAATTGACACGTGGAGTTCTTATTGACGCATCACAACACGATTCAATATGAGTAATAGTGTGCATTGAATACAAATCCGTGATCATGAAAAACAGTTTTTTAAGGCTTTTAATTCTACACTTGCTGGTTGCAGAGGAGGTAGTGGCCACAGTGGAGATACTTTTTTAACGAGCATAGCTCAGTTTATACACAAGTGGGGATCCACTTTTATTAAAATAATAGCGACAGTCCTCCAATGTGGGTCGATAAATCACACATGGGACTGCGAGGATGACTGTCGTGTCTGCTTTGTGCGCATAAGCCAGGTCGAAAGGTTCACTCAATGTACCTGCTTGATGTACTGATGCTAACTTAGTGCAGTACATTGCACAATTATTAATTCTATTAGTCATTATTACAGTGAGTTTCAAACAACAAATCTACTTGTCAAAGCACTCAGTCTGTGTGCATTATGCAAAACAAATAAGCGAATTCCTGAATAATTGCGCTTGTGGCTCTCACAACGACAACTAATTATGCTATTTGTATGATGGGATCGCAAATTAGGGTAAATAAATATAGTAAACAATGGCAGACCTTGTTTAAACTTGCATGCTATACATGTTAAAAATACGCAATACAAAGAAAAAAGTGTCAATTTCCTTATCTGGCATTTGTGGCGTCAATGGTTACCAAAATGACGAGGGAAAACTGGTATGTGAATGAACCAACATATTAACCGCATGATCCAAATCGAAATGCCATTTCGTCTAATTCCCCCTGTGAGTCACGGGGGGAATGGGAAGGGGGGAAGACAGCGCTCGTGTTGATACTCACGGTGGCGGCGGAGGGCTGAGCAGTGAAGACGGAGGATTTGGTTCGCAGTGAATCGACGCGAAGTCAGGAGAGGATCGTCCAAATCCTGAGATGGTGGTAAAAGTCAGACGTGAAAGGCAGCAGTGTTGTTATTAATACCGACAGAGAACGAGCTTAGAGGCGGGTTGAAGTGACATTCGACGTGAATCCCGAACGGGGTTTAAAGCGTGATCTCCACGATTATGTGCGGTCTTCATTGTTTAAATATATACAGACATCTTCTTGGTTCTTTCGGTAAAGTCACGTAGAAGGGAAATAATAATATAATAATAAATTAATTATAATAAAGAAAACATACATATGTTTAATTTATTTTATTTTATTATTTCCCTTCTACGTGACTTTACCGAAAGAACCAAGAAGATGAATCCCTGCAGTCACGAAAGCTTTAAATCGAAATATACACAGACAGTCCCCCCCCCCCGGCTGTGGAAGACCACGACTTACGGAAAATCGGACCTTACGGGAATGCTCCCGTAAATCGCGTAAAAAAATCAACACCCGGAAATGTTTGCGTTAGTTACGCGAGCGCAAATAGTACAGCGAGGTGAGGTTGCGAGGCGTAAGGTGTTGCACTAGGGTTAAGGTGAATGGAATTTATCGTTGAGTTTAGGAGGAAATTGTTCAGTTTCCGACATACGGAAAATTCGAGTTACGGATCGTTCTCGGGAACATAACCCTTCTGTAACCCGGGGACTGTCTGTATTATAGTCTTATGGTTGTCATTGTTCCAGTTTAGTTGTCTTTTGTAAGCCGCATGAAGATTTACCAAACGTAGCATACAGTGTAACAATTTGGCCTTGTTTTTATGTTCACAAATTTGACGTGCAGATTGACGCAAAATTATTGCAAAACATGTCTTATTGACACACAACGCAGGTGTATACGTTACTCATGGGCAATATGTCAGTAACTTTTACCATGAATTTTACTTATGGAAGGTGGTGATCGAATAGGACTACAGACAGACCTTTTCCACTCATGATGGAATTTTTGCTGATGATACAGATACTGCTGGTAATGATGATGATGGTACTTAAGATGATCAAGAATATGTTGATACAACGAGCATTTATAAGCAAACGCATCTCAAGATGTTGTACAAAGAAGGCATGTAATGTTATTCTTGGTTCTTTCGGTAAAGTCACGTAGAAGGGAAATAATAAATAATAAAAATAAAACATAATAAAATACAATTCTCACGACGTTTCGGCCACAACGCAAGCAGCCGTACTCAGGTGAAGAACAGGGCTGTGTTCGGCCACAACGCAAGCAGCCGTCCTCAGGTGAAGAACAGGGCTGTGTTCTTCACCTGAGGACGGCTGCTTGCGTTGTGGCCGAAACGTCGTGAGAATTGTATTTAATTATGTTTTAGTTTTATTATTGTATTATTTCCCTTCTACTTGACTTTACTGAAAGAACCAAGAAGATGAATCCCTGCAGTCACGAAAGCTTTAAATCGAAACATGTACATGTTGTTGGGGCTATCGCTTGCAAATGACAATTGAATAGTTTCACTCCGAATTCCTTGCAAAAGACATGAGCCATTCTGTTTGAGAGACGATGCTGAGTTCAACCCCAATTAAGAATGGCGAGCTGAATGGAGTTCAAAAGAACTCACAATCAAACCCCTTGTGAAAGACCCGACGCAAAAGATCCCTGGTTTTGATCTTTCATGAAGCTCATAGTCCACCCTGAAATCGCATCCGTAGAAATTATGGCAGATGAAGATACCTGATGCACAAATGGAAAATAAAATGTAAAAACTTTCCAATTTGCAACTGTGGTCATCCAGAACAGGCCGTGCAAACATATAACGATGCAATGCCCGATCCACAAATACAAAGGAGACATCACGGCGATACACTCAGCTGCTCCTGCCTCGGTTATCCAACTTGACCATCTGATTGTGAAATTGTAGTTGTCGCTGCTGCACCTGCATCAGCCGTATTAAAGAAGAAGAACAAGAAGTGAGTGGCTCACGTACCATGTGGCCCCTGATGGGGCATGCCCTCCACCTGCTGCTGCAGGAGCCTCTGGTCCTTGCCCACACCTCCCGCAATCTTGATGGCGCACGACAAGGCGAGCAGCAGCAACAGCACCAGAGTCACCACGGCGATGGCGATGGGTCCGCTCTGCCCGCTGCCCTTGTTCGTCTGCCCCTCGTCCCCGGTAATCGGCACGCGTGGGGTCCAGCTCGGAGCTGTGGCCGTGTCGGCCGCGTCTGCGTGTGCACAGGTCGGCAAGGTCGAATCAGAATCTGTATTTATGATTCTGAAATCCGATGAGCTGTGAAGCGCTTTTTTTCACAGATGTCCAGTAGAGGCGGGTCAGAATGTTACAACAGCAGACAATGCAAGAAATTGTGGCCATGGGTTCTTGCAAGGCTTTAGAATGAATTTGTGGGAGTTACCAAGGTACATTTCACTGTTTTCAATTATATAAATCAGATTTTTCGATTTAAAGCTTTCGTGACTGCAGGGATTCATCTTCTTGGTTCTTTCGGTAAAGTCACGTAGAAGGGAAATAATAAAATAATAAACATAAAACATAATAAAATAATTCTCACGACGTTTCGGCCACAACGCAAGCAGCCGTCCTCAGGTGAAGAACAGGAAACGTCGTGATAATTATTTTATTATGTTTTATTTTTATTATTTTATTATTTCCCTTCTTCGTGACTTTACCGAAAGAACCAAGAAGATATATAAATCTGCTATTCGTGTCAGTATTACTTTTTTGTTTTCCATGAAATTAATAAATCGTGCGTGATTAACACACATAATTTGAGTGTGTTCAGCTCTGGGCCACTACTCCCCTACTTAAATATAATGCTGTTTAATATATATACACACCATACATTAAAACAAGAAAATGTCTTACCTGCTTTAGGGAAAGGCAGTTCATTTGAAAGAGATGGCAAACATAGCAGAGCTGCAACAACACAATGCATAGTTTGATAGTTAGTAGTTAAACAGCAAACAGTTTAATGTTGAGTAAATACGAACACACTATAAAAATGGAACTTAATGGCACCTGTTATGAAATTTAATTCAGTCAGAGGTAACATATGGTGAAAAATGTGTAATACTACATACCGTACAAAGTGTCGAAAATGAATAAGAGACGAAAAGTTGCCATGCTCTTGCCAATTCCTAATTTCAGCGGTCAGATTTTACTATACACCTGCACCCAGAATATGACGAGCAAGCATTAGTGTCCTTATATAATACTTTGCATGTCCATCTATCTATGCACAATTATTAGACACGTAAAACAAAAACAAAGAGAGCTCTGGTGAGGAACGAGATTACTGCAGTAGTAAGACACCTGCCTATGACGATTTCAACTAAGATATGTTCACATGATTCCTTAGTTGCTGTGAAAAGCGATAATCAGTGTCACCGCCCATTATATATAACCTATTAGACCACGTGTCAAACTTGATACACGAGCAAGATTAATTATTTCTGAAAATAGGCAGCCAAACGCGTAAACAGGTCCACATCCCCAACTCTCAATCCAGGAATTTATTTTGATGCAAGCGTTTCTGTTTACTTGTTTATGGCGTGAACATGTCTGTGCCTTAATCTGGTACTTATACACTACTTATCAGGAATTCAGCCTATCATTATTCTTGGGAGTGCGTAAAATGAGTATATCCTTGTAAGAATTTGCGCGCAGGAACATTCCAAACTCGTCTTCCCATTTCCACTGCAGTCATCTTTAAACATCTGCTGTATGTAGCATCATTATTATCATCAATTCGTGAACCGTCGTTATATTTCATAATTCGATTTAATTAATGACAATTAGATTTTTATCTAAATATTTGAAAAAGCCAAGGGTCACGTCATATACATGTAGATGACTGTGATTGAATGACTGACGTATATTATAATTATATTATACAATTAATGGGTAATTTGCCTAAAACTATAAAATCTTCAAAGCAAGTTTTTTAAATGTTGACTCCAAAAATTACAACCCAATGTTTTACTGGTTCTACCCATAGGCACAGAGTCTGCTTAAAAGCCTACATTGCTTTGAGATGTATGTTTAACGCTTCATAAAACATACCCCCCATAATCAGTAAACCAATTAACCTCCTGTGGAGTGTGATGGTAAAAGCTGATAGCAAACAGAATGCGCTTCCGCGTTACTTACAGAGTAGACACTACCGATCCCCTTTCCACATTTCAGAATCTGTATTTAGACGGGAGCAATCAGATGAGCTATGAAGTTCTTTCTTCACAGATGTCCACTATATCTATGAAGCACTGAGCCAAATAGACGCTTGGATAATGATTCCAGGCACCTGACGCCTTACTCTGTAACACACACCAGTGCGTAGCAGGGGGTGTGTCGTTCTAAAGTGCAAAGTCTTAAGTTTTGTTTTAATCTTGACTTGGCTGCTATAGCTTTTCCAACACTACCCCCCGCCCCCATCAAAGTGGTTTTCCACGCAATGTCGTCTCGCAAGGCCACACACCATACACTAGTTACGTATATTCCACATTCCTGTGACGGTGGAAAGTCTTCATCTAGTCCTGCCGTTGTCTTTGCTCGCACAGTGGCACTCGTTTCTATCGTGCCAGGGTGGATGAGGGTTGAACGGACCCCAAACGGCATGTGAATCTGGAACATTCATCTTGCATGCTGCTTGTTCTATAAATTGAGCAGCCCAACTACAAGATTCATCCTTACCAAAGTGTAACATTGAACAGCGTAAAGTGACTTAAAACTAAACATGACAAATTGTAACTTCGAGTGTCTCAGCTGTATGGAAAATTGCTCACTCACAGAAATACAAATAACAACACAGGCATATGTACATATCACAAAGGGTTATGGCATTGTTTTCTGTGCCTGTTAACACCACAAGTGATGTTAGTGTCAAAGTACTGTGATCTCAGTGATATTCTATCATATTACCTGCCCATTCGATTATCTCCGTCCCAAACTGATCTGCCATTCGTGCGCCGATTAATATTTTCCATTATCCACACTTATCTACGGAGAAGATAAATAATTTTGAAGTGGTGTAACATTCTTACTATTAGCATTTAAAGAGTATCTGTGGATAACAGAACAGTGATCTCCAGGAGGTGCTTATCCACAGATAAGGGGTTGATATATATCTAGTAGTGTATAGTAGTGTAGTGTATAGTGTAGTGTATAGTTTAGTGTATAGTGTAATGTATAGTGGAGTGTATAGTAGTGTAATGTATAGTGTAGTGTGTAGTAGTGTAGTGTATAGTGTAGTGTATAGTGTAATGTATTGTGTAGTGTATAGTCGTGTAGTGTATAGTGTAGTGTATAGTGTAGTGTGTAGTGTATAGTGTGTAGTGTATAGTGTAGTGTATAGTGTAGTGTGTAGTGTACAGTGTAGTGTATAGTGTAGTGTATAGTGTAGTGTGTCGTGTATAGTGTAGTGTATAGTGTAGTGTATAGTGTAGTAGTGTAGTGTGTAGTGTAGTGTGTAGTGTAGTGTGTAGTGTAGTGTATAGTAGTGTAATGTATAGTGTAGTGTATAGTTTAGTGTATAGTGTAGTGTATAGTGTAGTGTATAGTATAGTGTATAGTGTAATGTATAGTGGAGTGTATAGTTTAATGTAGTGTATAGTGAAGGGTATAGTAGTGTAATGTATAGTAGTGTAGTGTATAGTAGTGTATAGTAGTGTAGTGTATAGTGTATAGTAGTGTAGTGTATAGTAGTGTAGTGTATAGTGTATAGTTTAGTGTATAGTGTAATGTATAGTGTAGTGTATAGTGTAGTGTAATGTATAGTGTAGTGTATAGTGTAGTGTATAGTGTAGTGTGTAGTGTGTAGTGTAGTGTATAGTGTAGTGTATAGTAGTGTAGAGAATAGTGTATAGTATAATGTATAGTGTAGTGTAATGTATAGTGTAGTGTATAGTGTAGTGTATAGCGTAATGTATAGTGTAGTGTATAGTGTAGTGTATAGTGTAGTGTATAGTGTAGTGTATTGTATAGTTTAGTGTATTGTATAGTTTAGTGTATAGGATGAATGTTGAGATTTATAAGGGCACTGGGGTGACCAACGAGGTCTGAAATGATCTATATCAAGGTAGGGCACTGATCAGGGGTTGATCGATATCTAGTAGTGTATAGTAGTGTAGTGTATAGTAGTGCAGTGTATAGTGTAGTGTTTAGTGTAATGTAGTGTATAGTAGTGTAGTGTATAGTGTAACGTATAGTGTAATGTAGAATGTAGTGTGTAGTGTATAGTGCAGTGTATAGTGTAGTGTATAGTGGTGTAGTGTATAGTGTATGGTAGTATAGTGTATAGTGTAATGTATAGTGTAGTGTATAGTATAGTGTATAGTTGAGTGTAGTGTATAGTATAGTGTATAGTATAAACGTTGCTATTTATAAAGCCTTTGGGGTGACCAACGAGGTCTGAATTGGTCTATAACAAGGTCGGGAGGGCACTGATCAGGGGGGTTGATCGATATCTAGTAGTGTATAGTGTAGTGTATACTAGTGTATAGTGTAGTGTATAGTGTAGTGTATAGGAGTGTAGTGTATAGTGTAGTGTATAATGTAGTGTGTAGTGTAGTGTATAGTAGTGTAGTGTATAGTCTAGTGTATAGTAGTGTAGTGTATAGTGTAATGTATAGTATAGTGTAGAGTATAGTGTAGTGTATAGTGTAGTGTATACTAGTGTATAGTGTAGTGTATAGTGTAGTGTATAGTATAGGAGTGTAGTGTATAATGTAGTGTATAATGTAGTGTGTAGTGTAGTGTATAGTAGTGTATAGTCTAGTGTATAGTAGTGTAGTGTATAGTGTAATGTATAGTATAGTGTAGAGTATAGTGTAGTGTATAGTGTAGTGTATACTAGTGTATAGTGTAGTGTATAGTGTAGTGTATAGTAGTGTAGTGTATAGTAGTGTAGTGTATAATGTAGTGTATAGTGTAGTGTATAGTTTAGTGTATAGTGTAATGTATAGTATAGTGTAGTGTATAGAATGAACGTTGCTATTTATAAAGCCATTGGGGTGACCAACGAGGTATGAATTGGTCTATAACAAGGTCGGGAGGGCATTGATCAGGGGGGTTGATCGATGCGTGGGATCGATCTCACGACCTCCTGCGCACGTGGCGAGGGCGTTGACATCTCGCTCGAGCGCTGTGGGGGTCGTCAACGCAACGTCAACCTTCAAACGTTTCCCACGGGGAGATTACGGACTTTTTATCAACATAATTCGAGTTCACAGCCCGTAATTTAATTAAGGTAATCGATTAAAGTTTGTTTTTGGAGTTAAAAGTTTAATACATTTTGGCGAAGTTTGCCGGTGTTGGCGGGCCCCGTGCGTGGCGGGACGCGGAGTTTTCACGGCAAACATTTTTTACTTGGGCCGCTGACGTTGATATATAAAATAAGCGGTATGTAAAACATATTAAAGCATCTGTAACGTGCGTTTAACGACGTAAAGCCACGACGGGAGTTGTAATAAGATAATTAGTTTAATGCAATTTGTTGGTATTTACCTCAGCGGCAATTGAGGCCTGTGGTTGATGTTGCCGTACCCGCGCGGTCGCTCCGTATTAAAGGTGATCGCACTTTTCTTATTGAAATAAACAAACATATTATTGAATAATTTATATTTATAGACGTATATACTCTGTTCGTGTTAAAATTGTACTTAAATGTGAGATAATTACTGTACAGTACGTTCCTTCGCGGCTACTGTATTGCTGCGACTTTGGATTATTATACAATCTGCTAAATGTAAATATCCCTCCGTAATTTAATACTAATAGTCTACATTTCATCCGAAGTTAATTTAGTGTTAGCGAATGAACTACAATGTTGTAAACTAAAATGTTGGATGTAACAGTATCCTATGAAGTACTGTACCAAACGTACGTATTTGGGTTTTTGTAATGTTATTACAATACAGTAATTGTTATTAAAGTCACAAATATACATTAAAGTATTCGCCTTCATGATCAATATCGTTGGGTGGTCGTCACGTCCAACAGTGTTATGAGTGGACACTCCACATTCTTGTGACGGGGAGGGGAGAGGGCCCATGCCACACACCCAATGCTGGCCACCAAATTCTTTATTGATTCTCTTCTTAAACTACAACTATCCTGACTGTGTACGTGGTGTGCCACTCTGTAGTGTAACCTTTCTTGTTATCACGATGTATAAGGAGGAATCTATGAAATCTGCAGGATTTGGGAACCAAAAAGCCACCCTTGGACATGGACAAACACGGCGGGACCGACGCTGAAAAGACCATACGTAGTGGTGAAAATATCATTTTACACCACAAAGCTGGGCATTTAACCATTTGTTTTTAATAATTCATGATACAGTATACGAAGTGTTGAAGCTGTTGCCAATGCCACGGTCATAAATGATGATTTTCTGCACCGTCTTGTTTAATTGCTTGAATTCTGAAATGTATCACTGATTTTTCCCCATAGAGTATCTGTTTATACGTCCGCGTATACCATGGCATGCGTGCGTCTTTGTAATGTTATGCGACATTTCTATAGTGCAGTGTTAGAGGGTTGTAAATGTTTCCTTAAATTTAACTGCAAAAAAAAGCTCTCAAAATGTTTATGCAATCCATCCCTCCCCCCCCTCATTTTTAAACATTTGAACCATTACAGAATAGATGTATCGTGTAATGTCATGATGTACTTGACAAGTGTTCGTATTTTTCTATTAATTCTCAGAGATGAAGACGGACGTTGACCTTTTGTTGGAGTGTCTCAAGTTTCAGAACGAGGACTCGTCCACGCATAAGCAGGCGGTGATCACTCTTTCTTCCATCTGCTCATACAACGGTTGGTCCTTGGATTATCTTCATTTACTTTTGCACAAGTTTGAAATATATTTGAAAGGAATAACAAAGAAGGCGTATTTATTCTGATTCTGAAAAACTGTGTTTAAACACAGTACAATATTTTATACATTTCAACTATAGCAGAAGTCTTCTTGGTTCTTTCGGTAAAGTCACGTAGAATGGAAATAATAATAAAAAGACAGAGTCAACAGACCTGTTCTCCACCTGAGGACGGCTGCTTGCGTTGTGGCCGAAACGTCTTGAGAATTATTTTATTATGTTTTATTTTTATTATTTTATTATTTCCATTCTACGTGACTTTACCGAAAGAACCAAGAAGATGAATCCCTGCAGTCATGAAAGCTTTAAATAGAAATATAGCAGAAGTCCAATAATTAGCGATCCATTAATCCGCGAATCTCTCTATACGGTTATTGGCGGATTATTGGCAGTTCTGCTCCATCGTAATTTACAGAAGACTGGGGCAGATTGAAAAATACTTTGCGGATCGCAAACCGCGATTTCTGAAGGTGGGCGAGGGCTGGAAAGCAGAACAATACGGAGTATGATGTTGTTTATTTTCTTCGCAATTTAGTTTTTATTGTGCACACCACAGACTGGCTCATCTCACGTGATTATGCATTTTGTGGACTTGGATATCGAGTACATAAAACATGCAAATGTTATAACATATACCCATATGGGAGATTTTCACGCGTTGGGTCTTAGAAAAAGTTGTAGCCTTAAAAACCCCAGATTTATTGTGGATTTCATCACGAGTCATATGCTGCAATTCCCTTCTAATTTGATATTTTTTAACGGATTAATGGATTCACGCAACCATTTGTTTCCACAATCTACAGCACACTACATCAGTCCAAACATTTTTTCACGGATTACAAGTCGTGCGCCACAGATTATAGGATCTGCAATATGGGTCCCCCCATATCAACGCGGATTATTGGATTTCTGCTATACTGTTTGGTGTCACAGTTCCTATGATTACTGTTTTTACATAGTTTTTTATTTTGGTGATTTCGAAAACATGGTTAAGCCATGAAGTGCGGAGTTTGCCTGATTACTTGAATCTAAATTGTCTTATGGTTGTTATTGTTTGACTTGCATCACACTGGGATTTTTGCACACAGCGTTGGAATACGGTTTTTTTTTTCTGAAAGATTTGCTGGTTTATTACGGATGTTTCTGTTGCATGTCGTCGCTTTAAGATGTTCTCTGTTCATATTTTATTTGATGCGGTTGCACCCGACTCAACAGCCGCATGGCTCACAGGGCTATACCTAATAAATTAAAACTTGAAATGAAAACTTGTGTTACAATATGCATATTCATAGCACATGGGAGACTTAATCAGAGTTGTACTTATTTATTCTAGATTTGAAGCTTTCGTGACTGCAAGGATTCATATTCTTAGGTTTTTCGGTAAAGTCACGTAGGTAAAAAATTAAAATTAATAAAAGTACGTGACTTTAACGAAAAAACCTAAGAATTTGTACTTTTTTAGTTTGGATTCTCTGTTTTCCATTGCTGTTTATTATGGATGATTGTCAGTATTGCAGTTTGTTTTATTTATTTTTTATATTAGTTGGTTGTTGTAGCCAACCTATTTCGACGGCCAAATTTGAGAATCAGAATAAGTTGTGTAACAGTAGTGTATACACTAGAAGGGAGAATAAATTCTTGAACTGTAACCCACTTAAGATTAACAGTATTTTTGTAATATCCACTTTTTCAGTATTTCACATGAACCCTGCACAGCCAATTTATGAAACTACATTTCAATGTATTTTTTTTTTACAATATTTGAGGATGACTTTACCAGCTGTGGAACTATTAGTTAAAAATGATCTCTTTGGTAAGCTATAAATAATTACACAGGTGTATTTACTTGTGCAGCTGCAGCATGCAAGTACCTCAAGGAGTGTGGTGGATTATACTTCATACAGCAGCTTGCCTGGTCTAACCCTCACAAAGATGTCACAGAAGTCATCTTGTTTTTTCTGGGGAGGCTGGTGGAGAACAACGGTATGTGTAGAAGTTGATTCGGTCTGATACAACGGGGCCTTATGGCACAAAGTATTGACAAATGCATCAACTAGGCATTTCCTGTATTTGTAACACTGCAAGTTGGAGACGTGAAACCTCAGGAAAGTTGTTTGAATACTCCACGGGCTCATGACCTTTGCATAGTTCTTGTTTTTAGAGTAATTTGGTTTATGGTATGTGTATATGCCCTTTCAGCATCCGCTTTTGTATATATCCTCCAATGTGTTAATATAAGCCACAGGTACTAAAAACAACTTGATGCTCGTATTTTAATGATGTACCCCTACCATACATACGTTGTTGCGATATGACATAGCCATTAAGACAATATGTGGCAGTTTAACACGTAGGCAATTACCAGCGAAACGTTGTAATCAAAAATAGTAAATGTTGTGGTTTCACTCTTCAACACACCGGTGGGCTAAAGTAGTGAACTATTTGTCTTTTGTCAACGTGACACTTTTTGCTGATTGGCCGTGTCGGGTGGTGGAGGGTTACGACACATTTATAAATAACACGATCTAACCCTAAAACGTTTATTATGAACAATATGTGGCATTGAAAAACACTTATTTAGTGCTGCTGAAATGTGTAAAAAAGTTTTTGTGTCATTTAAAGTTTAATTTTCGTTATTAAACTTTAACATTCGTGTTTCTTTCTCCTTCCAGTTTTCTGTAAGCAGTGGCTCTGCACATCCTCTCTGCTCACTCGAGCTAGCTCACTTTTAAAAGACTCGAAATCGTCGAGAATTCTTAAAAAAAGTGCCTCCTATCTACTCCTTGCACTACTCACAAATAATAGTAAGATTACAGGTTTGCTTGTGAGCTCTGTGGTGGCACATCTTTTCATATCTAGTATTTCGGTGGTCATTAATAATTGTGAAAATATGGAGGCTTTTTCGTGACTTTGTTTTTCACATTTACATGCTCTTTTTGGAATTTGGTTCCAAAATTAACCAATATGGAGGGCGAAAGCTGGTTATTTCATGATGTGACCTAAACATTAGATTGTTTTTACTTGTTTAATTTGAGGTGTGTATACAACATTTCCTGTATAATGTTTACCTGATAAAATATTAGTTAAATAAAGTAGTCAACATATTAAACGGGAGTGTATGGTATTATACGTGGCATAATAAATATTAATGAAAGCCCACGTAATATTGAAAATATGCTGAAAGCAAATTCACTGGTGCACTTTTTTGCATGTGTATATCACCTAGGTCTACTTAGTAATGCCATTATTAGGCTCATTGTAAATACTCTAATACTCGTTGATTTGTACAAGCATTTCAATGGAGATATTTGATACAACACAGAGTGGATATCTTTGGCAATTTTATTTTTTATTGAAAACAAAGCATGTTTTTTTGGTGTTCACAGACCGAGGGCAGAGCCTTGCTCGGACATCTAACTGTCTAAACACAATGCTTAGCGTTTTCAGGTAAATGATTAACTACTTTTTAATTCTGCTGCACTCACCTAATTTTACCACCTATTTGGTGTATATGGTAAGAAGCTAAAATATTTTACAAAAATATGATGAACTTGATCAAAAGTACAACTCTTAAATGGAACTTGGGGATATAATTTAGCACTTAAGAATATTGGCCCTGAACATCACTGAGGAACTTTAAATGGTGAATTCAGCATTTTAAAATGCAAGATGGAATGTGTATAAATGTACCTACAATGTTTCCGCTGATGTTGTATTTGTCGTCTTTTTGCTGGTAAAAGAAGTGGTCTCCCAAGTGAAATTCCGAGACATGGCAACAGGGATTCTGAAGAGGAACTCTCACACTGGTCTGATCTTGCCAGGGCCTTATGCGCAAGTGTAAACAATCCTCAGCATGGTATTGAAAATCTTTTAGGAAAAAATATTTTTTTTTTTGAGTCAGGGTTGCACATTTTTTGCAAACACTTGAAGCGGTGTTACAGATAAAAAAAACACATAGGAGGGATATAATTTTGGTCAAAATCATTTGGATATTGGAATCATATTTATATGAAACTGATATTTTTCTTTATTTATGTGAAAAGGTTGAAACGTCACGTAAATCGAAGTTTACACATACGTTCATGTAAATGATGTACAATAACTTACATTTTAAAAAGCTACAGGAAGTAATAAAAATTAGTTTCTTGAGCAATCGTGAGAATGTTCTCTGTTGCAGAGGAAAATCAAAATATGTGTGCATCAGTCTTGCCGAGTGTAGCTGAGAGTCTCACTCTGAGCTCATCGCCTGGTATCGTCGCCTCCCAATGTTCATTTATCACTGGAGTCGTTTCCAACAATGGTAAGCTTACATTTTTCTTGTAAATTTCAATGCAACCACATTCTTACACGTGTGGTACTGTCAACTTAAAAGCGACCATTTCAAATTATTTCTGCTGTTTTTATTTACAATGTCTGGTGGAGTAGACAAACACGTTCTGTTACATTTCGTAAGCCACTCTTGCCATGTTGAAAGTCACATGCCCACTGGTAGATTGTTTTCAAGCCAGTTTCACATTTCAGTTTAGTTGGTGATTTATATGCACACAGAAATATTCTGACAAGTAAGTGGGTCAGCAAATAGGTAACAAAAATTTAACAAAACTGAAAAATGTTTTACAGTATTAAACTATTATGTCACTGTTGAGTTGCTGACATCACATGATTTGTGTACAAGGTTCTTTTTTAGTGGTCACAAGTGGTTAAACTGGCACCAGGAACATTTAAATTGAATTTCTAGTTGAGGAAAGTACTGTATGCTGTTTATATACAATATATTTGGGAGCGGTCTGATATGGCTCTAGATATAGAGAACATTTATTTTGATTCTTCACATTTCACTTGTAACAGTTACCCATCGATTGTGATTTTGGGCCATTGGGTTCTCATTTCCCGATTGAGGCTGCAACCTGTTGATAAAAATATCACTTTTATTTATAACACTGATGTCCTGTACAGTATTGATGAACGTGCGGAGAAACAGAACATAGAAGTGGTGGCTATCTTGTTAAATTATGTTCAGTGGTAAGGCCCAGTGGATCCTGTTAATTTAACCCATGGGTGGGCTGCTGTGCCGAGTGGTGAATGATTAACGGTTAATTGTATGCACATTTGCAATTGCAAAGTCATGTTCGGTTCGCAAAAATGTGAAGGTAAAGTTCGGTTACATTTGTAAAGTAAACTCATGCATGGTAGTGATGGTACACATGGAATGTGTACTTTTTTATTTAGCACAAAGCCAACCTTTTTTAAAAGCAGTTTTAGGGGGAGTGATCTCAGGATTGCAGCCCAGGTTCTCAATAAAACTGTTGTAGTAGATGTTCTTTGTAATTTTTCTACGTGTGCCAGTGATCTGCTCGGTTTGTGTTGTGTGTGTGCGCACTTTGCTGAGTGTGCAGCATTTTGCCAAGAGCAATTTGCACGGAGTGGAGGCCTCAGTGCTCTGGCCCAAGTTCTCTCCAGATTTACACTGGAAAACAACTTTGGCCCCACTAACTTTCCATTGGCAGTGACCATCACGAAGACTATTGACGTCTGTGTTACCGACCAAAGTAAGACTTTTGTCATCCACTGTTTTGGGCCAACTACTTTTAATCATACCAAATAACTTATGATAACTTTCAAGTGTACGCATATATGTAAAGTTCAAAAGAGAGACGATATAGGGGAGAGTGGTGGTGAAGTGGTTAGTGCACTGCACTTTGTACCAGGCAATATGAATTATATTTTCGACCATGGCAAACATCAATGGCAAGTGATATCTGAACTAGTCCTGGTGCCTCTCCTTCATCAACCTACAACGACCAGCATGGAGAAGTATAAGCGTATAATCTCAATGACGGACATATCTTGAGGAGGCCTTCATGCATTGGATTCATAAAGGGATGTGAATTATTATATTTTATATGATGGGAAATGGCCAGGGGCAATTATACTTTAAAAACTGTGTTCTATAATTGACTTATCCACCAAGACAGACATTCATACGGGTAACATTACTGGATGATTAGTGACAACTGTGCAGTGGTGGTTATAATAGACTGAACTACACATAACCGACCAAATGCCTTTGCTTACTACAATTTTAACATTACACTCTCACAAAATACATTACGGTGCAGAGAATATGTACATGAAACTAGTTAACCTTCACATTGTGGTGACAATTCTGTTTCATGCATTTTTCTAGCCAAGTTGGCATTTCAGCTGTCGAAGCACTGCGTGGTGCCCCACATGGTCGCACTGTTGCTGAAGAAACCCCACGATGTGAATAGCAAATTGGCAATCCTGATAACCATTGGGCATGCCACTGAAGAGTGTGGTCAGTAGAAATGTTGGTTTATAGCACAGCGCATTTCTATGAACTTGTTTATTCAACATAAAAAGTACTTTTAAAATATTTTAAGTTAAAAGCTACTTTAAATATTTTAAGTTAAAAGCTACTTTAAATAATTTACTTAATAGGAGCACAACTAAACTTCGATAAATGCCAGTCAAATGAAATGCACATATTTTTTTGTTACAAGGTGACAACAGTTCATTGAGGTCTGTTTTGCCTTTAAATTTCGAGAACAAAACAATGGTTGCTTTATTTTTGTGATGTGTTACTTGTTTGAAGTTACCTTTGTTATTGTGCTTGTAATGGGCAAATGACTGTGAAAGGAGTTGTTGCAGTCGTCTTAGTGTCTTCTCAGAAACATGTTAATGTTTGGTGTTCTTCACTCCCTGGGAATCTCATGTAAATAGTCTCCACGCATACTTTGGGTTTTTACCTTTGTCCTCACAGTGGAGAACCAGAGGCAGCTCCTTGAGAGCCATGGCCTTCCCTTGCTGGTGCAGATGATGGTTGAGGCGCAGGATGAAGAGATAAGCAAGGCCGCCACGTTCATCCTGCAGAGCTGCATTAAACTGAGTGAGCATCGATGCATACGAAACGGGATCATGTGAGAGTGAGCAATTTTAGTGGAGCTCTTACTTTGCCAATTTTTTCCATGCAGTACTGACATTCTGTTTACATTTTCATGGCGTTTGAGCATTTAGGAATAAAAAAATAATGATGCTTTTTAATGTTTATTTAAAATTATCATACTGTAATGTGCATTTTTTTGCTTTATGATGGATAGACTGTATGTGATTTCTGCAGATATACAACATTAAGGAAATGTTGTAGTAGAATTTGTTCTTGAGTGTTGCCTGATTGATGTTCCCACCCAATGGTGGTCTTTTTCTTTAAAAAAAATGCATGTCGCCTTGTGTTTGTATAAAATGTCCACTTCAAATGTGTTCATGTTGTGCCACTCTTTTCAGCAAACACCTATGTGAAGAGTGCCATGAACGAGTTGATTGAACGCAATGTCGCTGGAAATTCACAGCTCAGGACCCATACTATGCCTCATTACATGGTGGACATGCTGAAGGAGATGAAAACGAGGAAAGAGCAAATGTTTCAAGAACAGGTGCAGTATATAGCCTAACTTTTTTAATTGTTGCAAGTATTAGTGAGGCAAACCAATTAACGTGTTTGATGTACTTTATATAAAGTGTTATTAAATGCATTTCAGTAAGTATTTTTTCTTTTGATTGGTTTTTGATAAATGTCTAAGCTTAATGAGTAACTAAGACTCGTTTTAGAAAACTCGTTTTAGTTACTAGAGCAAAATATAATGGAACCAATATGTAATTAATATGTAGCACGACTTAACCAAATATAACAGACTTTGGGATAGTATTCAACATATCTTCTTGGTTCTTTCGGTAAAGTCACGTAGAAGGGAAATAATAAAATATTAAAAATAAAACATAATAAAATATGTATTCAACATAGTTATTATGCAGGTGCTATGACCCATGAGATGTATTCTGAAAGAGGCACTGTGGATTATTTGAAGTTGTATATTCTATCAACTTTTTTGCATCTAGTTTTTACAATTTTTACAAGGATGCAAATATAGCATACAAAGGATAATTATCGATACCACATTATAACATCTTAATTTATTTTATTTGAACAACAATACAAATGCACATGCAGTGAAGTTGTCTCTTGGGCATCTGATCATGTTTCAGGGTTCCAGTGAGGGAGACTTGGCCTCATTGCAAATGGTGAAGGATGTCATTGACTCGAAGTTGCTGCAATGGCAATCCACTCTCACCACAAAGCAGTCACCGACCAGGAACAATATGAAAAAGGTATTGCTATCCGTAAAGAAAATGTCAAATCAACAAGAGCAAAATAAAAATATTGTGTCTTTATTAGGCCAGCAACACCCATGCCAAAGTGAAGAATCGTCTGCGAAAGTTAACCAAACTGCATATGTTGGACAGCCCAATGGTATCGCAGAGCGACGAGGAGCAGTCTTGTTGACTCGGTGGGAAGAGCCCTGCATGGAAGCCCAGCATAAAATACCGGTCGATGGCGTAAAGGCAGCGCTGCCTGTACAACAAGACACTGGTGGGTTTGTGAAGCCCATGCTGCCCTTGAGATCTGTTGGGCAGAGGGCTGAGAGGGAGACGCCTCGTAGGTTACCCCAAAGTGCCTCTTTTAAAAGGAAACTTCAATTTGAGAAACAACACGCGGATGAAGAGAATGTACCTCTTCCTGTGAAGAAACAGAGGTTTGTGCTACTTATTGGGCTTTGTGGTTAAGCTGAGTGGAAGTTTGTCGTTCCTGTTGAATCAAGGATTTAATAATAATTTCAATAGTTCACGAGGAAAACGTATTATGTTTTGTACAATTTCACGTACACACCTGGTATGTACTCATATTAATAAAAACCCCACTTGCTTACAGAGTTGAACAACACCAAGAGAAGGAAGATAACAACTTAAGGGAATACTCTGAATGCTCAAGGAATTACGAGAATGATGTTGAACATTCAAACTCACAACTTGGTAACTTGACAACGTAGATTTTCCCTTTCTCTGTATACTGTTTGCACATTCCTTGTAGAGGTGACACTCACACTTGTTGAAATTAATAGGATTTTAAAATAGATATTTGTAAAAGTACTAGATATGTACCACTAAAAGTAGTAACATTTGTAATCAGTATATTAACAGGCATAACAATTTAGCTTCGTATTTAAATCATCCATGCATTGTTATTTCACATGTAAACTAAAATGCTAAATGTGATAATTTAAAAAAATGTGTTTTAACTTTAACCTGGTAAAAGCTTTGTTTTGCACAATGTAGATGCACTTGCAACCCTTTGTTTGTCTTGTTACAGACCTTATGGCAATTTGTAAGGAAGCCTTTGATGAGGAGATTTCAAGCAAAAATAGAAGCCCCATTCTGTCTTGTAGTCAGCGTTGTGCAGGTTTGTATTAACACAATAAGAAGGCTAGGCCAGAATGACTTTACCGAAAGAACCAAAGAGTATGGATTCCTGCAGTTACGAAAGCTTTCAAATCAAGACCGTAAATGTAGTTTGCTGCACTGACCTCTGCTACCCACAACGTAGCCCTACACTCCACCAGTTAGGCACAGTGATCAGCACTTCCAAGCTCAAGCCAGCTTAACTTACGACATCTGATAAGATCATACTGCATGGCAGGATATACTCTGTCATGTAGTATGTGCGCAGATCGAGTTAGTAAAAAAAAATCTGAAATAATGTATTATTTTTCTACCTAGGTGACTTTACCGAAAGAACCAAATTGTATACATTTACAGTGTTTTTATGCATCCGTGTTTATGCTCCTTTTGCCTACACAAACCCACATTGACCAATGTGGTGAAGTATGGTCAAATAACCCAGAAAGTGTGGAGGCCTAAACGGTAATGTATGTGACAATAGAATACATGCACTGGCATATTCAGCCAGATGGAATGGTGGTACACAATTTTTATACCATTACAGAGCATTTACAAGTATTTCACAAGTTTCAGGCGGTTTCATTATTGTGTAGTTGAAAACTTACTTGGCTAGGTAGATTGTGGTTTAAGTGACTTTGTTGCATAGGAATGTTTATGGTTGTGTGTGTCAGGGTATGTCGGAGTATCACCCGATATATGTATAGTTCGTTTAAACGTTGTGGTATGTTCACCAGCGTATATCTGTGGGCACATTGTGCAATGCGCACGCATGTTTTCCGATGCACGTGTGCATCCAGGGTGCATCACAGACTCCTCTTTGAATAGCAAAAGCTACCATTCAATCGTGCAGAAATGCGGGAGCTTATGCACGCGCCATCACATCACCATGGAGTTGGAGAAGAGATACAAAGTGAACCACAGCAAGGCCTGTGCTATGCATCGATCCAGGCCCTACAACAGTGAGCCTCACAGTAGCCTCACAGTAGACTGACACCAGGATATGTGGCAGGTTAAGTGGCAGATTAGTGACTTAGCTGAAATTGTACGTGTCCGGTTATTGTGTTTCTTTTCTTGTCTGCCATGTTCTCTGCACTGCTGGATGAATGCCGATTTAATCATCAGCTCACGTTGCAAAATCCATCTCGCTGCTGCACACGAGTGATTGTATTACTCATTGTTCCTTGGTAAATGTCCTTTTAGTCCTGTTCCTTGCTTTGGTTGCCATTTAATTATTGTTCGTGATCACCGACCATCCTTTATAGTGACGTGTTCTGCCCAAGCCCACGTATCTTAACAATATATAAGCTTAACAATATATAAGCAGTATTATCCGATCATTGTGTTTCTCTTCATATCTTTCATTGTTATTCCAAGCATGAAGTATGCATTTGGATCTCTCCAGGGTAGTGCGAACCTTCGTGTTAAAGAATGGCCCATCGTAGTAGATATGAGCTAATTCTGAGATCATTTCAGGTGACCTGGTCCATAAAGTAGAAGGCAGAACTTTCCCAGTCACTCAGTCATATGAGAGTTATTGTATTTACATGACAATGGAAATTTTCGTTTTTATTATCACCGATTAATTTATGAAATTTAATGTAATTATTTTTTTGCGTGCAATCATTGATGAATACACTTGGGAACAGATTATATTCACAGGGTGGCTGCCTAAATAATAAAAACCTTAAGAAATGTACTTAAACTAGCTAATTGTGTAATGTAAAAAAAAATACTTTTCTTAAGGAATTAAGATAGTTTTTTTAAAGTCAATATTTCGGTGGAGTGACACCCAAATGCCCCATACAGACCAGGTACAACTGGGTGGCATTAACATTTTACGGACTATGCAACCCCCCATGCCAGATACTGTCCTGTACCATCATCACAGTCCTCTTCACTCGATCAGTACTCCTTATCCCCCGTGCAGAAAAATACAATGAACCCTCATCTTTAAAGTGTGGTTTCATTTAAGTTTGAAGCCAAAAGGGATTCATGGCTGTGCTTTCCATGTTCACAGATATCACATTGACCCCACGCATAAAACGGCCAGAACGATCGGACCTGGTGGTCACACCTCAGAAAACGATTCAAACTGAGAGCAGCTTCCACCAAGTCAAAGCCACGACTGAAGGTATTCTAGAGACTCAATATGCAGGAGCACTTAATTTAATGTTTCATTCACTGCAGTACAGAGTTCCATAGTTGCACGTTCGTTTGTTCGTTACTCAACCCGCTTGTCCTGGTGAGGGTCACGGCGGCAGCATATTGAGTAGGGCGGTCCAGACCTCGCACGTATCAATCGAATTTGCATTCATGTACAGTACTCTTTTTGAAAGTATATAATTTGAAGAACTGCTGATTAGAGACATTTACTGTTAGCATTACAGTTGATGTAGTTTTGATGCAGCTCAGAATTATATAAATGGCATGCGCATCTTTTTCTTGAATGTATATTTTTCCAGTGTAATATTAAATTCACGGATGCATTTAAATAAATAAAAAATGTTTATACCGTAGCATCACTCTAAATTCCTGTACCGTAGGTGGTGTGAAACGGTCACCGAGCAAAAACAAAATGGATGCATATTACTTCAGCTCCAGTGACTCTGTAAGTAGACATCAAGCTGATGAAACGTTACCATACTCTTACACAGAGCGTGGAACAAGTAGAAAATGTATAAAATGCAATGCGCATGTTTTCAAATTTCAAACATGTCATAACTGTATTGTTCCACCATTGACCGAGTTTCATTGTATAAAAGCTCATGCTCAAGTGCCGAGTTTTGATGGTACCCAATGATGGTACTCGTATTTCATGAAATTTCACCAAATGTAGGCTGTTAAGACTTATCTCTACAATTCTGCTTTGTTGCAATACTTCTAAAAATACACCAGTTGCGATAGGAACATACGTTTTTGTAGAAGTGGCCAACAAGATGTAGTTTACCACCAGTCAGTTTTTACAGGAAATGAAAGTATTGTGCAACTTTTTAAAAACTTCCAGTCCACTTTGTGGTAATCGACAGTTACATTTCTTTGAACACATTCTTGCGGAGGGAGCTGATAGGAACGTTGGGTTGCTCGGTCAATGGCCAGGGTCAACGGCGGCGTGGTGTATTCCGCAAATATGCCCGACTGTGAGGGCGGGCACAAGCCGGCGTGAGTAGGTTAAACGTTGAGTTTTATAGGGAAACCACGGGGTGACCAGCCCCACCCCACCCAGCCCCACTCCTCCCACCCCCCCACCCAGCCCCACCCTCCCCACCCAGCCCCTCCCCTCCCTTCCCACCCAGCCCCTCCTTCCCCAACCAGCCCCTCCCTGCACGAAGGACGGACACAATAATCCCCTGTGGGCTGGTGTAACCAGGAGGTTCCTACCAGTATAAAGATTTTCGTAGCACGCATTCTGGCGCACAGCACCATCTGCTGGTGATACTGCTAAGCTACAATTGTGGATTTGGTGAGGTGGTCAACACTACAACAATCCTATCAACTGGATTAATGTATGGTGAAGTGCATTAGTAATGGATTTTTTTACCTGCTATGCTAATTTATAATCAGAATATATAAAGTTTAATCAACACCAGCAAGAAAATAATCAATTATAATATTGTTTATGGTAATATGTTCAGGAGCTGAATGACAACGTCGATTTCTGGTAGCCCACGAGGGCTTTAGGAGAGAGAGTTTGTGTCATTTTGCTGTTTCTCTGTGAATCGTCTTTAATTTTCCATTCATAAAGGATATGTGCGCATCATCCTGTTGATGGTTGATAGCACACCAGTGTCTTGGAGGAATGTCAAGGCCAGCAGGTGTGAAGTTTGGATCTCGAATAGAGAGGCTGTGTAGAGGAAACTGGGAAGATTTAGACACAAGCAATTTTCCAACCACACGTTGTGAGATGAGCGCACCGCACATGCCATGGATTTGTACAGGGACCCTGTTTTGATTACCTTGTGGGTGGGTTTCTCTTTACAGGCTTCTGGAGTTTGCACACATTGTTAGGTAACAGCAGAAGCCTGGATATTATGGCGTGGCTGAGGAGCAAGGGTTGAGCTTGCCTGGTCTATGTTTCACTGCCCCTTTGTATGCTGTACCGACCTTAAGTGCTAAATAATGTGACTTACATTAGATGTTCACACCAAACTATGAAGCTGACCTTTTGCGTGACCGATGTGTGTACATGTTTGTGTAAGCATTCAAAACAGGACATCGACTTTAGCTATGTACTTGACAATTCAGAAGATAAGAAACACAAGCAAAGGTCCAACTTTACAAATCATGAAGTGACGTACCTGCAGCAAGGCGTCGATAAGTTTGGACACTGCTGGAACCAGATCCTTTGGAGCTACCCCTTCCAGAAAGGGCGAACCAATGTTCAGCTAGCAAAAAAATATAAGCAGCTGAAGGTAAGAACATTTTTTTCTTGCCGTCACATATTAATGGATGCAGCAAAAAAGTAAAATATTACAATGATTACAATAACATGTATAACATTTTGTTGACGGCGAGGTTTTATTGTGGGAATTTACATTGGACTTAATTTGCAGATTAATATTTTACATTTTTACATTGTCCAGTGGGATGCTTTAAAGTTTTAACTTCAGTGATGTATGGGATGACTTTTTAATTATCGACCACCCTCGAACTCGCTGCCTCTGCATGTTCAAGACTCTTCACATACATTTAACTCGTCCAGTAGAGAATCCAAGACAGAACTGTTTAATAGAGCTTACAATGTATGAATACTGCACACTCGTGATAACCTAGGTTATAAGAGTTACACGTTTATCAATGTAATTACTTAAAATGTACTTTCCTTCCGTCCTTACTCATTAATTTTGTACAGTAACGTGTTTGTGGATGTCAGCCCACATCACATGCCTGCATGCTTATCACAATTTCAACAAGTACTGTATTGTTGAAGGCCGTAATGGCAGTCACCTTGTCCACGCATTGGCGCTTCAAATGCATTTGTGGTAAATTACAGGTTTTGTTTTTCTTTCTCAGGCTAATTGCCTCCAGTCATCAGCATTATTTTGCGAATTATGAGGGTATAATAGCTGACCAGATGGCACAGTGGTTAGCGTACTTCTCTATAAGCCACAGTTCGATTCCTAGCCATAGACGATTATATCTTGGTCTCCCCCCTCCACACCCTTCTAACGGCATGGAAAGCCTTCAACAATGCATTATAATAAATCAGTTTTTTAAGCAATGTTGCATGTGGTAAATTTTCAATATACAAAACATAATTTATGTTACAATTATAATTAAGTCGAAAATAATCTCAGAGAAGTGTAAACAAAAGCCATTTTTCACTCCACACTTTGCTTTTTTTGCCACAGTTAACGAAGAAGTTCTGAATTTTGACTTAAAACTTTTGTGACTGCAGGAAAAAGAAGTTGTGACTTCAGCGGTGCGCAGTCAGAACCCATGTGCACTGGACAGACACGCGGATGGCTGATTTTTGACGAAAGCTTTCTTTCATTGGATTTTTAAAGAATTAAATGCCTTGCAAGAAGGAAACACTTTTTGGCCACAACTAACTTCGTTGACCTCACACATTTTGCATTTCTATCTTGGCAGTTTAATGATTGTGAAATCTGTATTCACGAGAAATGCCATGTCAAGAATGTGATGACCATTGCAGTCCTGTCAGCGAACCACAAGTTTATTTAAGATATGTATACAATGGAATGTGCAGTCACATATTGGGGACTACAAATTTGTTTACTACAAAACAGTTTTAAAAGTGAAAATATGTTAAAGCCTCTGTAAGTGTTCTATGGATGCATTGAAATAGTTACGTGGTTAAAACAAGTGTTTGTGTTCTAAGTGAGGTCTATACAGAAGGGATAGTGCTTAAATTAGACTTGCTTTGTGTTTTGCTTGTCTCCACTGACCGCTTATATTTATATTCAAAATTAAAATATACTCCACTAACGTCACATTATCAGCCATTGTCTATCCACATTGATATGAAAATGTCCCCATGTCATCTCTCCTGTCTTGCAATACCATGACCCATCTCACTACTGCCCATGAATTTAACTTATCGTTCCATTTCTAATGTTATCATCCCTCTGTCGTGTTTCTCTTTGGCTTTTTTAATATTATAGAACCTCTTTAAGGAAACTTTTAATTTAAGAATAATTGCTTCAGAAGGCAGGCCAGTTTTACAACAACGGTATTCATTCCCTTTGGTGACGGTACACTGTTCATTTGAATGATTCCAACTTGTTCAATGAAATGTATTTTTCCCCATCTGAAATAAACGTGTACTTTCAATTAGCCGTATTTGTCTCCATCACCAACTACAGAAAGCCAGAACCCATGTGCAGTTTACGGAGACAGCTGACCGGCGAAAAACTTAGTTCATTGAGCTTTTGACGAAATAAAAATGCCACGGTCTTGCAACATCGCCCAAAACTGCACGCTTGCACCACCCGCAACGGATCCAGGAAGAAAAAAAATCAATTTCCGTCAGGTGGCCATTCAGTTGACCCGCGCTGACACTCAGTGCGTCGTGACGACATCGCGTACGGATCGCGACCCGACGCTCATTGTACGCGATGACGCGTACCACCTACGGCTCCGTTCCCCAAACGTCAGCGTTGGAGGGGGAAGGTGGGAGGATTTGAGGAGAGAAGCGGCCAACACGAACAAGGCGGAGGCAATCGAAAAGCACGTAGCGGCTCCCTCCCCCATCGACGCATCCTCCCGCACCCGTGCACCACACATTTAGCTTCGTCCAAAACTCGACAGAGCAACGTCGGCGCACGCGGAGACAATTCCAGCGATGTCTGCGAGAAGTGGAAGAGAGGAGGAGGCACCGAGGTTGGTGTCCCTCGATGAGCTGCGGAAGCACTGCACCAGCGAAAGCACGTGGATCGTCTTGCACGACAAAGTCTACGACGTGACCAGTTTCCTGGACAAGGTCTGTTTGCGTGGCCGAGCTCCCAGCTGTGTGTGTGTGCGGGCGTGCCTCTAGGTGGGCTCAGCCTTAAGCGCGTGTAAAACTACTGCACTGCGTGGTACTGTCTCGCCACACCATTGCCTCGGCTGTGGAAGATGTTGGCGAACAGCACTTGTCCCAGCAATGTATTATTTTTTACTACCGTGCCAATGTCTATTGAACGGCATCACCACATGGGGTGGATGTGATTTGTGATGTTGCAGCAGCTGTGTGCAGTTTGTAATCATATAAAGCAAATTGTATCCTTTTCTTGGATGCAAGAAGGTATGTTGTTATCTTCCGTGCTGTATCAACGTTTGCAATGTGATCTAGTTATTAATACTACTGGTAGGAACCTCCTGGTTACACCAGCCCACAGGGGATTATTGTGTCCGTCGTGCAGGGAGGGGCTGGGTGAGGAGGGGCTGGGTGAGGAGGGAGGGGCTGGGTGAGGAGGGAGGGGCTTGGTGGGGAGGGAGGGGCTGGGTGGGGAGGGAGGGGCTGGGTGGGGAGGGGCTGGGTGGGGAAGGGCTGGGTGGGGAAGGGCTGGGAGGGGAGGGGCTGGGTGGGGAGGGGCTGGTCACCCCGTGGTGCCCTTATAAAACTCAACGTTTAACCTACTCACGCCGGCTTGTGCCCGCCCTCACAGTCGGGCATATTTGCGGAATACACCACGCCGCCGTTGACCCTGCAGGCCATTGACCGAGCAACCCAACGTTCCTACACCAGCTCCCTCCGCAGGAATGTGTAAAACATTCCGTCCGGTAACTGCCCTGAGGAGCTTACTTACACATGTACTGTGATGCGTGTTTAAATTTCACAATTGATGAAAATGTATATGCATTGTGTACGTTATATTGCATACATTAACATAGATGTCAACCCATGCGGTTCGCCCCGTATTCTTGTACAGGGAGATTGAGTTTTCAGTTCCATACGGCGAACAGCCGTTTTAATACGGGTAAAGAAGATGTGTTTGTGTTTCTCCCTTGTGATGGAACTTTGTAGGATGAACGTTGCGTTTTATAAGGGCACGGGGTCTGAATTGATCTGTAATAGGAAGGCGCTGATAAGGGGTCGACAGGTATGAATTCAGCCAGTTTCAATCCACTGCTGAATGAAGCTGTATCTTTGCTGGCAATTGTCATGTAGTTGTAACACTCCATATATTGTTAGATCATCCCCGCTTATGAATATCAACCATATACTCCACACAAATTACTGTGTGCACTTACTGCATATATCACGTGACAGTACATTGCTGACCAGCGGTTGTGAAGTATGGTAAAATTATTTTAAAAGTACGCCTTTTGGCGTCATCTGGTCCAACACCAATGGAGAATAGGCTCTAAGAAAAGCTGTCTCGGGTGTGGACCAATCAACTTCAAGGACAATGCATATCATTATCATCATCAGAGTTGTTTCTTTTTGTTTGCATTTTGACTGCTTGTGTTGTGGTTATTGCAAACATCATCCCTTGTATAAAGGTGTCAGTTTTTGTACCATTTAAAAGGGTAAAAACCTATTACTATACTTTATTTTAAAAGGGTTGTAAATGTATTAGTGTGCTTATCACAATAATTGTATGATGTGACATTTAAAGTTAGTTTGTGCAACAAGTTCGGCAGATCTGGTTGATTAAACTGACCGAGTTCCGTAATTTAGATTATTTCACTGCTATAAATGTCCACATGATGATAAGCAACTCTGTTGAGCTGTCATTTGTGGCAAGGTCGCTTCTGAAAAACTCGCCTTTTGTCCGTCCAAGGACTGGTGTATTGCAGTAAATCTGAAACTTGCAATCGAAAAGCAGACCACGACGTGGTATTCATTGCGTCAATTCGTGTGCAATTCGTAAGGGCGCGGTGACAGAGACCTATTTCATTTAAAGATTATCATCCCTTGTTCATTACGACGTCCTTTTTACTTCGATGTCTCAATAGCGTCACGCACATCACGTGACGTGAGGGCTCTGCCTTTGTAGTGAGGGCTGGAAGTTGACGCCCAGAAAGGGGGAGGAGGCGCCACTGCCCCCCACGTGGAGTGACGTCAGCCGCTCATTATTATGAATGGAGGGGGGGGTGCATTTGGAGGACGTCACCTGCTAATGAATATTAATGAGGGGGGCTGGTCGATGTGGAGTGACGTCACGAGCGTTAAGGACAGACACTCCTGGGTGATTATAGTAGGTATAGGTTAATAGCTCGGTGAGCTTTACCTGGTAAGTAAAACATTGTTTCGTTTTATTTGTATACTTTTTTTTAAGTGTTTTAAAAGTGATTTGTTTACTTCTCTTATACTTTGCACTCCTTCCGTGTCTGTGCATTGTTGGCTGTTGTAACGTTCTGCCCCGCGCCTACTGGACATCTGTGAAAACTAGCTTCATGGCTCATCGGATTCCTCCAATGTCAATACATATTTTGAGTCTGGATCGTAACCTCCAAGTATCACTTTCCTGCCGCTCTCGCTGGCCACACTGAAGACATCACACCGCGTATTTAAGGCCCAAGACGGAAGGAAATTTTCACAATTCTGGCAGCTGCCTGATGATGCTGGTTGTAGCTGTCGGTGAAACAGAATGAGAATGTGTATTTATACTGGAGGCATCCGATGAACTATAAAGCTCTTTTTCACAGATGTCCAGTTGGGGCGGGTCAGAACGTTACTTCAACAAACAATCCAAAACACGGCAGCAGTGAAAGGTATAGAAAAGTTAAGCGACTCACTCGCATGTGGAGGGATAAACCGGAGAGACCCGGAGACACACATTCTCGCAATCGTGGGGAGAACGTGCAAAATATACATTCGGCGTCAGGGTCAAGATTGAAACCACGACCTCCTGTGCACCAGGCGAGGTAGTCAACATCTCGCCACCGCAACTGGGCAATCGCATGCCACTCGACGGCCCCTCTCGTGCGTTAGCCCTCTTCCAACTTGAGAGGCAGTGTTTGGAGGGCCGCGTGAAGGTGGGTGTTATTTCCTGTAATGCGCGTGCACGTGGTGATTGGTGGTGGTGGCCTTGGTGATCTGCAGCAGTTGGCCCTCAGATGCCAGCCACTACATCTAGTATTTGCTATCGCTTCCAAGGCTACTGTCTGCCCTTGGGGTGAGATTCTGTTCAAACGGGCAAGGTCTTTTTTCCCTTGCCATTGCTTGGACAGTGTGTTCCGTGTTGCATGAGAAATTGTATTTTTTGTGTTTTTCATATCCACAATCCAGTCATCATCATCATCATCAGCCACGATCTATCCACGACTGGATTGAAGACCTCCTCCCCAAGTCGTCACCACCCCTCGTGGTCTCGCGAAGCAATAATCTGGCGAGCGCAGGGGTCGGCTAGCTGCGCCGCCGTTGCCTCGTGCGGCTCTTTAATGACCACTTTGTGACATTTTTCGATTTAAAGTTTTCGTGACTGCAGGGATTCTCAGGTGGAGAACAGGTCTGTCGAGAAGACAGAGTCTGAATGTCTTCTCGACAGACCTGTTCTCCACCTGAGGACGACTGCTTGTGTTGTGGCCGAAACGTCGTCATAATTATTTTATTGTGTTTTATTTTTATTCCTTTATTATTTCCATTCTACGTGACTTTACCGAAAGAACCAAGAAGATACTTTGTGACAGTTATTTATTAAGGACAACCACCGTATCATGGAAACTTTTTGCCAGTACAGTATCGAAGTGTAGTGACATAAGAAGGGAGGGGCTGCTGTAGGCTCTGGGTTCCCAGGTGGGTCCAGACGCGTAAGCCTCTGGGCGCCAGGCACTGGGTTCCCAGGGGGTCCAGACGCTTTTAAGCCTTTGGGCGCCAGGCGTTGGGTTCCCAGGCGCTTAAGCCTTTTTGGCGCCGCCAACGGGGGGGGAGGCTGTGTGTGCTCTGTGGGATGTCTGGTGGCGCACACGGCCCCACCCCTCGTCGGACCAGGCATAAAAGGAGAGCTCCCTGGACGATCGGGGCCCAGTTGTAACTCAAGACCCAAGACCCACGACCAGCCATCTGAAGACCCTGGGATGCTGTGAGAGCCAGCGCTGGGACTCTGGAACTCCCGACTCTACGACCTTGTGAGGGCGAGCGTAGCCAGAGTAGAGTATCTAGAGTATCTAGGCTGTGTAGCTAGGCTGTGTACCTAGGCTGTAACAGAGTATCAGGACTGTTGGAGTGTTGTATTGTAATAAAGAAGTTACATCTACAAGTGTCTCCGGAACCCGTTACATTTGGTGTTAGAAGTGGCTATGGAGACAAGAAGTAAGCCACGTACCTTCAGTCCTGACGGCGATGAAGAGGAGCAGGCAGCGATGGGGCGGCCAACGCCGGCCGACAGCGACGCTGCACCGCCGGCCGACAACAACGCCGCACCGCCGGCTGAGCAGCTGTCTGCTCCGCCGACCGTCCCCTCTCCAGCGTCGGGAGCAGAGATGGAGGAGGCGCTGCTTCGCCTCGCAGAGCTGCTCTGCGCCACCGCCTCCCTCCTGGGCGAGCTGCGGTGCTCGCGGCCGATGGCGGCGGGAGGGAGAGAGGCGGCGCGGCGCTCGCCCGAGCCCAACGCCGCCGCCATTCCCCCCACGGATGTGAGAGATACTTCCGGGTGTGTCGTCACTTCCACCAGAGGAGCAGTGACCGCTGGGAGCGACGTCACTTCCGGGCCCAGCGTGTGCCAACCCGACGACGCCGCGTCATCAGCGCTGCGTCCCTCACCGCCGGGTGACAGCTGTTGGCAACCTAGCATACCGCGTCATCAGCGCTGCGACCGGACAGTGAGGGCGCCATTCTTACTGTAACCAGCGCCGCAGCCGGCACATGGACCGACTCGCTGCTCGCCGCCCCTGCTGCTCTGGCCAAAGGTTGGAGGTCGGGAGACCAGGCCCCTGACACTTCGTACATTTTACGCGCTCCGGATTAATGATTTTTTTGTTGATATTTTCTTCGTTGTCGTCGGGGAGTCGTGACTGTTGTTGGGTAAACTGTGTGGAGCTTCGCCCGTGAGTGTTGTCAATGTGTGTGCGAAACTTTGCTTGTGATTGTTAACAATGTATGGTTTATATTGAGCTTTGTTCGTGATTGTTAATGTATAGCTTGTGCTGTCATTGTTAACGATGTATATACTGTATGGGGCATTTATCTTGAGATGGTGACATGCTGCCAAGGATTTGGAATTGTCATGCTGGCTCTCAAATATCTTGGGGTGCAGATCCTGACCAGGATGGCCCAGCGGGTGTTGCGTGTCTAACACGAGAGTTGTGGTCCCGTCATGCTATGGCTGACGGCTTGACCTGACAGCCCGGAGATAGAGACACTCCGTGGCATGTCTAGCCTAGTGGGCTGTGTGCTCACATGGCTCGGAGAGTGTGGTCCCGTCATGCTATGGCTGACGGCTTGACCTGACAGCCCGGAGATAGAGACACTCCGTGGCATGTCTAGCCTAGTGGGCTGTGTGCTCACATGGCTCGGAGAGTGTGGTCCCGTCATGCTATGGCTGACGGCTTGACCTGACAGCCCGGAGATTGAAACACTCCGTGGCATGTCTGGCCTAGTGGGCTGTACGCTCACAGGGCTCGGAGAGTGTGGTCCCGTCATGGAATAGCTGACGGCTTGACCTGACGGCCCGGAGATTGAAACACTCCGAGGCGCGTTGAAACAGTGGGCTGGAGATTCGTGGTGTTCAGGTGTAGTTGTCCCGTTACGTTGGGACTGTATCCCTCAGTTGTTAGGGTGCATGTTGTGCAGGGAGTGAACAATGGGTCGTCTCAGATCGGTCGGTACAGCTATATGCTGCGATGCGAGTCTTGGAGAGAGGTTGGGTCTCAGATCGGTCGGTACAGCTATATGCTGCGATGCGAGTCTTGGAGAGAGGTTGGGTCTCAGATCGGTCGGTACAGCTATATGCTGCGATGCGAGTCTTGGAGAGAGGTTGGGTCTCAGATCGGTCGGTACAGCTATATGCTGCGATGCGAGTCTTGGAGAGAGGTTGGGTCTCAGATCGGTCGGTACAGCTATATGCTGCGATGCGAGTCTTGGAGAGAGGTTGGGTCTCAGATCGGTCGGTACAGCTATATACTGCGATGCGAGTCTTGGAGAGAGGTTGGGTCTCAGATCGGTCGGTACAGCTATATGCTGCGATGCGAGTCTTGGAGAGAGACTGGGTTGAAGTCCCCCCCGATATGGCCGACGTGCGCGGTTTTAGGATGGAGACGCCACGTTGGAAACGCGGGGGGTGCAAACGGTTGACATGCAATGTCGGTGGTGGTCTTCATTGAAGGCTGCTGGGACGCAAGCACGGGATGCCTTGGAGATGCGGTTCGCGCGTGCGGCCACCATTTATGGACAGGAGCAGGCAGATTTATTTTGGTTGTGTCATGTAAATTTTATATATTTAAAAATGTAGATACTGGAGCAGCCCTGAAGTGCGACTTCTTTGCCCAGTACATGGGTCGGCCCTGAAGTACGACTTCTCGACCCGGGACGTAGACAGACGTCCGGATAAGTGTGTGTAGAGGGATGCTCAACATGTTGGTCTTCGCCTTCTCTCCACCTGACGGATGGGAGGCTGGCAGAGTGGTGTGGATCCCTGCCATCTATGCGGTGGTTGTGTGATTTCGGTTCGATTACCGGTGTTGGTTGTGCATCCAACGCGTCGGAATCTGTATATTTGTTGTTAATTCCCCGTTTTCTATGCGGATCCCGAGGAGGGCTAGGTGTGCCGCGGGTCGTTTGTTCACGTGTCATTGCTTCACCTTTTTGTTGATTGATGCTTGTATATAGTGTAGAGTTGTACAGGTTGGTTATGTTTTTTATGGTTGCTTTCTTGTTCCCTTTTCTTTTCCTGTTGAGGCTCGCATATTTTTTTCTCTCTCTCCCTTTCGTTAATTTAAACTTTCTAATTATTGACAGCCGGGACGGCTGGAGGCTACGTAGAGGGGGGTAATGTAGTGACATAAGAAGGGAGGGGCTGCTGTAGGCTCTGGGTTCCCAGGTGGGTCCAGACGCGTAAGCCTCTGGGCGCCAGGCACTGGGTTCCCAGGGGGTCCAGACGCTTTTAAGCCTTTGGGCGCCAGGCGTTGGGTTCCCAGGCGCTTAAGCCTTTTTGGCGCCGCCAACGGGGGGGGAGGCTGTGTGTGCTCTGTGGGATGTCTGGTGGCGCACACGGCCCCACCCCTCGTCGGACCAGGCATAAAAGGAGAGCTCCCTGGACGATCGGGGCCCAGTTGTAACTCAAGACCCAAGACCCACGACCAGCCATCTGAAGACCCTGGGATGCTGTGAGAGCCAGCGCTGGGACTCTGGAACTCCCGACTCTACGACCTTGTGAGGGCGAGCGTAGCCAGAGTAGAGTATCTAGAGTATCTAGGCTGTGTAGCTAGGCTGTGTACCTAGGCTGTAACAGAGTATCAGGACTGTTGGAGTGTTGTATTGTAATAAAGAAGTTACATCTACAAGTGTCTCCGGAACCCGTTACAGAAGTATGAAAAAATAGGGATAGGTTTCACCCTTTCTGGCAATAAAGGAGGAGGTGTTAAGATGTTTAAACGCCAAATAGAAACCTTTGCCAAGGAATCAAGTCTGCATTGACCACACGTACTTGTGGTGAACAAACACGTGGCTCTGATAATTATGGATGCATTGTCTTTGAAGCTGATTGGCCTCCGCCAGAGACGGTCTTCTTCATGGTCTTGATTCATCACCAGTGTCAGATCAGAGAACAACGCTAAAAGGCGAACAGTTCAAAGACAATGCACGTATCAGAGCATTTATAGCTCGGGGCTAGGAACTACCTAGTTCCACCAGCCCACAGGGGATTATTGTGTCCGTCCTTCGTGCATCCAAGAATGGGAGGGGTGGGGTTGAGTGGAGAGGGGAGGGTGGGGAGGGGCTGGGTGGGGAGGGTGGGGCTGGGTGGGGGGTGGAAGGGAGGGGTGGGGCTGGTCACCCCATGGTGTCCTTATAAAACTCAACGTTTAACCTACTCACTCCGGCTTGTGCCCGCCCTCACAGTCGGGCATATTTGCGGAATACACCACACCGCCGTTGACCCTGGCCATTGACCGTGCAACCCAACATTCCTACCAGCTCCCTCCGCAGAATGTGTTTAACAGTATAAAAAAAAATAAGAAGAGGTTTTATCCTTTCTGGCAATAAAAAATCAGATGTTAAGATGTTCACCACAGTCTCATATTCACATGCTCTTGAAGTACGGTATTGAGTTGTTTGACTGAATTCTGATCTAGCGGCGAGTTGACCCCGTTGTGCCATCTCTGCGGGGTGGGGGCACGCTCACCCCGGTGGCTACCGTTCCGTCACCAGCCTTGACCACCGGCCATGGTCTCTTCCAGCTCCACGTGCTGCCGAGGCCAACTTGCATTTCCCGTTCACTTTTAACGTCTTCCATTTCATGTTAGTTTTTTTTAGTCCGCATTGTTTAAGTGCGAGATATCAAGGTGCTATACAGGAGAGTGGGGGGAGGGGGGAATAAACTGAAAAATAACTTTGATGGGAGAGTCGGGGTAGCCTTGTGACGAAGATGATGACGGCAAGGCTCCAGCAGAGTAAGAATAGGCGATAAGGCTTTTGTTGGGAAGGAATTCTTAAGCGGAGGAGGAGGAGGTCTCGAAAAGAAGGACAACGTCGATAACGCAGACACAGGCGGCAGGAGTTGCAGACATCAAAGGTGGCAATGGAGGAGGTGCCTACATTAAGTGGAGGTTGCATGTTGAAGAGCCATGTTGTGATAGTGATACACCGATTCACCATTTATCAGTTATTACGTCTACGATGCATGCATCGAATTGATGAAAATGAAATGTATACTCTTCGATTCTTTCGGTAAGGTCACGTAGGTTGAAAAATAATAGATCACGACGTTTCGATAGCAACACAAGCCATCGTCCTCAGGTGAAACAATACAGCAGGCGGACTGCTGTGGCAAGAGGAAATCTCCTCGACCTAGAGGAGGCCCAGGACCGGTTCAGATAATCGTCACCAGTGTCGGCCGTGAGCGGGAATTGAACTCGGTCGACTCAACCTCAAATGAGTGCGATATGGGACCTATCAAATGAGTACCTGGTGTGGTGTGTAATCATCGCCACTGGGGAGACAAAGGCGGCCGGGCGTGTTGTTGGCCACCCACCCCCTCGTGTGCCGTGCCGGACTTCATAGTTGCTCACTAACAGCACTTGCCCCAACACTGTTTAGGCTATGTGGGGGATCTTTGTCTTTATACGTGTACGGTGGTGGCATGGCGTCCTCTCAGCACCCAGGGGGCACGGCCGTCCTGCTGGACCGCGGAGGCCAGGACGCCACCGACGTGTTTGAGGACGAGGGCCACACGCTGGACGCACGCGAGCTCGCCAAGGGATTCGTCGTGGGCAAGGTTCACCCGGTGAGCGACTTGCACGGGCGTCGATGAGTAGTGAAGTGTAAAAAAAAATCAAATCGTTAGATCGAAAATAAATCCACACGCTCGCTCGCTCGTCGGTCTCGACGTGGTCTCGCCCAGCCTCTGCTTCCGTCAAGCTCCCAACGAATGCCCCTGCTACGTCCTAAACTGCGCCAGAAATGAACCCGCAATACCTTGCTGATCTTATCAAAGGAGCACAAACCATCACGCATACTCCGGTCGTCTTCGCAGCCGCGCCTTTTGGGTACACCGTCGAAAAAAGACGGTAACCTCATCGCGCGCTTTCAGATGCGCTTCTGCGACCGTCTGGAACGCTCTTCCTTCCGACATTAGCAAGCCACTGGAGTTATGCACTTTTGAATTTTGATTGAAAACTACAACAGCTTTGTGCTTGGTTTGTTGCCCTTCCCCCGCACCTCTGATTAGCACGGTTGGCTACGTACGGTGCGAAAGAAGTTCAACATACTTGCAACTACAGCGCAGCGCTTAACATTTCATTTTATTTCATTGCAATGTGCGCATCCCATTTGAATTCACTTTCCCCGGTGATTGTTTTGTGTACAGAAAGACCTAAAAATCCTGGAGAAGGACCGAGCCGTCGGTTTAAAAGAATCTAAGGTAAAACCAGCGAGCACCAATTCAGCATTATATATATATCTACTGTATATAATATATGACATTTCTGGCAGTGGCCCTTCTTGATCGCAAATATTTTCATCGAAAGGCCATTGCCCCAAAACATGGCCTATTATATGTATTAAAAAATACTTTTAAGGCAGTGCTATTGACGAATGTGTTTATTTTTTGTTATTTGTGCTTGTGCACCGCTGCCAAAGCAGTGTCACAAAATAACTTATTTAATTCACGAATATAGCCTTCTTATTCGTCTTCGTCAGGCCACCAATCAACCCCACGTCTGATTAATGGAAGCACGAACCCGCCACGCTTGCTTGCTGCAGTGTGCTCAACGTTCTCGGATGCCTTCACGTTTTGGTAGCAGATGAGGCGAATGTTGTCTCGTATTTTAGACAATACATTTACGGAAATTTTGATCGTCGTCATCGTTGAGTACATGCCAGGGTGATCTCATTTGTCTTCAACTGCGTCTGCCCCCCCCCCCCCCACAGGCAGACAATGTTGTACAACAAGAGTCAAGGTATGAGTTTCAAAGACACAATAAGTACTCTTAGTTTTTTCGGTAAAGTCACGTAAGTAAAAAATGAAATAAAAATTAATAAAAATAAAATAATAAAAAATAAAAAATCACGACGTTTCGGAGGCAACACAAGTCTCCGTCGTGATTTATTATTTTATTATTATTTTATTTTTATTAATTTTAATTTCATTTTTTACCTACGTGACTTTACCGAAAAAACTAAGAGTATGAATCCTTGCAGTCACGAAAGCTTCAAATCTAGAACACAATAAGTACTTTTGTTGCCATGTGCGTGACGTGTTAGGCTATAAAGCCCTCCAGTGTACTTACCCAGTGTGTGGTAATAGCGCCATTTCATTGACATCACGTGCTTTGTATAAAAATTAGCGACCCCACTCGCAAATATTCTGACCATCCCTTTCATCTCGTGGGACAGCAACAAGGTTATATAAAAACAAGTTTTTAAACCCTTGATTCCATTGCATGCTGGGACACTTTTTTACGGAATACCCAACTTCGTGTCATCAGTAACTGTTGGTAATTTATAGACGGCGCAATATGGCCAGCTCCTGTCATATGATGTGATTTCTTAATGTCTGCAGGCAAAGACACACGCGCATACTTTCTCTTTGAGGCTTCATCGCGGAAGCGTACGGCATTGTGAAGCGTTATAAACTAACAACCTGAGATCGATTCCTGGCCATGGCTCACGGCAGTGGAGAGTTAAACCCTCAACCGGTCTTGGGCCCCTTGATGAATCCACACTGACCAACGTGGCGTGGGGAGGTCATCATCCAGCAGTGGATTAACTCAGGGCTGTAAGATCAAGTGGCAGTTTTTAAAATCCGTTTTGTACAAAGAATATGGTCGAACACTCGTCATTTTTGTTTGTCATTTCATTCTTCGCCACAATTTACAAAACTGCACAACATATTTCGCACAATTCTTCTCTACGGTAAGGATACATGGCACAATAAGTGTCAGTCCACTGCTGGATGAAGGCCCTTTGCTTCATTGGGATTGTGCCATGTGGGTGGGTGTGTGGTTTGTCAGGATTTATGATTTAAGTATCTGAACCTGCTGTTAGTTACTTGCACTGTACTACCACCTAGTGGAATATTTCAGTATTACAGTTGCTGTTTTTTTAGATAACCTGCTGATGAGACGCCAACATTTCTATTTTCTGCTAAGCTGGGTTGGCATTCGTTCAGATTAAGCTGTTGAAGGACGATACATATCATATGGATAACTCATACGTGGTATTTCGATTCATATATAAACAGGCTGTTAAAATATGACCCCAAAAAGGTCGCATTTACTCAGTCGCTTTCATACTTGGCAGGGTTAACAACACATTGTTTTTATTTTGCCCTCCCCCCAATTTCAAACAACATAACTTTGAGGATCCTCCTCGTGACCCCCACAGGCCTCCGTGATCTTAATGGGAGTAAGGCAACCTCTTCTGAAAGACTTTGTGCCCTTACCATTCTACATTAAATTGTGTCTACATACACAAATACGACTACTACGCAATGCTCGTGCGCATTTTTTGTACATGCATTTTGTTTCTCAGTTCATGCCTAGTTTGCCAAGTGTGCTTTTCTGAGTTAGGCCGCACTACTACGGGCATCTTCCGCAGGCGTGTGACTGCAAACATCTGAGTGTCAATGTGCTTAAATCTGCCAAACAGTTGAATTATCCATACCTTCACCTACCAATCATATCCGCTGTCATGGGAATGTGGAATTTCCCACCACTCGCGTTGCCGGGGGTGGCAATGAGTGGTTACTCATGAGCGAGTTGACGAACGGGTAGGGGAAGTTGGGCAGAGGGATGGTGGAGTTAATGATGGGGAAGGGAGGGGGAAGTGGAGTTGGGGTAAAGCGAGGGATAATCAGTGAGTGAGTTTTAAGGGAAGAACGAAAGATAGACGATGAGGCTGATTGTTTGACGTGCAGGAGGCAGTTTGTTCCAGTGTAGGGGGGTCGGAAGCGAGAAAGAACGGAATCGTGATTGGGCACAGGGAGGAGGAGGAACAGAGACAGCTGGGATTGTTGTGAACGAAGAGGGCGAGAAGGGGCATAGGATCAAACGGAGTAATCGAGATACGTTGGGGCGAGACCACGGGAGAGATTTGTAAACGAGGGGGCCTGCCTGGCGTGACCCTCCCCGCCACCGCTTCTCTCCGTGTGTGGTGCAGGGCATTCCCTGGGTGGGTGATCCCATCGCTGCTGGTGCTCTTCATCTCCATGCTGTTCCTGTGGCTGGTGCCGAACCTCTCCACTTCGGAGTCAGAGCCGGAGCAGCAGTGAATCCTACATCGCTAACTCCCCACGCTCGGTGACCTCCCCAGAAAGTGAAAATCCGCCGCCGTGTCCAGTGCCGGATTAAGCTAGTGTAGGGCCTGTAGCGTATGTTATCAAGGGCCCTAAATAAATAAAAAACACATTTTAAACTTGCACAGTAAAGTAATTGTATTTTTTCATTTGCTATACAGCCAGATAATACGACCAATCGCTAACCTTAAATGCCCAGTCGTTCATAAAAGTTGAAGGCGGTATAGTACTATAGTAATAGAGCAAGTACAGAATCACTGAATCGGAATTGATAGCTTGAAAGCATTTAACGCGGGGCCCTGGAAAGTGCGGGGCCCATAGCCACTAGCTGCTTTTGCTACTAGGATAATCCGGCATTGGCCGTAACATGACATCTGTCTCATCTGTTGAACCACGGCAGCCTCTTGTTACTGAAGTCGTGTGCTCAGAAATGGCCTTAACCGTTGTCGATGCTGTTGTGATTGGGTTATTTTTTATAAGGTGGTTGTGCCATACGGGTGGCAGGATGCCTTCATTAATATCGATTTTCATCATCAAGCGCACGATACATGCATCAAATTGCGTGTATCAAAATCTCTATTTTTAGATTAGAATGTCGTATTAAATGTGTTCACATCTCGGCTGCTGCCACGAGAGGCACTATCATTCACTGCCAGATTAAACAATAGAATGTAATCTATATAAATTCTGAAGTAATTGGTGGCGAGATTCATTATACAACCCGTAGTGCTCTGTATACTAATAACTATTGGGTTGCGGTTGTTCAATTGTTGTTTGCTGTTAAGGAACACACTTACATCTGTTGTGACAGTTTGTCAATTTATAGTGTGAAACATTGCAGTGATGTTGTCCGGTAAAAAATAAGTTGTACCAGAAAAAATGTTGGTGTATTAATCATACTCTTTGGTTTTTTCGGTAAAGTCACGTAGGTAAAAAATAAAATAAAATAAATGAAAACAACTAAATTAAATCACGACGTTTCGGGCTACGTGACTTTACCGAAAAAACCAAAGAGTATGAATCCTTGCAGTCACGAAAGCTTCAAATCTAGAATGTATTAATCATGTTTATGGACGCTTCATGATGACAACAATGCACAATAAATCATTTTGCAATGGAACGTAGAATCAGAATGCGGATAAGTTGATGCATTCATTGTAAAGAAAAAACATGCACCGAATAACAGCGTCGTGGTTTGAACAAATATTCAGTCTGAAGCCAACACAGTTTATTACAAATGGAATGAATGGACAGTGGGGAGGCGTATATGCGGATGGGATACTCGGTGACCTTGAACGTAACGTCTTAATTTGTACTGTTACCATTTATAAAGGTGTAATGCGTGTCCAAGGAAACATGTTGAAGTAAAAAAACATCACTTTTGGAAAGCATTGGAATAAAAACGTCACAAACATCACGATATCAGTGTTATATATTTGTACATATCTAAAAATCCTATACTCAGTTACGAGCTCAAATCCTATGATGTACTAATCACTAATCGGCCTACGTTATGACCGACTCTAGATCGGTTTATTTGCAAAAGTAACATGTTATTGCGATATAGGTCGTGTAAAATAAGATATAAGTAAAGGTGTAGAGTCGGAAAGACAATCTACAGGCCAAGCCAAGAAAGAAACCCCACTTTACTGTGGGATTTATACTGGATGAGAGTACAGATTCAACTAGAGCAGACTAAATGAGGTTAACACTACATCTGCATATTTCATAAAATGTGTGCCATAATTCTGCAGTCCACAGGCAACGTGCGAGAGATTGGAGCAAATGCATATCAGCCGACACAAAATTGGGGGCAATGTTGAACAATTTTTCGTGATAGTTTCAAGATCTCGGGGCCTGATTTACGTTAGCTACTTTATCCACCAACTCTGCCACCTTTTTGGTGGAATTGGCTATCGACTAATCGGAAGCTCTTCCCAATTCGGCAATTCACGGCGGAGGGGGGTGGGGGGGCCAAGGCGATTTCACATCAAAAAGAGCTTATTCTGATATTAATGTGGAAGGGGGAGGGGACCGAAGTGGGTTAGGGTAAGAGCGGAGTTCGGAAGGAGCCGAGTGGAGGTGGAAAGTTTCTGCTGGTGTGCTCGTAATCTCCATCCTGTGACATTTTTGTGGAATTTCGCCGCTAGATTTAGGCGGGGCGCCCCTTTTGCTGCTCTTAAGACTGCGTGAGAAGTGGCAGAATGGAGGCAACGCACGTGGGTGATTGTGATCGTGACCGTCATCACGACGATGTTGATCATCAGCATGACAATGACGATGTTGCCCATGCTGCTGCCGCTAACGATGAAGTCGTAGCAGAAGACGTCGTATCATCGGGAAAGCCTCAATTGAGTTGCACCTCGCCCCTGGTATTATTGGACTACCTCCACCTCGACCTACACCTGCCACACCGGACCCCCCTCCCCTAACTCCCACCCAACAATTCCCGATCCGCGCGCGCCCGCGCATCACACGTCGTACATGCACATGAACAGGTGGCGCCCGTCGCACGAACTGTCCCACCAGGCGCCGTCGCCGATGGTGAATCCCACGCAGTTCTCGGCGCGACCGCCGTTGGGCTGCAGCGCCGGCGGGCCGCGGTGCCAGGGAGCGTAGACGGCGCGCGTCCCGTCGGCCACGTGCAGGTAGACGCCCTCGAGGCGCTCGTCCGTCACGCCGATCCACACCAGCCAGTTGCCGGCGACGGCCGTCTGCGCGTAGCGAGCCAGCGCCTCGTTGGTGCCGGAGTCGCGGGCGGAGGCGAGCTGCCCGCCGCCGGCGCGGCACGCGGCGAGGGCCTCCGGGTGCGAGCGGTACTCGCGGAAGAGGAGGTAGCAGCGGCCGGCCAAGCGGCGTCCTCGCACGCAGCCTGGGGAGAGACGCGTTGGGAGCCGTGACTGTGTGTGTGAGTGCATGGGGAGCGGTCGTGTAGCGGTTAGCGCTGCGCTGCGCTACGAAACCGGCGACCCGAGTTCGATTGCCACTCACGGCTAACACCGGTGACGATTATTTGAACCGGTACTGGGCCTCCCCTAGGTCGACTCAGCCTCAAATGAGTACCTGGTGCGGTGTGTAAACATCGCCACTGGGGAGACAAAGGTGGTTGGGCGTGGTGTCGGCCACCCACCCCCTCGTGTAACGTACCTGCCTTCATAGGTGCTCGCTAACAGCACTTTCCCCTACAGTCTGTTAAGGCTATACGGGGGATCTTTGTCTCTATTGTATTGCTATCCTTCCGTTGAATTGCTATCACCCTCCAAAACCACTGCCTATGTTTTTTTGTGGTAATGCTGCCCCCTACTGTGCAGGTCATAGGTCACTTGATGAGTTGGACTCTTACAACTAATCCGAATGGATACTTCATCTCATGATACCTCACCTGGTATGCAGGAGGTCGTGGGTTCGATCCTGACTTTGACGCCTGTATATATGGAGTTTGAATGTCTCTCTCTCCCCGTGGTCGCGTGGATTTTTCTTTGGGTCTATAAATTTCAGGTTGCTTCGAAAAAAGAGCTAGATGGCTGGGCCTTATGGGCCGTCCATAAATGACGTCACGTGATTTTGGACGATTTTTGACCCTCCCCCATCGTCACACGGTGTCACAAAAAGTCAGACCCTCCCCTCAAATATAACGTCACAAAGCTCTGCCCCCCCCAAATAAATAAAACATGCTTCAAATCGCTTTAAACTAATGTCATTGTAGTGCGTATTTAATGTGCCTCTGCACTCTGATGTTGTAGGAGAAAACATTTATTAAAACGTATATTTAATTAAGTAGAACGTGTTGTCTATATTTATTTAAAGTTGCGCATTTTGATGTGACGTCACATTTCTCAAACCCCCCGCCCCTCGTCACACATCGTCACAAATGTCTGACCCCCCCCCCCCCCCCAGGTGCGTGACGTCATTTATGGACGGCGCCTTACCTGGTACCATAAAAAAAAAGTTTAGTTTAAAGTGTAGGGATCAAATTGGGGGAATGACAATTTTTTGTTATTTATCTATAAATTGTGTATACTTTACAGACTTTTCGGTTTCTTTCTGGACTGTGTGTCCTTTCCGACATATATATCACAAAAAATTTAAGACAACCAATCTAAATTATTCTTACATTGAGCACGTCCACCAAAGCCTTTGACAATTAAGGAGGAGTCAGAAAAAAAATAACCACCAAGCAAAACGATTGTAACTCGTCAAGACACCGTAACAATGTACTGACCCACGAGACGTCCGATCTCGCGCTCGTGCCTGGTGGACAGCGACGTGACGTTGGCGAGGCCGCCGTCGAGTTCGCTCAGCTCGGCGCTGGCTCGCTTGCCGCGCCTCTCCGCGTCCTCCAGGCGCGCCTCGAGGCGCCGCACGACGGCGCTCAGCTTCGGCAGCTCACGCTCCTGATGCTGCAGTCGCTGGTCTGCAAGGCGCGGGCAAAATTCAAGAATAAACTCCTTCAAAAATTGTAAAAAATTAACCCGTAAAAACAAAGTTTTTCACTATAAATCCTTTATATGCGTGGCATCGGGGCGGCTAGAGTCCTCTCGTTCTCTGGCTTGAGATGGCTGCCACCTATGGGTCAGATGAATGGCTGCCACCATTAAGCAATTGGTAATTAAATATAATTTATTTTTTCCTAAAAAGTGTCAAATTTAGGAATTTTTTTCACGAAAATACATTGTCACGCACAACGAGTCTGTGTGCAAAATGTCAGCTCGATTGGATCACGGGAAGTGGGTTAAAAAACGACCGAAAGATTTGCACGGTCGTAAGCGCACAAGCAAGCAAGCAAGTGAACTTAATATAAAGGATTTAAAAAGATCCACAGTACGCCCACGCCACTATTCCAGTTGGTATCTTGTGTAGGCTCTTGCAATGGGTGTGATCTGCGTACGACAAATGTCCGGAATAAAGCTGGGGTTTTTGTTGTTGTTGTTGTTTCTTCTCTCGGGTTAGATTGCGTTAAGTATAAATGCGTCTCGATTTAAAGCTTTCGTGACGGCAGGGATTCATCTTCTTTTATTTATTATTATTTTATTACTTCCCTTCTACGTGACTTTACCGAAAGAACCAAGAAGATATAAATGCGTCGTTAAACTCGCCGTCACCAGCCGACGCAGCCAACCGAGTAAGGTTCGTCACGGAAACGTAACGTGCCACAAGCAGTTACTACTTGAGCACACCGGTGCGTTGGAGAGTAAACCCCACGACATTTACAATTCGAGAACGATGTTTTGCTGGTGATACCAAACCAGCTTCATCAGGCGATGAGCCAAAAAAACATTATGATGGATAATAGTGGTTGCCAAAGCTTACGTGGTAAATATACAACAACGAACTCATGGCAACAACTTTTAATTATTTCTCTAAAACTGTATAGAAGTGTTTTTATTTATTTAATAATGTGATGGCTCTTTGGGTGGCAGATTTGTGACTGGTAGGCGTCACCTGTTAATCAAATATACATTCAGTTGACTTTGACGAATTGAATAGAGAAGTGCATGAGTTGGCCAGGTGGTTTCGAGAAGTCCACTTCAAAGCGCTGAGCCAGTGTAGCTTTGAGACCGAATTTGAGTTCAATACATTTCCGAGGTATACACAATCTTGACTTTAACTGCGTCATAAGGCGCCGTTCAAAGAGGAGCAAATACATTGCGTTTATGTATTTTTAAAAGATGGGACAGTCAGTCATAGGCAGGGGAGAAGAGATCTTAAGGCTGGGCCTCATAAGGGGCAGGAAGTCAAAAGCACGGATGGCTGCTTCGAGAAATGAAAACAGATTATCTCAGCTGCAATGCGTGCTGTGTGCCTTGTGGTGCATACGCGTGTGGCTTCGATAAGGAAAAAAGCACTCCACGTACTTCTACGATTCCCACCTTAAATTCGCACTGACAAGCATTGGTGAAGTACTGTCAAATACAGCGTGCGGAGGCCCTCCACCGGCTGGAGATTGACAAAAGGGCTGTTACGTCTACACTCGCGTTGCACATGCCACATGCCCGTGTTGTACTTCCACCGCGACTTTAGCGAGCGCATTGGCACTGGACAGAGGAAAGTGGAAACATAACGAAATGTGCGGTCGACTCAAATGGGCTTATCTGCCCATGGATCGTGATGACTTCCACCGGTGGCATTGTGTGGTTGGCCATGGCTTATAGTGCAAACAATTAAATGGGAGTTAACCCCCCACCACCCCACCCCCCCTATTATCAAATTTCACCATTTTCATAACTCGGCACCCGGACCTATCCGCAGTTGCTCCAGCACACGAGGGGGTGGGTAGCCAACACCACGCCCGGCCGCCTTTGTCTCCCTAGCGGCGATGTTTACACATCGCACCAGGTACTCATTTGAGGCTGAGTCGACCTAGGGGAGGCCCAGGACCGGTTCAGATAATCGAATCGTCACCGGTGTTGGCCGCGAGCGGCAATCGAACCCACACGCACACACACACACAAACCCATTTTGAGGATGAGCTCCTGAAGCCACTCTGGGACGTTGCCCTCCATGGCCAAGTCCTCCACGTCTCCAGAGCCCAGCCCCAACAGGGAGGGCAGGAGGAGCAGCAGCAGCGCCCCTCTGTGCTGTGCCTGGCCCCACATCCTTGTCTGTCGAGAACCCGCAGGAAAATGAGATTTTGGCATTAATTTGCAGGTCATGCTCATAAATATTGTTCCGCCGTGATGGCGGGGAGGAGGCCGTGATACACTCACTCATCTTACACTGACTCACTCACACATCATACACTGACTCACTCACACATCATACACTGACTCACTCACACATCATACACTGACTCACTCATCATACACTCACTCACACTACCACTGACTCACTCACACATCATACACTGACTCACTCACACATCATACACTGACTCACTCATCATACGCTGACTCACTCAAACATTATACACTCACTCACACTACCACTTACTCACACATCATACACTGACTCACTCATCATACGCTGACTCACTCACACATCATACACTCACTCACACTACCACTGACTCACACATCATACACTGGGAGTATCATGCTGCCAGCTATGGCTGCAAGTTTGGTCGTACATGTTATGTATATCGTTTATTGTTAAATTTGAATCACAGTTCCTATGATTACTGTTGTTACATTGTTTTTATAGATTAATTTTGGCAATTTCGAAAACATATGGTTAAGCCAGCGTTGATAATAATACGGTGGTTTGTTTTTTTTGGAAGATTTGCTGGTTTATCCAGGATGTTTCTGTTCCGCGTCGTCGCTTTAAGATGTTCTCTGGTCATATTTAGTTTGTTGCGGTTGCACCCGACTCAAGAGCCGCATGGCTCACAGGGCCATACCTAATAATTGAAACTTGAAAACACCACAGCAGGAGCAGCGGCGGCCAAATGTCAAGCGTTACTGCAAAGACTTGTGGCTCCAATGGCAGATGATTGATAATACTTCGTTGTAAATGAGTATTAAAGCACCGTGTTTGGAAGCTGCGTCGTGTTCAGCATTGTACGCCTACGCTCCCATTGTCTCAGCTACTGGCCGTCACCAACCTGCAGCACTGACCAGTTTGGTAAAGTACTGAATGGTCACATGACCCGCATGATCTGCGCAGTGGGGAGGCCTTCATCCAGCAGCAGGCTCACACGGGTCTGCACAGGAAATGTTTGCACGCATCAAGTTCGCAACGCTGGTTTTTGTGTTAGCATTGACAGGGCCACGTCTTGAAGGCAAACATCAAGCGTTGCTGCCAAGACTTGTAGCTCAAGTAGCAGATTATAATTGATGTTTGTAAATGCGTATTAAAGCACCGTGTTTGCAAACAGCAGCAGCAATTGTTTTACGACTGCTGATGAGACCCAGCAGGTCGAAACTTGGGGCGGAGCGATATTTATTCTTAAGCTCACGACACTTGCATCGAATTGCGTGTGTTTTTACTTGTGTATGTTGTTTATACAGGAACGAGTTTACGTCATAACAGCTGCCACTAAAGAAGCTGCCATTTACAGCATTCCGAGTATTCCACACCGAGTTGAAGTTAACAAAGAGTTTGCTTGTTGCAATACATTCTACTGGATAACATTGCTTATGTTCATCGAATATGCTGATGGACAAATGTAGCGTAATTCATAGGTGCAACAATGGTAGTATTGGTAAACTAATTTTAATACGCCATGGCTGGGTTTCAATTCTGGGAGAGTGACATGGCTTTCTTTAGCGAGGACATTTATTTTACTTGCTCTGAAGATTGATTCAGTTTTTGCTGGACAAAAAAACCCAACATGTACAACATTGGAAGGCTTTTGGGAGAAATATGGTTCCACTTACACCATCACTTGTGAAAGTAAAATCTTGGCATCTGACTGATACGCTGCGTAAATGTCGAGTTGTTATTTGTGTATTCTACACTCGTGATGAAACACATGTACCAACACAACGTATTAAGATATGCCATATTGTTATTGCCAAAAATGTTAAAACTTTGCACACAATGACTTGCAGTAACTCACTTCCAGTACAGTATAAACATGGCACTGTACTGTAGTTTAAAGGGACGCACGTGGAACTTAACATTGGTTGTGGATGTTCTTTTCTGAGTTTGTACACTCGCTTAAAAGCACCAAATGAGTATTGTTGTGGCATTACAACTTAAATCATCTGATTTGAAAATCCTTTAGCATTTTTTTTATTTAAAGCTTTCGTGACTGCATGGATTCATATTCTTAGTTCTTTCGGTAAAGTCACGTAGAAGGGAAATAGAGCGTCTATCATTATTTAACGATTATCGCCTACTCAGTCATTCCCCGGCTTGCTGATATACAGACCGTCTAGTCTACAGCATACTGGATATATGTGACAAAGAGCTTAATATCTTATCGGATTCGCCCAGTCTAAGTACATAATCTGGTATGCCTACATTATTGGGAATCCTCTATCATTATTATCATCATCAACATCTTTTTATTCTGTTTGTCTTGTTAGGTGTATTGTCGCCTTAAGCTGCTACTCCAACACAAGTCTCATCCATTAGCTGTCATTCCTTCGACTATTGTTTCTCCGATTTTTTTTTATTCGACCAGATAAGGCCCACTGAGCTATGTAGCTTTTTTTCAGAAGCGATTTCGCCACAAATGGTAAGGTCAACGCAATGGCTTTTCACGTTGGACAATTTACAGCAGCCTAAAATACTCGAAACGCATGTTTAAAAATGTGGAGGGAAAAAAACCGGAGGACCCGGAGAAAAATCCACACGAGCATGGGGAGAATATGCAAACTCCAAATATAGAGGCGTCAGGGTGAGAATCCAACCCACGACCTCCTGTATACCAGGCGAGGTAGTTAACATCTCCCCACCATGGCACCGCAAAGCTTGCGTACTTTGTTTAGACATTCAATGGTATGTCTATGATTTGTTTGTTCACCAATCCAGGGTGTGTGTTTTCCCTTTCCTTGGGCAAGAAGTTGAACTTTCGAGAAATGCATTACGTATAAAAACATAGGGTCCGTGAATGATGCCACATTCTTACAGATTTATTATGCTGCAGGTTTACAGTCCTGTATAGTCTACTAAATGTTCACTTCATCCTTGAGCCAACCAGGGGTGCAGAATGTGAAGCACACACACACACATCTGTTTTCACTTGAATGCGCCTGTTTTCAGACTTTTTGGAAAATAAATTTAAGCAGGCCACGGTCGTTCAAAGAAACTCCACAGACATTAGTCACACTTTACAAAAGAACATGCAGGAGTGGTTACATTTACTCCGCTGTTTGAGCGTCTATCAAAACGCTTTCCTAAAATCAACGTCATATATTTTTGAACGAATAGTGCACCCAGTTATGTATAAATACTCTGAGTATTTTTTTTATTTTTCATATGCCCTTTCCGTCATGCAATATGTGGACTCAGGAAATTGCGAGTGCTTGCATTAGGGTTGGATGTAGCATATGCTGCAGTGTTGACCCTGAATGTGATTCTGCTCTGCGTGCTTCATGGAAAATGTCCCATTTCTGCGGCACAGTGGAGGTTTGTCTTGAGATGCCAGAATACACAGCACACCGATGGCTCGCAGTGCTGATACATACTCCGATTCTGTACATTCCTGCACCGTTACACCGCATGAACAATTCGATTGTGTAGGGTACAGACAGTAGGAATAATAACAATTGTTTATAGCCCACACCATGAAACACATCTATACAGCCTCTACTGCCGCCTTGCATTGGTTGAAGGGCCTTAATATTCAACCGTGACACCGATACAACGGGTTGCTTTCTGCTCCCATCCACCTCCCCATGCCTTACGAAAGATCAATAAGAATTGTCAGCCCTTTGTCAAGGTAGGTCATGTGGCTTGTTTGACCATGACTGTTTGACAGTGCTGTTGTGCTTGTTGGTGAACCGGGGAAGAAAGCACCGGTTCGGACATCAATGGGCCAACGATGTTAGCCAGTAATCCCTGGTTCTGTACGCGTCCAATACAAAGGACGGTACAATATGTATAGAGAATGCAACGTTGCATTACTTTTGCTTCACATATTGGCTGACTTCAAGCGAGTTATGGAACCCTTAGTGATACTCTACATATTGCAGGAAACATCTGGATAATTGAAAGCTATACTCCTTAGGCATGTATATTACAAATTCATGTACACTTTAAGTTTAAATACTGCAACGAATATAACACATTACGGTAGAATGTTGCTTTGTTTACAATAGCCAACAATTTCCGCATGCACAATTTGTAAACAGTCAATTACGTGATTATAGGTGGTTAAGTGTAAACATGCAATAATGAGCGCAAATAAACGTAAACAACGGAGTTCAAACAGGCAACAGACACATGCACATATAAACACTATGTGTGTCCTATAGCCCATGCAATATAGTAGTCGTCGGTCCATGCATAAGTCACGATGAGGACATGCATAGTTCACCCAAGCAAAATCTTCCTTGACACTGCCGCTGTTGTCTTGCTGATGTGAATCCTGCTATTCCTCTTGCTGTTATACTCTTGGTGCTGTTGTTGCCAATGCTGCTCTGCTACTAAAGTTTGCTAAGGCTGCTGCTGTCTTCTGCTGCTCCTGCTGCTGCTTCCACTGCTGCTGCTGCTGAATGAATGGGAAATGCTTCCAGCCAGCTCAGTAATCCCACACCCAGCGAGAGACTCCTCCCTCACCAGAGGACAGCCAACGTTGACCGCCCTCAAAGTGGCACCGCTTACAGCAGGAGAAATGATGCCGGGAATAAGCGATTCTTAAAACTGCGGTCGCGTTTTCCGGAACGCTGCCTAGGTCGGCTTGGTGTTGGGGGATTTGCGGCGTAAGGCACTACCACGAGAGTGCACTGTGCTTTAGCATCACTCTCTATCAGGGCTCGGCAACCTGTGGATCCTGGCCGCGTGCGGCTCTTTCTTTGGCCCTTTTGACTTCCCCCTTTGCGGGCAGCCGTTCACAACAACAACAAAAAACCTCTTAAACATAATTTAATGTAAAGATAATACTGGTAGGAACCTCCTGGTTACACCAGCCCACAGGGGATTATTGTGTCCGTCCGTCGTGCAGGGAGGGGCTGGGTGGGGAGGGAGGGGCTGGGTGGGGAGGGTGGGTCTGGGTGGGGGGTGGGAGTGTGGGGAGCGGCTGGGTGGGGAGGGGCTGAGTGGGGCTGGGTGGGGGGTGGGAGGGATGGGGCTGGGTGGGGAGGGGCTGGTCACCCCGTGGTGCCCTTATAAAACTCAAAGTTTAACCTACTCACGCCGGCTTGTGCCCGCCCTCACAATCGGGCATATTTGCGGAATACACCACGCCGCCGTTGACCCTGGCCATTGACCGAGCAACCCAACGTTCCTACCAGCTCCCTCCGCAGGAATGTGTTTTTATTAAATATGGCAGGGAATGGGACACCAGAATGTCTTGGTGACAACAAAATGTTCAGTCAACCTGTATGGTTAAAGAGTAACTAAGGTGGGTCCGGGGATGGAATTCCTTTCCAGCTCAGACCCCGATTACCGTACCTGCCCATCGCCACGTAAATAATAACCTCTTGTTGTAACAGCTCTCTCGCTGGTTTAGCAGCTCCACTGCTGGATTATTTTTTTCCACCTGAGGACGACCGCTTGTGTTGCGATCGAATCGTCGTGATATATTTTTTTTTATTTTTTATTTTTCTACCTACGTGACTTTACCGAAAGAACCAACGCGTATGGATTCCTGCAGTCACGAAAGCTTCAAATCAAGATTCAACTGTGCATTTTCATAACTCCCCGCTGGTTCAAACCAACAATGGTTGGGGTGGTTCTGAAAAATCGACATTCTGACCACCCTTGACATCTTTACATTTTTCTGTTACGCTGCGATTGCGTCAGGCAGTCTCATGGTTTACTCCATAGGGGTGCTTCGTCACTTCGTGTGTAATAAAGTACAGGGTGTTTCAAAGAGATGGACCCAATGTCAACGCAGTATATTTCCCGATGGCAATATGTTACAATTACACTAATAGTGACAAATGGTTTAACGAGTTAACAAGTTTTACTAACCATTTTATAAATTCTCTAGGTGCCCTCCAACTTGCTGTACGGACATCGAGACGATAGTTGAATTTGTCCCAAACGCCTTTCTTCTCACGTTTCCCTCTGAGGTGCGTGCTCGCCCCGTGCTCTTCCCCTTACATCAACAGCCCGTTTCCTCAAATTGTCGGTACCAGCGACGAATACTCTTTGACATTGGCGGATCGATGCCAACACGCCGTTGAAACGCACGCTGCACCGCAATTACGGATTCAGTCTTGCTGAACTGCAGAACGCAAAACGCCTCGGGTTCAGGGGTCACCTTCTTGCGAATGACTGAGGCTAGGGGCTGTTTGTGCGCTGGGAGAGGCATCTTGCGGTCATCATTTTAAACTCCATGCCCAGCCCTTTCAAGTGGTAAGAGTTTCATTCATGGGCGGTTCGTGGTTGCAGAGATTGAGCGATTTCACATCGGGTATATATTTTTTAAACACCAGGAAGCCATTATCTTTATACGTGACTTTACCGAAAGAACCAAAAGAACCAAAGAATAATTCCTGCAGTCACGAAAGCTCCAAAATTAAGATTGAACCAGGACGCCACTGGAGTTTTACACTTTTAAATCGATGTCTTTAGAACTGCCTTTTGTGTTTAGTGTGTTGTCCTTCACCCCCCAACACCTCCGATTAGCGCGGTTGGCTACGTACGGTGCGAAAGAAGTTCAACACACGGACGCCAAAGTTCAAACGAATGATGCAACCGCGTGTCAGGTGTCAATCAAGTGACGTCACAATCACCCCACCCCCTCCAGCCCTCTATATAACCTCCGGGTGCGAGCACAATTTTGTCCGGAATATTTAATTTCGGTGTCGATCTTCGTGAAGCAAATTTTTTTTTTTTTTACAAATAAACAATTAAATAACCAATTCGTTTTTAGTTTTGTTTAAAAAGGCGGCATTCCGTAAGGACACGGAAGCGGAAACTCCGAGCGAGGGGGTCAAAGGTCGCGACAATGGCGGACGTGCATGAGGGTGGCGTGGCCGCAGCGGTGGCAGACGGAGAGAAACTCAGCAAAAAGTGAGGCCATGTCCACCACACCACCACACTCACCACACCATACACCTCAACCACCACACTCACCATACTCACCATACACACACCACCATAGCCACCACACCACCACACTCACCACACCACCATACACACACCACCATGTCCACCACACCACCACACTCACTACACCACCATACACACACCACCATAGCCACCACACCACCACACTCACCACACCACCATAGCCATCACCCCACCGTACTCACCACACCACCATACCACAACCACCATACTCACCACACCACCACACACACCCACCACACACACCAGACTCACCACACCATCACACTCACCATACACACACCACCACACTCACCACACCACCACACTCACCACACCATCATACTAACCACAACCACCATACTCACCACACCACCATACTCACCACACCATCATACTCACCACACCATCATACTCACCACAACCACCATACTCACCACACCATCATACTCACCACACCATCATACCCACCATCAAACCTACCTTCGTACCCATCACACCATCATACACACACCAACATACCCACCACACCTACCACACCAACCACACACACCACCACCCCTACCACACCACCATACCCACCACACCTACCACACCAACCACACACACCACCACCCCTACCACACCACCATACCCACCACACCTACCACACCAACCACACACACCACCACCCCTACCACACCACCATACCCACCACACCTACCACACCAACCACACACACCACCACCCCTACCACACCACCATACCCACCACACCTACCACACCAACCACACACACCACCACCCCTACCACACCACCATACCCACCACACCTACCACACCAACCACACACACCACCACCCCTACCACACCACCATACCCACCACACCTACCACACCAACCACACACACCACCACCCCTACCACACCACCATACCCACCACACCTACCACACCAACCACACACACCACCACCCCTACCACACCACCATACCCACCACACCTACCACACCAACCACACACACCACCACCCCTACCACACCACCATACCCACCACACCTACCACACCAACCACACACACCACCACCCCTACCACACCACCATACCCACCACACCTACCACACCAACCACACACACCACCACCCCTACCACACCACCATACCCACCACACCTACCACACCAACCACACACACCACCACCCCTACCACACCACCATACCCACCACACCTACCACACCAACCACACACACCACCACCCCTACCACACCACCATACCCACCACACCTACCACACCAACCACACACACCACCACCCCTACCACACCACCATACCCACCACACCTACCACACCAACCACACACACCACCACCCCTACCACACCACCATACCCACCACACCTACCACACCAACCACACACACCACCACCCCTACCACCACCACCATACCCACCACACCTACCACACCAACCACACACACCACCACCCCTACCACACCACCATACCCACCACACCTACCACACCAACCACACACACCACCACCCCTACCACACCACCATACCCACCACACCTACCACACCAACCACACACACCACCACCCCTACCACACCACCATACCCACCACACCTACCACACCACCATACTCACCACATCTACCACACCAACCACACACACCACCACCCCTACCACACCACCATACCCACCACACCTACCACACCACCATACTCACCACATCTACCACACCAACCACACACACCACCACCCCTACCACACCACCATACCCACCTCCCCTACCACACCACCATACTCACCACACCTACCACCCCAACCACACACACCACCACCCCTACCACACCACCATACCTACCAGACCACACCACCCTCATAGCCACCAACACCCATCACACCACCAACTCACCACAAACACCGTACCCACCACAACACCACACACACCACACCCTCATAGCCACCATACCCACCACACCACCGTACACACCACACCACCATACACACCACCACACCTACCACACCACCATACCCACCACACTCTCGTACCCACCACACCCTCATAGCCACCATACCCACCACACCCCCGTACACACCACACCACCATACACACCACCACACCTACCACACCACCATACCCACCACACTCGTACCCACCACACCCTCATAGCCACCATACCCACCACCGTACCCACCACACCACCAAAACCACCACACCACCGTTCCCACCATACCCACCACACCACCCGGCCGAGACGTTTGAGCGACGCGCCTTGCAAACTCTCTCTGCATGGCGAGAGTTTGCGAGGCGCTGCGGGTTGCAGCATTCGTTGGAGGGAGCTCCGGCTCCAGGTTGACCAGTTCTAGTTTGCAGTTGTCACACAAAGACAAACTTTCAACCCGTATAGCCTTGCCAGACTGTAGGGCCAAGTGCTGTTAGCGAGAACCTATGAAGGCCGGAACGGTACACGAGGGGGTGACTGGGCCAGCACCACGCCCGACCGCCTTTGTCTCCCCAGTGGCGATGTTTACACGCCGC